TTTTCTAGATTTAGTATCAACCATTTTTGGGTTTGATGTTGTTGCGGATTTTCTCACCACTGCTGGTATTTCTTTCTTGATGTTCTAGCTTCTTTTATCTTATTTACCACTGTACTAGAGAGAGAGAGAGAGAGAGAGAGAGAGAGAGAGAGAGAGAAGCTACTGTAGAAGTTGAATTAGGGAACGTCCATGTACGTGGCGTAACATGCAGATGCGATTCTAGATGGTGTAATAATAACGAGAAAGAGAGAAGATTCTGGATTTGCTGCAGCACTAGCCAGCGAGTGAAAGCACATGAAAGATAGAAGTTCTGGATGATCTCCTCTCAGATCATTTTTTTTTCCTTAATTTCCAATTGCGAGACAAATTTATTCAAAAATTCCTGAAGAAAACTTCTTTGTTTTATGAAATTATAACTTTAATTACGATCTGAAGATATTAATTAATATACTTTGTATTAATTAATTTTGATATAAATAACTGTCTTTTTAAGAGAAATGAAAAAAAAATTATGACCTTTTGCTTTCAACGTTTGCCTCGTTAATTTGGAATATTCAAATATTCAAAGAGTAATTAATAATATTTATTCTATCTTTAAAGAAAACCATACATAAAAAAGAAAGCAAAATATCATATTCAGATTCATAAAAAAATAAAAAATAATAAGAATATTTTTATTTATACTCAATGTTTTCTTTTTGTTCTCTCTTTTATTTCTCTCTCATTTTTTTTCTATCCTTTTCATACAAAATAACTATTATTAATTACTTTTTAAGTACCATAAAATCTCTATATATACCAAATCCATATATATATATATATATATATATTCCTCTCTATAAAAGTCGCCCGCTTGCCTCGTTGCACATCTAGATCTCAACCCATTATTCTATCTTTGTTCCGCAATTTTACAAATTGATTGTACTAATAATTTCTTGGACACAGGCACACAGCTAGACTAAATTAGTTTGGATATATAGTGTTATTGAAGTTGTTTAATTTTTTCCACAGATTAACAGAAACGAGAAACCCAAAAAAAAAAAAAAAAAAATTATACCTATGTATACTATATTTTTATATTTTATGGGATATATGTATATGTATATGGCAATTGCATGCATATCTTAGTGCTAAAGTAATTATTTCTGATCCCCAAAGAAACATTAGCATGTGATGTTCATATGATCGATTCAGCTGCTCCTATAATGACAATGATCATCATTTGGCATGTGACACCACCTTTTATTTTTGTTTAATTTTTTTTTTTTTTTTAATCGAACATGGAAAAATAAATACTCGATCGATCTAGCTTTCTAGTATATATTATGCAAGTCCTAATTGGTGGTCCTCCCTTTAGAATTAAATTTACAAACTGCCATAAAATATATATTATTAGTACGTACGTAACTATTACTGTGCATTATTTTATCTTCCTTGGGGAAAAAAACCTTACTTGATCTGTGCCTTTGTATATTATATTTGATTCTCACATGCACATCTAACTAAGAAATGCAATCATGTATTGGATTTGTTTTGAGCAGGTTGCCTATATATTTTTTAATATATCTTTTAAAATATTTATCTGGTTAATATTTTAAATGATATATTTTTTAATATTTTTAATTAATATTGGTTATATGTTATGTAGAATTAAATTTGATGACTAATACTTCTTAAAAAAAACATTTTTAAAAAATATGAATAAAAAATACTAACATAACATAACAATTGCTAACCTCTGTTTTGAAGATATTGTCTCTTTTGATTTTTTATACAGATTGAAAAAGTCATTAATTATTATGCTATATCAATATATTTTATTCATATTTTTCTCATATATATATATATATATATATATATATATATATATATATATATAATCAATAAAGTATTTTTTTTAAAAAAAAGTGCATTATTTAAAATTTTAATCAGATAAGTATTTTGGGATAGATACAAATAAAAAAATAAATGATTTTTTTAGAATAGATGGATTATATAATCATTTTAATATGTAGAAAAAGTTGATAAAAAACAATTTTTTTTTTTTTTGGGTGGAAAGGAATATATATATGTGGATATATAATGAATATTTGCAATATTTTGGTGAGGCAACACAATGCAATGCAATGAATGAATGATTGGGAATGGCCCAAAGAGACTGGATTTATATATATATATATGCTTCCCTTTCTGTGATATAATAAGCGTGGGGACTACTGAGTTACTAACTTGGTAAGGCTAGGCATTATATGGGTTGCAGTGAGGTTCAGAAACCGCCCTCAGCTTCCATTATTTGCTGCCATCTAACGAACCAAACCCATTAATTGCAGGAGGGTGAGTGACCCAATTCACTTCACTTGCCTCCTCTTCCTGCATATTGCATATTGCTTGCGAATTATGTAGAGCCACATCTATATACATTCTGTTGGCTAGCTGCAGCTGCCTGCTGCTTCTTTCTGTTGGGAGCAACGATATCGAGGAACCTGACACCGTCCCATGCATGCATACATTTAATGGCTGAATATTTCTTTACATAACAGGATAATTTTTCGATATTTCATTAAATTTATTTCATTAAAAAAGAAGTAATTGAATGCATAATTATTAGATTATATATTCTTGCTTGTGTGATGTATGGATATTCTAATTATACTATTTATTCTATTTCTACATGTATAAGTCACCTACACTTACCGTACTTTTTTCAAAATTGAATACATCCGTGATCGAGCAACCATGTGATGTATAATTTATTTTATGTTAATTTACAGTCATGACTAATTAGTTTAGTTGGTATTTGCTAAAAAAAGAATTAATATTTCTTGCAGATATTTAATTTAAGATTATATTGTTTTGCCAAGGCCATGCATGTGATGAAGAAGATTAAAAATGATAAAAATTCATGAGGTATGTACGCTTAGAAATTAAACCTATATATTTATATATATTCAAATTAATTTTTCATCGATCGAAATTAATTATACTTTAAAAATTAAATCTATGTTAATTAGCTCTTTCCGAGACGAACTTAATGGATGATGATGAGCCAAGCAGTAGTCATTAACTCTCAATTAAGATAATAAACAAACAAAAAAAAGATTAATTTAATTAATACAACCCGTACGTACCCAACTTCAATAAATGCGTACGATTTAAGCAGCTTGTTTGACCATTGACCAAACAATTAGCCTTCATAATTACTCCATTAATTTTATTTTATTTTCACTCAAAACGGGCCAACTAATCCACATTCTGTTTCCTCATTTGCTCCATCTCCTTCCTCTATTTAGCTATATATTTTAGGAGACGTATCCGAAGTTGACCAAATTAATTGAACATAATTAATTCTAACCGATCGAAGATCAAGCATATATAGGTCATTAATTAGTCTAATTGCATTCTTCTATTTCAGTGCCGAATGGATCGAGTTCTTCTTCTTCTTCTTCTTCTTAATCTTTCTCTAAACTCGGACTGTAAGTTTTTGTTTTGCTCGAGATATATAGAGCCACTCGTGATATATATATATATATATGAATGAATCAACCTCGTCTCATCTCAATTATTTGATAAATTTCGAATTATTCGTTAAACTCAAAGACAAAACCTAATTATATAAAAGGCGTTTGATGTTGTTTAGTGCAGGAACCAATTCATTAAGAAGATGTCAACTTGTGAGCTTATTATTATTATTGTATCCTGAAGATGATGAGTACGATATTTAAAATTAAAGAATGAGGATTTCACATGGAATTTCTTGATTGGCATGCTGCCATCTTCCACGATCTTCAAGGCATGCAGCCCCAAATCCAGTCACACAGATACAAACCACTACACTACAAATTCTGCTGATAACATTTAATAAAAGTAACTATTAATTGCTATATGCCAAGCCACTCAATAGGAAGTTAGTTCTTCAAGTCGTTAGCAATGCTTGTTAATTTGCATATATAGCTAATTAATGGTTTATAAAATACCTTCAACTTTTGGTCAAAAGTAACAATTCTTTAATCTTTTTTTTTATTGGATCTTGAACCCTTTTTTTCCATTGATAATTAATTTTTTTTTTTTTTAAATTTTGTTAACCAATCTAGACAATTGTAGATACACTTGAGAAATACATAAGCTATTAAAATAATAACATGTATCTTGAATTGGGTATTTATCGTTGTTTTATATTTCTTGAAATGTCTTTTAAAACATGTGTCGTTAGTTTAATAGCTCGTGTATCTTCAATATCATTTGATTATGATAATTTACTAGATCCTAAACTTTTTTTTATTCTGTAACTAATTTTTTTTATTTTGTTAATTAATTTTTGATAATATTAGATGCACATGAGTCATTAAAACAATGACATGTATTCTAATTAGGGTATTGGTCATTGTTTTGTATGCTTTGGAGTATTTTTTAAAAATATATGTTGTTGTTTTATTGACTTTCGTGTCTCTAATGTCACCTAAAACTGGTCAGCGAAACTTTAATTGCAGACTACAAAGTTAGATAAAAAAAGATTAAAAACTTTTTTTATGTAAATTAAAAGTTAGGAAATTTTAATTAATATAACCAATACTTTAGATAGAAGCTTATGCGCAAGCTAGCAATATATATTGACCGAGTCAGGTTGCATCAGAAACAAATTGCAATAAATTATAATACTCCCAATATATTTTTATTAAATTGGATTGGTTAAAATTAATTAAATCATATCGAAAAATGTGGAAACTAATCATCTGGGGTATTGGGAGGATTAAACAAAGAAAAAGTCTAGCTGCTAGGTGGGTGGTTTTGATTGATTCTTGAGACAGTTGCACTTAACTAACCGACGTCCCTAACTCCAATGATTTATCATTTATTTTAATTATTTATTTAATTACAAATATCGGAGTTAAATACTGTCCAAAATCATTACACCAAGCGTCTACAACTTCTTTAAATCCCCCACCACCACCGCCTCCTCCTCCTCCACCGCAGCATCCACTTGTTACTAAATATAGTTTGTCATGGATCCTCCAAAAAAGTCTAACAAGATCAGTGACATTGTTCGGCTTCGGCAGATCCTCAAGAAGTGGAAAAAAGCAGCAAATGCACCAAAGAACAACAGCAGCAGCAGCAATGCCTGCAAGAGCATCAAGTTCATAAAGAGAACACTTTCCTTCACGGATTTGTCATCATCATCAGCATCCTCAAATGATGTTGTCCCAAAAGGGTTCCTTGCTGTTTGTGTTGGCAAGGAGCTGAAGAGGTATACCATCCCTACAGAGTACTTGGGCCACCAAGCTTTTGGGTTACTATTGCGAGAAGCAGAAGAGGAGTTTGGGTTTGAACAAGAGGGAGTGTTAAAGATACCGTGTGAAGTGCCTGTGTTTGAGAAGATATTGAAGGCAGTTGAAGAGAAGAAAGATGTTTACTTGTCGCATGAGTTAGGGTTTAACGTTAATGCAGAGACGATGACCAAGGAGATGATTGGTTGTTACTCACCAGATTGTGAGCTAACACCTTCTCACCATCCCCAAATGTGTAGATGATGATCTTTAACATTCATGGAGGATCACCAAAAACCATCTTTCGTTTTCTCTTTCTAGAGGCTGCTTGGCATGCACTTGCTTTTGCTTTGTTTCTGAGAGAGAGTCCAGCAAGGAATACAGAGGAAAATTGAGTGGTCAATGAGAGAGGAGTGTCAATTTCTAATTAGGATTCAATAAGACGGTAGATTTATGTTATGATAATTAAGAAAATATATATATATAGTTTTTGCTAGCTATTTGGATATTTTTCTCTTAGTATAATTAATGTGATAATCCGAGTAGCATATGTATTGTACTTGTATCTACCTACCATGCTTTTTAGAGCACAGGATTTTGAATTTTTATGACTTTTGTTGTTGAATTTGATTTTTTAGAGCTGCAAGTTTTTTTTTTTTTTTTTTTTTTCAGTTAGAATTCAATCATAAAATGAAATCTATTTACCTTGTATTGATAAAGCAACAAGTGTCTTCATCTTGGAGATGAATATGCCGCTGAAGTATCAGTTTTCATAGACAAAGCCAAAGACTTTTTCAATGGCTTACCGAATATCATGAAATTTTTTTAAACCTATACCACGTAAGTGAAGACCGCTTCAGAAATAGAGGAAAGAATCTATGAAAACAAAGTCTGGTCCTTTTGAAACCATTCTTCATAAGCAGGATTGAGCTCGATCGAGAGCTGAAGTACTGGAATTAGGAATGAGAGGATCGAGGAGGCGCAAGAACAAAACCATCACGAAAACCCTTCAATTTGTGACAGTTTAGAAGTGGCTCGAATTGAGTTTTCTAAACAACATATATAATTTTTTAGAGTTAGTTTGATTATAAAAGAAAAACTTTACTGAGAAGAAAAGTTGGATTTTGTATTAATAGGCATGATTGGAACATTAATAGAAGTAGTTTTTTGGGAAAGCAGTGTGTGAAGCCCTAGATGGCTCTGCATGATGCCTACCATGTAATTTGATTATCACAAACAATAGAAAAGGAAATATTTGCAGAGATGTTTTGTTAACATAATACGTATAAAATACCAACTTTTAAGTTTATAAAATTTTTTAAAATATCCAAAGAGTAGTACACAATCGTTACTTTATAAATTTATTTTTGAAAAGAGAGTTATTTTTTAAGAGAGTTAGATGTAAAAGAAGACAAAGAGAATTACATCCGGATTGATCAAACATGATACGAGGATTTTTACCAACGTTAAATTATTTTTTTATTTTTTATGTTTATCTCTCTTATGGAATAATTTATACTAATTATTCCAAAAATAGTATAAAGTTAGTCAACCGTATATAGTTGTTTGATTGGTACAATAAATTAAATTAACAGATAAACAGCTTCAAGTTGCTTCATTTTTAATTAAGTATAACGTAAATTAATGTCTTAATTTTCGATTTTGCAAATTAATTAAGTTGCCTCAATTAATCCGGCCATGTGATCATATGGGCGGACCAATCCCCGCATGAATTGGCTGTACCCTGTTGTCTTTTTGGGCTATTGCCACTTCCAATTTTCTAACATACGTACGTAGTAGTACATCAATCAATTAATTAATTACTAATTACTAACTTATTTTTTTTATTAGTAAAGCAGAAAATATTATTTTCTTTCTCCACAAAAAGATTATCATACTTGACTTTTTAAATGTATTAAGAATGTCGCTAATTAATACGTCATGTTATCATTTTTTATCTATACTTTTCAAAAATAATCTATTTTTAATTAATTATAGGTTCTTTACGAATGAACTTTAATTAGGGATATTATAATAAAATAAATGGCATAAATATTTTGATTAAACAATTATTTTGGAATATACAAACATAAAAGCAGGACCATATTTTTTAAGACCGAAAAAGAATTCCTTTCCTTTTGCTTTCTACTCGAGTGGTATTAATTTGCCTTAATTAACTTGATGGTGCATGGTGTTAGTAAATGAACCTCCTGCTGATCGAAGAGATCATGGATGTATGGCGGAGCTAGAGGAATTTTTTTTTTTTATACATTTTCTCTTAATTAAAAACGAGGATAATGGATCAATTTGTTTTTATATATATAATATGATAATTTTTTAATTTATCTTTATACCTTTAATTGAACCAATTTTATTTTTAAATAGACATTAAGTATCTAATATATCATTTTAGTAAAAATTTTACGTTAAACTATCGGAATTAATCTCATGATTTACATATTAAAACCTTCTATTTGATTGACTTACGTAAACACCGAGAATACAATTTATTGATCATGTGTAAATTAAATCATGTAATTAATTCATTTGATTTGGTATGAAAATCTTGATAAAAAAATAAATTGAAAACTTAATATATATTTAAAATAAAATTAACTTAATCAAAGATATAATGATATCTTTGACAATTATTTTATTAAATAAGGATAAATTGAAGTATTAACCTTTGAAATAATACATAAAATTTGTGAGAACAACAAACCAAATCAAAATTTAAAATCTAAAAAATTACAATTGATGCAAAATATGATCCAAAATACCCGTCTTATTATCATCGAATAAAAAAAACCATATAATGCCCCGTGCTCATGGAGGATATAGTGATATTAATAATTACATCACCATTATTAACGAATATCAAGCCTAATTAAACTTTTGATCATATGATGATCGAAGCTTATAATAATGTCCTAAACGAAATTACATAAGTTAAGGTGACCTCGTATATTTGTTGGAATTCGTAGCATTAATCCTTATAAATATCGAGAATTTTTTTTTTAAAAAAAAAACACCTAACATCCATTAATTTTTCATCTCTTTCTAACTAATTCCATGCACGTATACATTGATCCTCCATGCAGACTACTATTTATTGTTCCTCTTGATGTTGCTCTTGGAAGCTATATACCTCAAGCATCTTTGCAGTATCTCCTCAAAAATTTCCTCTTCACAAGGAATATGTATACCACCTTCTTGATGATCATAGCCAAACTCCTCAGCAACTTTATCCATCAAACCCCGGAATTCTGGCATTGACAAACAGCTCAAAGGAATCACAAACCTGCGTTGCTCCGCCCCCACATACACCCCTAAAAACCCTTTTGGCACATGTTCAGGAGTACGTACTGAACAGCCCAGTTTGCCGTTTGTCGAGAATTTCGATCCGACAAGCAGAGATTCCTTGGAGTTCTCACTGGAAAATTCCAGAAATTTTGATCTCCCTGCTTTTGATCCATTGTTAAGGGCATGAGGCACTGGACGTTTAAGCTGCAGCCGCCGAGGAGTCCACCACAACCATAGCTGGAGAATTTTCCTTGGCCAGGTCGCAATGCAAATCATCTTTCTCAGATTTGTGGTTGATTGAGATTTCTTGCAGACAATATCCATGGCGGATTAATAATTTATTATAAAATATTCAATACAAAGAAGAAGATTTTGCATGCATGAGATCAATATATCTAATTGATCATCACCAATAATAAATAATGTACATTACATAATTAATTACGTTTCTCAAAATAAAAATAAACAACAACAATAATTAATGGGTCGCAAAAAAAGGACATTAATTTGTGAAAACATGCATGATGGGTTGTTGATTTCAACCATGAAGGAAGTTTGAAAAGGACTTTTTTTCTGCAAGAGAAGAAACAAATTAATGGCTTCACTTGCAGAGGTGAAGTTTGATTAGTCTGTGTGGTTTGAGGCGTTGTGCATATATATATATATATATATATAGGCTGTATGAAAATTTAATGGATGTGGTGAAAGAATCCAAGCATAAAGCTCCAAAAATATTGTATGTTCCGCCACTTATTTTGAAAGCTTCCTCAGTACATGACGGATTCTCCACCATTTTCGACTGCTCAAACAGCCTTCAAATAGTACTAATGAATCTTCCAAATATATATACACACACATTCGAGTTTTTGTGGCATGCAATTAATCTTCTCTTACCACCGATTTTCTCCTTCTTCTTTTTTAATTATAAAGTATTTAAGAGCCAGTAAACTGACATAATTATAGAGTTATTACAAAAAGAATGAAGAACCCACAAGTACTCCCTTGCTTATATATATATATATATATATATATATGGTTTTATGCATAGTGAGATAACATATAATTTGGAATTCTTTTATTCAGACCCTAACTTTTTTTATCCAATTTAAAGATTTTATTCTTATATTGTTATTATTTTAGATTTTAGTCAACGATAATTTACAATGTGTGTACTCTCATCAATGATAACTTGTCACATTGTCAATTTAATCATTCAATTTGAGCTCACCATGACACGTGATAAGTTGTCATTGGCTAGAGCTTATTTGACAACTTGTCATATGTGTTTATGTAACACATCAATACCTAAAACAACAACAGTATAAGAGAAGAGTTTTTAAATTGAGCAAAAAATAAAAAAGTTAGGATCTCAATAAATAAAAAAATTCAAATTATATAGGGTTTCGATATGTGCAAAACCCTATATGAGACTTTTTTTTTTTTTTTTGTCTAATTTAAAACCCTAAGTTTTTTATTGAGACCCTATATATGTTAAATTGAATTCTAAGCATTGTTGGGAAGTAAAGCCGTTATCAACTAGAGTCAGCCTTGGTAGAACAATAACAGCTATTACTAGCTAGATAGTATCACACATGCTAAACCTCTCTATATATATATATGAAGATAATGTTTGTTTTTTGTTTTTGGTTTCAGATCCACCTGTGATCTGTTCATGCACTTAGATTATATCAAAGGAAAGCATAAAAAATGATCATACCATTTTGTCCATTGGGCCATCTGGGACTTTGACATTTTTCATTACTTAAGAGACTCAAACAAGATAGTTCTCCCAACAAGCTACCTAGTTGAACCACTGATTAATTAAGGACTTTAATATTAATTTAAAAAAAAAAAAACTGATATATATATATATAACTAGAAATTAAGATTATACAAATGACACTGATAATGGGCTTTGCATACAGCCCAAAACTGGTTGCCAGTTCCTGGTAATGGCCACATATTGGCCTAGCTTTTGTTAAGAGAGAGATTATTCACATGACTTAGCTTCGACTTGACAAGAATAAATGGCCCAAAAAAATAAGTGAGGGAATGATTAGGTAGACCAAAAAATGCGGTAATTTTTTAATTCACCGTTCCAATTAAATAAGAGAATTCAGCTTTTCATTTTCTTTTTCTTTTTCATCCTCCAAAAAATTAAGCCAAACACATTGCTATTGGAAAATGCCTATTGAAATAACTTATGTGTTATTTGGTTGTAAGGAACAAAATAATAAAAAGTGAATGAAGGTTTTATTTGCATTTTATAATTGTTCAATTAAAAAGAATGAGATATAAATGAGAATGAAAATTACACGTAACTTCATTCTTATCTAAAACGTGAAAATAAAAACAAAAAATAAAAATAATTTTTTAAATAATAATATATTATTTTTATTTATTTCATATTAATTACTTTTATTACAATCACCACTACCACCAATATTAGCTATGGTGATTAAAAAATATATATATATTATTATTATTCTATCATCATTCCTTCTATCATTATTAACATCATTTTTATTATACTATCGCCACCATTCTTCTTTCACAACCATTTTCTATGGTGGTTGTAACAATTTTTTTAAATACATTATTATTATGACTATATGATTATTTATTACAGTCATATCTTCTTCATCCTCCTCATACTCTATTCTCACCATCAAAACTACCATAATTACTACTATTGTTTTTATTATCATCATAGTTTATGAAATTATTTTTTAATTCTTGTTTTTAATTTATATTAAAAATCGGATATTAAAGAATTTAAATTCCATTAGAGTTCTTTATTAATATTTCAAACACAATATGAAAATGCAAACATCATTCTAATTCTCTAATTTTCATTCCGATTCCAAATCTTTCATTCTTGATAACCAAATGACATCTTAAAGTAAAAAGCCGAGGATCAAGCTTTGATAACATCGAAACATCAACATTAATTATGAAGAAATATTCTCAAATAAAATAAAAATCTGAAAACACATGCAAATACTTCTTTTTTCTTACTAAAAAAAATAATAATAATCACATACAAAAATAATGTAGAAACATCAATATTGTGAGAAAATTATTAAGCCTACTCTCGTGTAACACTTTTCGAGAAAATATTCAGTTTGAGAAATTATTCAGTTTACTTTCTCATAATTAAAAGATGAGATCCATATTAGATATTGTTTTAATAAAAATTTCATATTAAGGAAATAGATCTTTGATGTTCCTAATTAACAATTTCTAACATACATATAAAAATAAAATCCATTATTATATTCTTTCCATTTGAGTATATATATATCAGATTTGTTGTCATATGCATATATAGATAATGATTTGGTCAGATCTCCAACACATTCAAAACAATTGAATTTTACTTCCCTTTTATGGCTTTCAACATTTCATTTATACAATCCATCAATCATGGATTCATGAATCCCATTCCTATCCCCATGGCAGCAACCACCACCACCACCAAATCTAAGTGGATGGCCACAATCTCTGAAGTAGCCTTGCTGAAACGAGCCATGAAACGTTGGAAGAGCATCAACATCAAACGTAAAGCCCTTCTCATCTCTTCCAACCACTCGCCTTATGCAAGTAATGGTTCAACCTGTCGAATTCCCTCTGGTTTCCTTGCTGTCTACGTTGGAGAAGAGCGCATTCGGTTCTTGATCCCAACTAGATTCTTGAGGCTCGCAATTTTCAAGGCCCTTCTTGAAAAATCAGGGGAAGAATATGGATTCAAGTTCAGTGGAGGCATTGTGTTGCCTTGTGAGGTCGACTTGTTTAAACAATTGCTCAAGTTTCTTGATAAAGATGAGAAGAAGTATGGAAGGTTAGAGGTAAATGAATTGCTGAAATTGATTTCTGAAGTGGGTTATGATTCTTATCCTTCATGCAAGCAATTTCGTTCTTCTTCTGATCATCATGCCTTCCGTACACCTCTTTTGAAAGCTAGGGCTTGATTGTTTATAATCACTGTTATTCCACCCCGTAGCATGTTGCGTCACAAGTAGAACCCCCGCATTTCTTTTTGTAATCTTATATGTACATGCGTGTGTCTGTGTGAGTTTATCTTATATTTGTTTCTTGTATTCTTTTGAACCATTTTTTAAAAAAAACTTAATTAAAATTCTCTATGGTTCAAATTTCTTACTTCATACATTTTGTCATAAGGCTATTTCGTTATAACGTTATAAATTAATGATCGACAATTCACTTCAATTTTTTAAAATTTTTTATTTTATAATATCACTTAGTGACATTATAACATGTGATCTATAGTAAAATAAGAAAAGAATCTCAATAAAAAAAATTCAAAGAATATAGGATGTAAATATTAAAAAAAATCTTTATATAGAAAGAGGTCGGGCTTGCTTTGTAAATAATTAAATTCTCTCATTTCTCTTCTTCTTTTCTTTCACTTATTCTCCAATGCAAATGCTAGTAATAATATTATTATTCATGATTAGTTGTTAATTTATGAAGCACACGTGACAAGTTCTAACCAATAACGACTTATCACGTCATCAATTTAATCATTTAATTTGGACCTACCATGATACATAGTAAGTTTTCATTTGCTAGAGCTTGTCACGTGTGCTTATGTGACATATTAGGATGTAAAACAACATCAATATAAGAGTAGAACTTTTAAATTAGATTAAAAAAAACTTAGAATCTCAATTAAAAAAATTCAAATTATATGAGGTCTCGATAGGTGCAAAACCTTTTTAAATTTTCATGATAAGTTTGATAATATTCAAAATAAAAGAAAAAAAATCATGTAATTAAATTCAATGTCTTCATACTGAAATTTATTGGAAGTAACATTTTTGTTTCTCTATCCACGTGCTTGTGAAAGAAGAGCAATCAGCAATGAAAGGCAAAATCATAAAATTTACGAGAGCCGACTAATTAAATCAACATTCACAATAATTAATTTAACCACTCAAGGATTCCATTTTTTTTTATGCTAGGTTTATATATATATATATATTCACTTCAATTTTGTTTTATTATTAGAAGCTTACCATTTCAGCTTCGATATATGTTGACTATTTTTCAATTTTCATTCTTAATTTCACTAATTAACTAATAATTAGGTTGACAATATTAACCATAGGACAGATTACACTTCTCCTTAATTAATCAAGTGGCCAGGAAATAAAAGTAGCCAAATAATAAAATAAAATAAAATATATAATAATCAGCCGGATAGAAAATAGCTTTCTAATTAATAAATCTCACTATCAAACATATTTATTTATGTTGATCCAAAACCACATGAAAACCTATTGTTTTTTTGTTTATACAATATTAGGATAAATATATCCGTCTCTTTTTATATAACGCTCAAAGTCTTTTATCTGTTTATGAAAAATTAAAAAAAAAAATTTAAAATCACATGAGCTATATGTTATATTTTTTAAGTTTTTAAAATTTTATTTTAGTAGCATTTCGATTAGGGACATTTTAGTAAAAAAAATTATTTGTCCTCAAAAATTGATCGAAAAGGGCATATTAACCATTTTTAACACTTTCGGAGATAAAGAAAATGCAATTAAAAAACTAAACACATACGAAAGATTTTGAATATTAATTATATAAAAACAAATGGATATATATATATATATATAAAAGGGTAGGAGACAATGAATAAAGACAAATTAATTAAACTGGATTAATTTGACCGATTCTCCCTAAGTATTTATAGGAATTTAATGGACTAATAATCTAAAAAAATATAGGAAATTATTTAATTATAACACTACCGGAAATTGACTAATATTAATTCTCATTGACATGATAGTATCAAGAAATTTCTTCAATTATAATAATATTGGCAGTAGCCACATCCACTAGCGAGCCAGCAGGTAAAATCCCAAAAAGAAAGTAAAAAAAAAAAAGGAAATAATAATAGTACATATATAGTTAATCACTGTTATCAATATCCACCAACATTAAACATGCAACAAATCTAGGAAGAATAAATTTTAATTAATTTTTCTCATGAGATTTCGCTTAATTGTATTAATTATTATTTTCTTGAACTTTCAATTCTTTCTTTCTATATATTAAACTAACCTAACTAATGATATGATATTTTTTATATTTTAATTGACTTTCTAAAGTATTAAAAAAGTCTTAACTAAATATTTACTTTTCAATCATTTTGAAATTCATCTCATCAAAATTTGAAAAAAGAAATACGAAGTGGTATTATTTCAAATATGAAATGCCACGTCATCCGTTATTAGCTGAAGTTTATGAATTTTTAATGTGATTTGAAGGATTAATATATAGAAATTTGAATTATAATTTAGATAAAAATATATACAGTGTATTGGTATTAATTATTAATTTTATCAACTTTATGTTTTACTCTCTCTCTCTCTCTATATATATATATATTGCAATCGAAAATATTAAAAGATGATACAAAAATATGTAATTTATTTATTTTATTTTTTATCAAGAAGCTGTGTTAATTTAGTATTAGATGGTTGTAATTTTATTAAAATATGCAAGATATAAAGTCATAGTTTGTGTACTTTCATCGATATTTATATATATAATAATAGTTTATAAATTTGAGAATATAAGATCAAAAAATTAAATATAATCATAATTGAAAAAACAAGTGCTTAGTTAAGATTTTTGTAAAACTTCAAAAAGGCAATTGAAACAGAAAAGGCATCGCATCATTAGTTATATTTGTTTAATAGATGACAGAGAATAATTGAAATTTTGAAAATAGTTCAAAAAGAAAAAAAAATAGATGCAAATAAAATCTCACAAAAAAAAAAAAAAAAAAAAATCTCCAAAACCTTAGAAGGACAAATTAAAATCTATCCATCTACGCTTTAAAAACACCATATGGTACAAATTAAGAAGCATAAAACGATTACTTTCTTTAATTTAATAAATTTTATAAATTGAAATTGACACACTCTTATCATGGAATAGATGGCATCGATTTTTTATTGGAGCAAATTATAAATTAATCCCTCTAAATTTGAGAAACAATTCAATTAATTTTTATCACTTGATCAATATTAGTTATATTTAATTTAATATTATTTTATTCTAAAACATGTCTTAATCAATCTTTCCACGTATCGTTTTTTTTCCTATTAAAAAAATGGAAAAGAACATAAAGTGGACAAAAAGGACTAAGTTGTTAGTTTCTAAAAAAAAGGACTAATTAATTTATTTCTCAAAACTAGAGGGACTAATTTATAATTTACTCTTTCAGAACGTTCTTAAATCCTCGATGGCTTCCCTGTATTTAGCAATTTCTGACATTTCATATGCTTCTGGCTTCAGTCAAATAGCAGATGGTCCGTGGTTTAGGCATGGCAATGCATGCCTTTTGCTGCCTTTCTTTGCTCTTCTATCTAATTTCAAGCTTTATTATATAGAATTTGTCATCTTTTCAATTCTTTAAACAATAATGAATCTAAAGGAAGAATATCCACTTCCCTTCTCTCCTTCAGGTTTTAAAACACTCAAAGAAAGTTCATCGTTGCTAATATATACAGTGCAAATTACCAGGCAACACCCAAGTTAGAGGCCAGTCACATTTTACTCTCGACTCTCAAGAGTCTTCGTCATCATGCTGTATGCATCCTTCAAAAAACTGGACACGGATCCCGCTAATCTACACCGGATGTGTCTGGATCGATTGAGCTAGCGTGCTCAGCCGTGGAGCATGCAAAATAAACAATTTGGTCAGTTTCTTGCATAACGATCTACGAGCGCCTTGGCCTTCTCCGGAGCGAAAAATCGTGCCTACACATAACAATAACAAGTAACCAATAGAAAGATGAACTCAAATTGAAAAGAAACCCCGGTCACAACATGACATAAAGAAATGCGATTAGTTAAGAAGTAGCTGGAGAACAACTCAAACTATTCCGGATGTCATGTGGTTTCACAAAAGATAACTGGTCTAGCAGCCGTAGAACACAATGCTTAACTGGTTCACAAAAGAAACGGGCCCATTGAGAATTATGACACCATGGTACATGTTTCAGAACCTATGGTATACTTGGCTATGGGCTGCATGAAGCATGCCAACTTGACTTAAGAGCAGCGGTATGGATGTCTCATGAGGTTGTCTCTGCACCCACATACACTATTTATGCACATGCCCTCAAGAACAGTGTGTATGTGTGAGAGAGAGTTAGGCGACATGCATTTAAGTGTGTGCATTTGAAGCCATGCAATTAGATTTATAGTCATATGCTCACTTGTATAAACATCCTCTCTGCATCTCCAACACTTCCGTTTTCTTTTAATAGAATTCCCTGCAGATAGATCAGAAAAACAAAATTTATATGCAATGGGTCGTTACTCGTAACAAGATGAAGATACCAAGAGAAACAGCAGCTCTTTCCTCTGGGACATTTTCCAGATTATTCCAGTATTTTATTGGTAATACATAACTACGATCATCACTTATAAACAGCCAAAAAATTCTCAAGTATTCAACATGCAAAGTTGAACAGAAGGGAATCTAACCTTTGCTAGGTAACCACGGAAGTCATCAGGATGTCTAGAAATAAGCTGATCATAAACAGACACAGCATCACTTACATGTCCCCAATCTGAATAGGCCTTCCCAAGAAGCAAGTCAACCTGAAAGTACATTTCATTTAAAAACAATAGAAAAATATGGCAAAGAAAACACTTTGAAAAATGATATTCAGATCAGGGTACAGAGAACTGAATATAAAAATGAAATTTCATACCAAGAAAAAGGAGAAAAACACGAAAGAAATTTACCACATTGGTAAGCATAATTGAAAATCTTTCAGAATTTAGTAAATTCAGTCATTTCCTAACATTTTCCAGAGTTCTTTATATTACTCTCTTAAAATTTTCGTTTTGTTTGTTTTCCTTCCAATTTTGGCCATCACTTTCACTTCTTTTGTGATAACCAGATGTGTTTATTTTTATTTTATTTCAGTTGCAGATGAAATGAACAGCCCACGTGCACACAGAGATACTTTTACAAAGTGCAGGCATACAGTCCCTATCATTAACTTGAAGCACGAAGGCCATCTCAAAATTACAAAGTTTCTGAGATTTTGTCTTTGCAATTGAAATAGGACAGTTCATCATTTATGCGTGAACATGATCAATACAAGAAGAACAGGTATTTATGGATGTTGCTCGATCTACATGGAGAAGACCATCCTCAAGGGATCATGGACCCGCTACTTTGAAAAAAACTTACTTGAATAGGGTCCACCTCCTGTGATTCAGTTTCTTTTTCAGAATTTAGATTTGCACGAGAAGCCAAGAGGACTTGAACAGCCTTCATAAATAACAGAAAAGAGTTTGTAAGTTAAAACATTTTAACATTGCAGCGTGTAAGATTTTTCTAACAAAAAAGCAATGTATACTTAGATGTGCATATATAAACACAGAAATACATCCAATTTTCATTTTCAGCCAAATCCATTTAGTTGCAGAATTCAGAATACTGTAGCATGTAGAAAATAACCAAGTATATGAGCAAATATTCCAATTATAAAACATTTGCAAATAAGGAAGAACAAAGATATCCTTCTAATTTCAATCTGCAAGCCTAATGACATATGACATACCTCATCTGGTTTCCTAGCAGCAAGCAACGCATTAGTAAGACCACGCAGAACTTCAAAATTGACATTTTTTGAAACCTGCTTTTTAGAGAAAATAGCACCATTGAATGCATCAATACAAGGAATGGAGACAAACATCAACCAAGAAATATACAAAATACTATGCCTTGACTTCTAGATCAATCTGCTAGAGTCCTACACAATACTGCTTCGCATCCACATGACATAGAGGGTTCTAAGCTTTAGGCACCTGGAGAGACAAAAGGTGAGTTTCCTTTTCTTCTATTGTTTATGGGAATATTTCTGAGAATGGGAATCAGTACAGGGAAAGAAAGAAGAAGAATGGGTTGATTTGATTTGTTCAAGGAAGTATTGTGCCATTGCTGCTGGTTATGCCAACACATGCAGCTAAATGAAGAACATACATAAAACATTCAGTTTTTTATTTACAATTTACACTACGCTAACATTCTGTAAATATGTGATGAGAGTAAAAATGGACTCCCTACACTATTCAAACTGGGTCTGGAAACCCCATATTCACAATGTTTCGTCAACAGCAATTGGTAACAAATGAAAAATCAAGGAAAACTGACCGCTGCAGAAATCCTATATGCAGCAGCACTCCCATCATAATCTTTGAGTTCATATTTAAGTTCTCCAAGCAAACGAAAAACATCAGGATCACTTGTTTTCTCCTGCAAATTATTGAAGATCAATTCAATGTGGATCAATCAACTTGAAATACAGTTGAGGCACATATAATGCCTTCATACATGGCATACTGTGAAATACAGAACGATAAACCTTTGCCAGGTCCTGAAGCAGAGAGACAGCCCGATTGTATTCTCCTAATTCGACCAATGTTACTGCAGCTCCCTGCAAGCCTTCTTGGATAAATTTCAAACATTTTTTTTAAAAAAAAATGGACACGTAGTTGATGAAGACATGAGTACCGGTAAAATATTTAATTTTCCTCAAATTATGGTGATAATTTCAATTCTTTACAAACACCAAAAGTTGATTTAGTCATAACCACGTGGGGGAAGGGTGGTTGTTTAACATGGTATTAAAACAAGGAATCCAAAATGCTCTAAACCTCCCAATATCAAACTCAACAAAATGGCTAGAATAAGGTTCATGCATAAGGGAAAGAGGAATGTGTGCTGCGGCATGAGAGAGGGCAGGGCATCATAAGTAATCACCACTCTGTCTATATCAGCTTAAACTTTGGCCATGAATGAATTTTCAGCAAAACACAACGAATATAATGAACTAGTGGTTGCTTCTAGCTGGGAAGCTAGCAAATGCATCAGATTGCCTTTGATTTTTTATTTTTCCTTCTGATGTTATGGCAAACTGAATGCCTCCTTTAAATTTGACATTTTAAAGGTAATGACAGAAACAGAATATTTTAAATTAGAAGTGAAAAGACGAAGTTAAATATCAATAAAACAACTCTAAATGAACATTTTAGTGGCAATAATGCTCAATTATATTTATATTCATCGTGTTCTTTGACTCACTTCTAGTGCAATTGGATCTTTAGGGGCAGTGCTGAGTGTCGACTCGTATTGTTTCAACCGAGCCTGCCAGACAAAAGAAAGGAAAAGGAGTTGGGAAAACATAGCAAAAACAAGAATAGAACTTGTTCTACAATATATAAACCAACAAAAAAAGCATAGACACGTAAACAAGTTTTTCTCTGTAATGAAGAAACAGTGGTGTAACTGACATCTCACATAAGTCAGAATGGTTATGGAAACCTTCATATACATCCTTTTAAACAGATTGTGAAAGTTAATTCTAGTTTTATTGGATGCTTTAAATGCTTTTGCATTGATACTCTGTCGTGAACACACAGACACAGACACACGCGCACGCCCACACACACACACATATAGCCATCTTCAAGAATATTACCCGAAGAGTACTTTGCTCTTCTTCTGATAGCTTTTTATTGACTACTGTAGCTTCTTCAGTTGGGCCATCACTGAAATGTAAGAGTCCAGATTAACATCAGACAAGCCCTCCAAAAATGAAAATACAAATATATTATAGGATTGCCATTTGCTTGTAATGGTGGTCTCTCAGCCAGTACCTAATTCTTAAAAAGGTCCCTGAACTACCAAATGTTCTAATGTGGTCGTTCAACCTTTTGTCTTCATTTTTATTAGGCTATTCGATCCAATTTCATTAATTTTGACTTCTAACGAGAAGTAGTCCTTGTTATGACTATCCACAAATAATGAGATCATCCAGGAAGGAGATGGGTTTACTGGAATCGCTGCTTCAGGCTCCAGAGAGGACCAGAAATAACTTATCCTGACTGAAGGGATTGGTCTCATCAAAAGAAACAAGTGTAAAGATGTCAATTTTTCTTTCGTCAAATTTATGGGTTAAACTCTGCCAAACTCCAAAACAATAGCGACATAATATTTATATTAAACAGCAAAGATAAACAATAAAGAAATCATCACACCTACCACAAAAAGAGAGTTTCACTTCTCCATCTGAGAGAAAGAGGGAGAAGGTATGAGAGGGCTGACTCTTACAGTCTTTCTCTCTCTCCCTCTTCTTTTTCTCTTCTATTGTTTGGTATAGCACAGAGGCCAGTCATAAATCAAGCAGTTGTAGCAGGAATATATAAAGGAAAGAGCGACTGATATGACAAAAAGTAACCAAGCAAGAAAAATTTAAAAGCACCATAACATACCTTCCTGAAGGAAGAAAGTCTCCAAGCGCAAAAACCAAGCCAAAGACCAGAACAGCCACTCCTACTCCAATCTATTCATTTCCAAAGTAGAAGTTAGTTGTGTCAGCATTGCTGAAGAAAATCGCTGCATATGATTCCAAAATGGAAATGGATGTTGTAGAAGTTGTACCTTAGTGCCAAGTCCAATTGTCTTCTTTTCTGTTTCAACTGGTGCATCATAGTCAATTGTTCCAAACTCTTTAACTTCTTCTGCCTTTTTCTGTTCAAGCGCTGACCTGAGTAGTTACAGAATGAATGATCCTCAGGCAAAAATGATGAGAGAGAGAGAGAAAGTCTTGCCAATTAACTATCGTTACGTGATATTAATTGAAAAGGGAAAAGAGAGAGGAAAACCTTGAAACCTTTTGAATATATGCAGTGATCAACGTGAAGAATTATTTTAATACAAAGTAATTTTACATAATGGGCAGAGTAACAGTATTCTGAACAATCACCAAGCAACTATAATGCCAGTTGATATCCATTGGTAATATAAAAAAGACTGATGAAAAGCAAATATAACAAGAATGCATTCTAAGAATGTGAAACATAATGAAAATCGACCTTCTAACTGCTTGCAGCCGTTGCTCAAAATCCACGTCCACAGTATTTCTGCTAGACTTTCCACCAAAACGAGAACTTAAACCCGGTGCCTCTGATAGAACATATATCAACATAACATATAAGCTAAAGGGCATTATTAAAAAGAGCATTTTTCCAAACCAAGTGATTGAACAAAAATTTTGAAGCAGAATCAGGCAGCATCAAGTTTGCAATATATATATATATATATATATATATAGGGAGAAAAAGTGGGAAATCAACATAAAGTGTTGGTTACCCAAAAATTGAATGCCACTCGTAGCCCTCATTCAGCTTTTCATTTAGTTATTCAAAAAAAAAAAAAACAGACTTTAACAAACATGACACAGCTACTGTATGTACAGTAGTAATTATAGAAATGGGTGTTAAAAAGTATAGGTGAAGAAGTGTATTTAGTAACCAAGAAGAGAGAAGATAATAATTGACATACGAGAAGCTGAAGGGGCAGCAGCAGTTGATTTTCTGCAAGAACAACAGCAGATATGAATACAGAGACAGCAAGTAAAGTGTAGATAAAAATAGAAAATATTAGTAGAGGTACTTGGGGTGGAAATGGAGTACCTCTCTCTCACCTTTCTTGTAAAGCCATACCCTTCTCCTCACTTGAGCTATCACTACTTCTACTCACTTTCTTTGTCTGATTAAACATTTGTTTGGAAAGAAAAGAAAAGAAATGAGCAAAGAGAATAATAAAGGTAAATTGTGAGAGCAATAAACGAAGGAGCAGAGTTTTGAATTACTTTGTTTTTGTTGTCAGTTTTGGAACCAAAACCACGCCCTGTGTTAGAATTTCCAGAAGACGGAGAACAACATTGAACTCGAAACCTCAAAAAGTTACTGCTGCTTGTGAGGATTGTCGCCGTCGCTGCTGCTGCTGATGATATTATCGCCATTAATCTCTCTCTCTCTCTTTCTCTCTCTCTCGTAGTCCGGTGGTTTTTTTCCTCTCTCTTTTTTTTTTTTTTTGTTGAAGGGGCGTGTTAATTAATATTAAAATAAACAAGAGGGGCAAGGGAGTAAATTAGAAGCTATACCATATCAAGTATTCTCTTTATATTAAGATTTTTCTTTATAATAACGAGGTTTGATCCAAATTTCATCTCAAATATTCTTTTTATCAAAATCTCTATCTTTAAAATTGAGATACATAGTGTATTTAACTCTCAAATACTAGAGAGTCAGGATGACTCTTTATCTTATATTTCATTAATGACAATTAGTATTTCCTATACCACTCAGCTTCTTCACCAATAGTCTTTCTCGTGTTTTATGGATTTTGTTAAAATAAAAAGTTAAAGTAGAGAGTGGTATTGGAGAGGACATTGATCTTCAATCTATACAATTAATGATGCTTTCTATTTACACTAAAAATGTTAGCTAAAAGTAAAAAATGCCGTTGGAGATGCTCTTAGTCCTCTATTTTCGAGAAACAAATTAATTAGTCGCTTTTGTTTAAGAAAATAATTCTTTAGTTCTTGTATGTTTAAATTTCTTGTAATTTGATTTTTTTCTTTTTTAATTTATTTTTATTTTTTGTTTTAAATGAAAAAATGAGTAAAAATATAAAAGGATTAAGAGAAAAAAAGATATTTTTAAAATAAAATAATATTACATTAAATATGATTAACGCTAATCAAATAATTAAATAATCAATTTTGAAAACAAAAGAAATTAATCAATTCATTTCTATAAGTAGAGGAACCAAATTTTAATTTATTTATAAAAATAAACAGAGGAAGAGAGAGAGAGAGAGAAAGAGGGACGAAGGAGTAAATTATAAATTAGTTCCTTTGTTCTCAATAAACTAATTAATTAGTCTCCCTTGTTTCAAAAAAATAATTATTTAGTCTATATATTTTTTGTAATTTATTTTTTATTTTAATAAATTGAAAAAAAAATTGCAAGTAAAAAAATATGAATGAATTAATGAGAAAAAATGATATTTTTTAAAATAAAATAATATTAAATTAAATGTGATCAACACTATTAGTTAATAAACTAAATAATTATTTTTACACACAAAAATGATTAATTAATTCATTTATTAAGAATAAAGAGACTAATTTATAGTTTACTCTTTGTTTGCCTAACTTTAACATAGCAAATTTAGATTAAGATGGGTAAATTATCCGCCCACTTGGTTGAGCTCACTCCAAATAAATCCAATTTCAAAACATCAATCTTCTCAGATGATAATAAATATATTTGAAAATGAATAATGATTAATAAGTAACTGTTTGACACTTGATTTCTTGGGAATTTTTTAATATTGTAGCTCAAATATTTTCAAATGTGTTTGGATTGTAGATATATACATTTGAAACTTTTTCGAATGTTTTTTATATATAGTTTTAATACTAGAATGTGAAAATCATCGAAACACTAATTGGCTTTAAAATTATATACACTACCACACATTACCATTGAATTCTTCCTATGATTGATCCTATTCACATGCACAAGAAAAACGAGAGCCATGGAGGAAGAAAAAAAACGATGCCGTTTATTCTTTTATCTCAGGCGAGGTTATTATTTAAGATTTTTAAGAACAGAATAAATGATTGGTTACTAAACCGATCAAAATACAGAAATTTAATGTTTTGATTAGTAGAAAAATAATTATCTAATTGAGCAAAATAAATGCAAATAGTGAAAATCATAAAAAAAACGAGTAAACAATACTACATATCAAAAGACAAATTGAATGACGGAAATATATAGAGTTTTAAATATTATCTAATGTGTAGGCGAGATTATTATTGATTAAATTGTGTTAGTGAAGGTTTTTAAGAATTGATTAAACGAATGGTTACTAGACCAATCAGATCAGAATATAAAAATTTGATGTTTTGATTAGTAGAAAAATAATCAACTAATTGAGCAAGATAGATGCAAATAGTAAAAATTGTAAAAAAAATGAGTAGACAATATTACGTACCAAAAGATAAGTTGATCGAAAGAAATATAAGGGATCGAAGTCTAAATATATAGAGTTTTAAGTGTTATCTAACGTGTGAGTGAAATATTTGAAAGTTGAAATTATTTCATAATAATACAAGATTGATATTTATAATAAATTAAAAATTAATTTTGATTGCTAGAATCGTATCATGTCATTCATGTTTGAATGATTAAATTTGAATTTAAGAAAAATTAGTTTTAAATTAAATTGTTTCAACTTGTTAATAGGGTTAAAAAAAAAGTAATAATATAGTTTTTCTTTAGTCCCTTAAATACAGGGATTAAATAATTAAGTTTTCAAACAAAAAATTTTATTTATTTATGCTTCAAAACTAGAGGGACTAAATGTATAATATACTCTCTTTCCCTTTTGAGAGCTCACAGATACCCAAAGTTCAAGATTTTCACTTGATTGATAATTAAAAATAAAATAAATGTTGAAGCTCTTCCCGCCGACGAAATACGCTCTAGTTAAGATTAGAAGAAGACCTCATGTTGGTGTCTTCTTTACATCCTTAATCATGTCCTCACCTTCTTCTCCATATTCTTCTTCTTCCGCTAATGACTATCAGGATGATCTGGTGAGTAGAGACGCAGCAACCATTCTTAACTCCAATAATCCTAACCAGGCCCTTCAATTTTTCAATTATGCTTTAAAAGAGTACCGAACAAGTTCTCCAACCAACAATCTTCCTCGCCTCTATTCAGCCATCATCCATGTCTTAACACGCGCTCGAATGTACAAGCCTGCCAGGTGCTTGATCAAAGACCTCATCCAAACCCTACTCCTCCATCCATCATGCAAATTCGAAAACCATGTTACTTCTTTAGTTTTTGATGCTCTTAATGATTTACAAAGCTCTAAAAAATTCAGTGCTGATGTGTTTGGAGTGCTCATTATTGCATTTTGTGAGATGGGTCTTGTTGATGAAGCCTTGTGGGTGTATCAAAAGATTGTTAAAGTAATGCCCCCTTCAGTGCAAGCTTGTACTGCGTTATTAAATGGGTTGGCTAAGAAGGGTCGGTTTGGTTCCATGTGGGAGTTATACAAGGGTATGGTTTCATTCAAGGTATTGGTTCCTAGTGTTGTCACTTATGCTGTATTGGTTGATGCATGTTGTCGCCAAGGTGATGTTTCAAAAGCTAGGAGTTTGATTTTTGATGAGATGGTCAAGGAGAAGGGGATTGGACCAAACGATGTCATCTACAATACTCTTATCCGTGGTTTATGCAGTGAGAGTAAATTGTCAGAAGCAGAAGCCCTATTTCAACAGATGCGGGAATCTGGGGTTTTGCCAGATTTGTATACTTATAACATTCTGATAGATGGTTACTGCAAAATGGCAAACGTCAAGCAAGCACTTCGCTTGTATCAGGGCATGCGTGGTGGCGGTCTGAACCCAAATATTGTTACTTTTGGTATCTTAATAGATGCAGTTGGCAAAGTGGGTGAATTGTTAGCAGCAAGAAGTTTGTTTGTACACATGGCTAAGTTTGGTGTTTGTCCTGATTTAACTGTGTATAATCGTCTCATTGATGGCCACTCTAAGTCAGGGGATCTATCCGAAGCCATGAATTTGTTTTTTGAGATGGAAAAGTTCAAAATTTCACCTGATGTTTTTACATACAGTATACTTATAAAGGGTTTTTGTGGCATAGGTAGAACAGAAGAAGCGGAGGTTTTACTGAAAAGAATGAATAGTGAAGGGGTTATTGCAAACTCTGTAACATACAATTCCCTAATCAGTGGATACTGTAAGGAAGGAAATATGGAAAAGGCTCTGGAGGTGTGTTTTCAAATGACTGAAAAGGGTGTAGAGCCAGATGTTATCACCTTTTCTACATTGATTGATGGTTATTGCAAGGCAGGGAACATGCAATCTGCAACAAATTTATACTCGGAGATGGTAAGCAAAAGTGTTGTGCCTGATGTGGTTGTATTCACAGCTTTGATTGATGGGCACTGTAAAAATGGTAACATGAATGAGGCCCTTCGGCTGCATAAGGAGATGCTAGAGACTGGGTTCAACCCCAACGTTTTCACAGTCACTTGTTTAATTGATGGCTTTTGCAAAGATGGGAGGACTTCTGAGGCTATCAATTTTTTTTTGGAGAACACTAGATGTGGGTTCACCGGAAAGCAAATTAATAAAATGAATGGCAGTTTTTGTAACCCCAATCATGTAACGTACAAATCTTTAATTCAGGGCTTGTGCAGGGTTGGGCAAATTTTTGAAGCTTCCAAGTTTTTCTCGGATATGAGATCTGGTGGTATTCAACCAGATGCTTGGACTTACACTCTCATGTTAGAGGGACATCTGATAGGGAAGCATATGATTGATGTGATGATGTTGCATGCTGATGTGATAAAGATGGGTATCATGCCAAATGAGAAGATACGCCTGCTCTTAACAAGGTGTTATCAAGAAAATGGATACCTGAAGTCAGCTTTCAACTGTTCCAAGGACTGATTAGGTGTTCTGAATCAGCAGCATTATAACAGGATCATGTAATGGTGACAACAAGAAGCCCTGATGTCTATGATTTCCTTAAAAGGAAGATTGGATCTTTTCAGGGTGATGATGGTCCATCCTGTATTAGATCACCCGCATCTGCACCATGCCAAAGTGGATATGGCTGACCCAGAACTGACCTATTACTAGTTTCTTCATCTACAACCTTTCTATAACTTTGGTTTCTATATGGCTGACCCACTTTGCAAAGCAGGAAAATTATTAACAGCAAGGAAGGAGTTTGTTCGTTCACATGGCTAAATTAGGTTTTTGTCCCAATTTAATTGTGTATAATTGTCTCATTGATGGCCAATCTAGTTCAGGAAATCTATCTGAAGCCACACAATTGTTTTTGGAGATGGAAAAGTTCAAAATTTCACCTGATGTTTTTCGTACAATATACTTATTAAGGGTTTTTGTGGCGTGGGTAGAACTGGAGAAGCAGATGTGTTACTGACAAGAATGAATAGTGAAGGGGTTATTGCAGACTCTGTGACATACAATTCCCTAATCAATGGATACTGTAAGGAAGGAAATATGGAAAAGGCTCTGGAGGTGTATTCTCAAATGACTAAAAGTGTAAAGCCAGATGTTATCACCTTTTCTACATTGAATGATGGTTATTGCAAGGCTGGGAACGTGCAATCTGCTACAAGTTTATACTCGGAAATGGTAATCAAAAGTATTGTGCCCGATCGTGTAACTTAAAGATCTTTAATTCAAGGCTTGTGCAGGGTTGGGCAAATTTTTGAAGCTACCAAGTTTTTTTTTTTTGGGGATATGAGATGTGGTGGTATACGACCAGATGCTTGCACTTACACTTTCATGTTAGAGGGGCATCTGACAGTGAAGCATCTGATCGGTGTGATGATGTTGCATGCTGACGTGATAAAGATGGGTATCATGCCAAATGATAAGGTATGCCTGCTCATAACAAGGTGTTATCAAGAAAATGGATACCTGAAGTCAGCCCTCAACTGGTCCAAGGATTGATTATGTGTTCCGAACCAGCAGCATTATAACAGGACCATGTAATGGTGAGAACAAGAAGAAGCCGCATATACCATGAATGTAGACTTTGATTTCCTTAAAAGGAAGATTGGATCTTTTCAGGGTGATGGTCCATCTTGTATTGAATTGCCTGCATCTGCACTGTGCCAAACTGGATATGGCTGACCCAGAACTTGACCTATTACTTATCTTCATCTACAACCTTTCTATAACCTTGGTTGCAATCTAGAACAACCCCTCCAGCCAGTCTTTTGTCGTAATTTGGCTTTCTTTTGTTTTTGTTTTTGTTTTTGTTTTATAGATATACTCTTCAATCTAGAGACCCTCTGATCCTCATAATCATCAGGGCCTGCTAGTTGGGCACGAGGAGAGGTAGTGTTCCCTTTGAGCAGAAAAATAAATAAACGAAGTTACTAATTAAGTTTCTTTTTTTACTTTCTCTTGATCTTTCCCTTCTTGTTTCCTACTTTCCTGATATTTGCCTTAATCTCTCTCTCTCTCTCTCTCTCTCTCTCTATATATATATATATATATAGGTATGTCTTCTTCAATATACTTAGCTTCAATTCTGCTTCTACTTTGCAAAAAAAAGAAGTCTGGGCAATAGCTAGCTTGAATTTAACTTGTTTTTCCTCTTTTACATATTGTTGTTGTAGATTTTTCTGGTTTGGACTGAACTTTCAAGACTTGTCCGTAGTTTTATAAAACTTGTTTGTGCTTAAAGATATGTACTGTTTTCAAAATAGGATTTTCCTTTGAACTGAAAATTTTGTTCCTCTGGATAGTTTGCTTTCGTTTTCCTTCGACTAATTCATCAAGTAATTCTGCAGACTCACGCTGTGGCAAAAGACCTTCTCAAATATCACTCCCAGAATCTTGGCTTGGTTGTTGGTGGTGCGGCAAGAAGAGGAGAAGCAGAACATTGTTAAAGGGGTAAATTAGTGGTGGCAATACCTGGTCGACTTCTTGATTATCTTCAAAACAAGAAGGAATTTATCTATAAGAAAGTTATACAAGATGATTCTCGTTTTATTTTCAAATTATTAAATCACCTGCATCTGCATTGTGCCAAACTGGATATGGCTGACTCAGAACTTGACCTATTACTAGTATCTTCATCTATAACCTTTCTATAACCTTGGTTGCAATCTAGAATAACCCCTCCAGCCAATCTTTTATGGTAATTTGGCTTTCATATGTTCTTGTTTTATAGAGACCCTCTGATCCTCATAATCATCAGGGTCAGCTAGCCAGAGCATGAAGAGTGGTATACTTTGCTATTGTTCCCTTTGTCATCCATAAGAAAAAAAAATATATCACTTTAAGAGTTTGGTTTGAAACCAAAATTGGCCAATGATGGAAAGCAATCACCTCCTGAGGTAAAAAAAAATAATAATAAAATAAAATTTCACTTGCCTGCTGATTTTTTCAATTTTTTTTTCTTTTTAACTTCAAATTGTTCTTGCAGTTAGAGAAATATGCCGCCAAAGCAGGCCTTCTCTCTCAAGGAGATAAAACCAAACATTGATGGAAGGAAAAACCTTGACTCTCAATATGCTCACCTTGGTTGAACCACTATATCTTGTGTACGTAAGAGTTGTAGGAGCTGCCCACTTGCCTGTGAATCAAGCTACTGACACTTGTGACCCTTGCGTTGAAGTGAAGACTGGAAAAAATAAGGCAACAACCAAGTAAATTCAAGGTACATTGGCCCCTATATGGAAACAAATGATCGTCTTCAATCAAAGAATAGAGAGATTTTGGTGAGAGATAAGGCAGCTGTGACTAATGCGAGCATCGGTGGTATTGCAGTTGGTATAGGTGATATCCTTACTCGGCTTCTGGGGGATTCTTCACTGACACCACAGTGGTATGGACTCGCAGATCAGAATGGAGTTCCTGGTAGATCAGGAGACTTGATTGGCTATATGGGTAGGGAATCAAGTGGATGTCGCATTTTTAGTAGCTTGGCATTTAGATGCAGCTTCTGTTAGAGTTGACAAGTTATGTAACACTCGTCCACAGGTGTACTATTCACCAAGACTGATATCTTAGAGTTAAGGTGAATAGTGCTCAAGGCTTGGTGGTTTTGGATCCAAATCGAAAACCAGAAGTTTATTTGAAGGCTACGTTGGGGAATAAGGTTTTGAAGACTAAGGTTTCGAAGAACAAGAGTGTGAATCCAAGCTGGAACGTTGAATTGATGTTTGTTGTAGCTGATCCATTTGAAGATGCTTTGATTTTGAGTGTGGAAGATGATAGAGGAGATAATAAGGTAGATTATTTAGGGAGGTGTGTAAATCCTTCGCATAAAATTACTCGAGAGACTCTTGCCTCCCCTTCCAAGTGAAGAGATAATTAATCTTAAAAGTTATGGAGTGATAGATGAAGAGCTGACAGAGAAATTTTCTAGCTTGTGCAACTATATTTTTGGATGGTATGTATCATGTTTTTGACAAACCTGCTCTATTCGTATTGATTTGACTGAAACATCTCCTAAACTAAAGCCAGGTAAAGTTGGAGATTGGGAGTTAGGGATCTTAAAAGCTGAAGGGTTGGTGTCCATGAAATCCAAGAATGGTTTGGAAACTACTGATGCCTTTTTTGTGGTCAAATATGGACAGAAGTGGGCAAGGACTAGCACTGTTGTTAGCTGTCTAGCTCCAAAACGGATGAAACAATATCAAGGGGATGTTTATGATCCATGCAGTGATTGCGATTGGAGTTTTCAATAATGTAATTTACAAGCAGGGGATGGATGGTATGATACATTAATTGGCAAGGTAATCAGGATTCGGGTCTCGACACTAGACTTTGGTCGGATATATAAATATGCTTATCTTCTGATGGCCTTGAAGCCTGATGGGTTGAAGAAAATGGAAGAACTTCATTTTACTCTATTATTTAACTGCACAAAAACATGGGGTGATATGGTATACCAATATAAACAGCCTTTGATTCCCATAACACAATATACTAACCCAATGTCTGTGTATCAAATAGATAATTTAAGGCACCAGGCTGTTCAATGCATAACTTGGAGACTCGCCCATGCCGATCCACCATGAAGCAGAGAGGTCGTGGAGTCTATGTTGAATGGACCTTGATCTGTATGGAGCTTCCGGAAGAGTGAATTTCACAAGAGTCATGGAATGTTTGAAGTGCTTTGCGACGGCTTGGAATTTGTTTGACAACCTACGCTAGTGGAAGAATTCAGGGATGATGGTTTTGGCCTGAGCAGCGTTTGTTTGTGCCATATGTTATTCAGAGATGATCGTTCTAGGTTTCGTGTTGTTTCTTTTCTGTTATGGTCTTCAGAACTATTTGTAGAGGCCCAGAGATATTCCATATCTGGATACAAAGTTATCTCATGTTGAAACTGAGAACGTTTTAGACATCGAGGAAGAGCTAGAGTCATTTCCTACATCTGCACTGCCCCGATATTTGAGGTTAAGGTATGATACTTTGAGAAGCATAGGATATAGGATAGAATCAGCAGTGGGCAACTTGGCAACTCAGTTGGAGAGGTTTCATTCTATATGGTCTGGAGGGTTCAAAGAGCTACCATAATCTTTATGCTTTTCTTTTTCATAGCTATTATTGTGTTTTTCTTGGTGCCTTTCTGGTAGCTTTCTATTCTTTTGCCACATACCTGTTAAGGTCTCCAAGATTTTGAGTTACTCTTCCACCGATACCTCAAAACGTATTCAGGTGGTTGCCTACCAGAGATGAATGCTTGCTTTGATCGATCTATCATTCAATCCCTTCTGCAATTTTGATGTTATATATATATATAGAATGGATATTCTGTTGGATGGATGAAACTTGGAGTTATTAATTTTATTTCCTGATTAAACTTTTAGTGAGTTATGATGAATTGATATGTTCTGACTGAATTAGTTTGATTTTTTGCTTGATCTGTGTTAGTTTGATGGGTTTTCGCTCTTATACAGATTGTTGGGTTGCTCCTCTTTCATTTCACCTCCTGTTGGATTGAAGTGCTATGGGTGACGAAATACTCTGATGTATTTCCTTTCCGCTGCAGTGCTAGTTCTTTGGATTCTGGTCATATATATCCATATATCTTTTGTTTCGGCTGGTTCGGCTCAGGTTGAGAGGCTGTCTTTTCAGAATCTTGGTGCTTATTAGAACATTTGATCCCTAACACTCGCCATGTTTCCCCTGACACTTGGCATGTTTCAAAGATGATGGTACCTGCAGTCCAGCTATTCTGGTTTGGCTCATCTCTTCTTTGGCGCTTGACGGAGAGAACTGTTCATCCGACTTAGTCAGATTGAAACTCCCGAATTATTGTTCCTAAAATACATGTTTGGATGATGCTTCAGATGATGATCTAACGCTGCTATCAAATCTCCTGGTGCAAACTATGATTCTTATCATCTATCGTCAACTTCTGTGATCTGTCTCACGGTAGCAACATTCTTTCGCGTTTCAGCAGTTGCATGCACATATGTTTCCTTTTAAATAAGTTGATTTTCCTTCTTCCTTTTTTTTCTTTGGGTAAATTATAATCAATTTTTTATTTGAGAAACAAATTAATTAGTTCTTTTTTTTAAAAAAAAAAACTATTTATTAGTGTTAATCATGCTTTATTTAATATTATTTTATTTTAAAAAATTATAATCTTTTCTTATCAATACTTTCATTTTTTTTTATTTTTTAAAACGAAAAATCAACATAAATTAAAAAAAAAATAGGAATAAGTTATCACAAAATTGAAAAATATAAAGACTAAATAATTATATTAAAAAAAGATTAAATAATTATATTTTGAAAAGGAGAGAATTAATTGATTTAATTCTGGAAACTAGAGGGACTAATTTATAATTTACCCTTTTTTACTTTACGAATACCCAAAGCACTGGATTTTCACTTGATTGATGATAGAAAAAAATGTTGAAGCTCATCCCGCTGACAAAACACGCTCGGTTTAAGATTAGAAGAAGACCTCATGTTGGTGCCTTCTTTAAATCCTTAATCATCTCCTCACCTTCTTCCCCGTATTCTTCTTCTTCCGCTAATGAATATCAGAATGATATGGTGAGTAGAGACGCAGCAACCATTCTCAACTCCAACGATCATAAACAAGCCCTTCAAATTTTCAATTCCGCTTTAAAACGCTACCCAATAATTTCTGCAACCAACAGTCTTCCTCACCTCTATTCAGCTATCATCAATGTTTTAACATGTGCCGGAAGGTACAAGCCTGCCAGGTGCTTGATCAAAGACCTCATCCAAACCCTCCGCCATCCATCCTGCAAATTCGAAAACCATGTTGCTTCTTTAGTTTTCAATGCTCTTAATGATTTGCAAAGCTCTGAAAAATTCAATCCTGAGGTGTTTGGAGGGCTCATTATTGCATTTTGCGAGATGGGTCTTGTTGATGAAGCCTTGTGGGTGTATCAAAAGATTGTTAAAGTAATGCCCCCTTCAGTGCAAGCTTGTAATACACTATTAAATAGCTTGGCTAAGAAGCGTCGGTTTGGTTCCATGTGGGACCTATACAAGGACATGGTTTCGTGCAAGGTATTGGTTTCTAATGATGTCACTTACGCTGTATTGGTTGGTGCTTGTTGTAGCCAAGGTGATGTTTCAAAAGCTAAGAGTTTGATTTTTGATGAGATGGTCAAGGAGAAGGGGATTCAACCAAGCGTTGTTATCTACAATACTCTTATCCGTGGTTTTTGCAGTGAGAGTAAATTGTCAGAAGCAGAAGCTCTGTTTCAACAGATGCGGGAATCTGGGTTTTTGCCTGATTTGTATACTTATAATATTCTGATAGATGGTTACTGCAAAATGGCAAACGTCAAGCACGCACTTCACTTGTATCAGGGCTTGCTTGGTCGCGGTCTGCAGCCAAGTGTTGTTACTTTTGGTATCTTAATAGAAGCACTTTGCAAAGTGGGAGAATTATTAGCAGCAAGGAGTTTGTTCGTTCACATGGCTAAGTTTGGTGTTTGTCCTGATTTAATTGTGTATAATCGTCTCATTGATGGCCACTGTAATTCAGGGAATCTATCTGAAGCCATGCATTTGTTTTTGGAGATGGTGAAGTTCAAAATTTCACCTGATATTTCTACATATAATATGTTTATGAAGGGTTTTTGTGGTATGGGTAGAACAGAAGACGCAGATGTGTTACTGAAAAGAATGAACAGTGAAAGGGTTATTGCAAACTCTGTAACATACAATTCCCTAATCAATGGATACTGTAAGGAAGGAAATATGGAAAGGGCTCTGGAGGTGTTTTCTCAAATGACCGAAAAGGGTGTAAAGCCAGATGTCATCACCTTTTCTACATTGATTGGTGGTTATTGCAAGGCAGGGAACATGCTACTTGCTTCAAGTTTACACTCGGAAATGGTAATCAAAAGTATTGTGCCTAATGTGGTTGTATTCACAGCTTTGATTGATGGGCACTGTAAAAATGGTAACATGAAAGAGGCCCTTCGGCTGCATAAGGAGATGCTGGAGACGGGGCTTAACCCCAACGTTTTCACAGTCAATTGTTTAATTAATGGCTTTTGCAAAGATGGGAGGACTTCTGATGCTATCAATTTTTTTTTGGAGAACACTAGAGATGGGCTCACTGGAAATCAAATAAATGAAATGAATGGCAGTTTTTGTACTCCCGATCATGTAGCGTACACATCTATAATTCAAGCCTTGTGCAGGGATGGGCAAATTTTCGAAGCTACCTAGTTTTTTTGGGATATGAGATGTGGTGGTATTCAACCAGATGCTTGGACTTACACTGTCATGTTAGAGGGGCATCTGAAAGTGAAGCATATGATTGATGTGATGATGTTGCATGCTGATGTGATAAAGATGGGTATCATGCCAAATGAGAAGATTTGCCTGGTCCTAACAAGGGGTTATCAAGAAAATGGATACCTGAAGTCAGCTCTTAACTGTTCCAAGGACTCGATTAGGTGTTCCGAATCAGCAGCATTATAAAAGGATCGCTTAATGGTGAGAACAAGAAGAAGCCAAATATACCATGAACGAAGAATATGATTTCCTTAAAAGGAAGATTGGATCTTTTCAGGGTGATGGTCCATCCTGTATTGAATCACCTGCATCTCCGCGGTGCCAAACTGGATATGGGTGACCCAGAACTGGACCTATTACTAGTATCATCATCTACAACCGCTCTATGGCCTTGATTGGACCTATTACTGAGAGTTCATTGAACCAGTATCTTGTAAATTTTTTTTTCATATTTATTGAATTCTTGCGATTATTCAATGGGAAATTTTGAATGGAATCCAAATGTGAAAAAGATTCCAACTTTTCCAAAAGTGTTAATTTCTTCATTTAAGTAACCAAAAAAAGATCTGCATTATCACTAGAAAACATGGAAAGGGCAAAAAAAAAAAAAATGTTAATCTTACTTTCATTTCTTTGATATTTTGGTTGCCAAATTTGTTGCTTGTTTTTTCCCCCTTTTGAGCTAGTGATTAATAAGTTTGTCAAAAATAACAAAGTGAGAAGAGGAAGTGAGCCTGGACCAGTCCAGGCGCGAGCTGGGTCGTGTCCCTGACCTGGGTGCTCCAGAAATTGGGCCTGGCGGTCCAGAGCCATTCTCTTTTTTTTTTAAAAAAAAAAAAAAAAAAAAAACAGAAGCCGATGCACACTCCCCGGGCCTACTCTGAATGGAAGAAAAAATTAGTGAAAACAGAGGTAGAAGAGAATAGCCAATGTACACTACTGGAGAGAAATATAATAGTAACATAAATTGGTGTTAGTGATTGGAAGGTAACTGAGAATCAGAGTGATTGGAAGGTACTGGAGAAAATATAATAGCCAATGCTGGGTTGATAACCTCCTGCATTTTACTTGCTGCGATAATGTTTTTCTCTCATGGAAATGCTATCTGTCTGTATGTAACTGATAATTTTATTCCATTCAATAAACTAATCTATTGTTTTCAATGTTTCCCTGAATTTCTTATCATTCTCACGCTGGCATCGTTCTGGCTTTCTTCCACAAGTTCGTCTTTCTCTCTAGCACATGCGCGCGCACAGTTTTTAAAAAATACAAGGGAATATGATTTTCTGAGTAAATTTGTAATGGTTCTTTTAATTTGTCTATTACATGGACTTGTCCATTAAGTACCATCTTCCCAGACTAAGTTCAAACAGAACAATTTATATCTGTGTAATTGATATGGATTAGTAGATTTGTACAAGACTCCAAGGTATCAATCTTGCGTAGTCTCTGCGACGCAATTAGAAAGTACGAATAAAAACAATGTTTCCAATATTAATTGTTGTGCATGTTTAAACAACAACCATTTCTCCTGATCAAAGAACCTACATCGATGAAGAGCTGATCTTCCCCTCTGCAATTCTTTATAACAGAAGCACGCTCACTCCAAACTACCGAAAAAGGCATTCACTGGCCTTGTTCATTCTCTTGCGCTAATGAACTACAGAATCATGAATTCTGGGTTGTTTTTTTTAACCAAGCTAGCCAAGTAGGAGCTGTACAAATTTTTACAATCAGGAATTCTGGGTTGTTTTTTTCAATCAAGTTAGCCATGCAGGAGCTGTACAGATTTTTACAATCATAACTGGAAACCTGCCCTTGCTTCTTGTGTTAGACAATCTCTTAATTTATGTTGTGTATTTAAACAAATGGTGCAGAAGCATCAGTGCGGGGATAGCTCAGTTGGGAGAGCGTCAGACTGAAGATCTGAAGGTCACGTGTTCGATCCACGTTCACCGCATTATTCTTCACTTTTTTATTCCCATATTTCTTTGGGATAAATTTGGAGCTTCTCCCTTTATCATCTTTCTCCAATGTTGGGCTTTTCAGAGCAGAAGAAATCATATTTTTCCAATGTTAGGGCTTTTCAAAGCAGAAGATAGGCCATAAAGCGATTAACCATAAGCCATTCCTGCTGATTGAGATGGCACATCTCGTGAAGAAGTACAGAGATGACTCCCGCCCTTTATAAGTACCAGCATAGTTTTAAATTGCAGAAATAATTATAAAATAATCATGATTATTGATATTATTGATTGGGGTTTATCACCCTAATATGTGAATATATCAACGACTACTAATCAATTTATTTTAATCTACGTATTTTTAATAATTTTTATAATTAAACATAATCATAAAAATTTTAATAGTTTAATACATCTGGATGTTGAAAAAAATAGTGATATTTTATGTGGTTTGGTGGTGTTTTTTCAAAGAATCGACAATCGTTATCCATCAAATAATGACTATTATTTATTGTCATATTTCGATGAAATATCGTTGGACTCTCTATAGCACCGTGTAACGAAACGAACATACTCGAATCCGTTAGATAACCATAATTTGGAACTCTGGATAATAAGTTCATCAAATAACGACTTTATTTATTGCCATATATAGATGAAATATCGTTGGACTCTCTATAACACCGTATAAAAAAAAACAGATACACTTGAATCTGTCAAATAACCGTCATTTGGAACTATGGATAATAAGCGAAGTCCAGATAAATTATAAAAAAAAATGAAGAAGAAGAAGCAAAGGCCCAAAACAAAAAGTATAGGCTTGCGTGATTGGGCTTAGAGAGTCAGGCTCGTGCTCGTAATCCTGAAGATACAAGGCCCATATAGACAGGATCTGAAAAAAAAAACGGACGACAAGTCGCTGACTAGCAGACGATGAGTCATCCGTCAACCTACTTGAGTTTGCTAGAAAAAAAAAATCAGGTTTCCAATTTTTAGTCTCTCCAATGCAAATCAAACATTATTTTTTTTTCTAAAAACACCTTAAAATCATAGAGATAAAATCAATAAACTCGTTTATAATCTCTAAAATCATTTAAATACATATAAAACATATAAAAATCTAAATAGAACATAAAAAGCTCAAAATATTTAGGGATCTTGATCAATATTTTCAAACAAACTCATGACTTTTCACCGTTTTATACAAACTATCCTTTCTGAAATGAACAAATTAAGTCCAAGACGGAGAGCCAAAATAGATAGAATGAGACTTGTACTGAATTTCTCTCTCTCTCTTACCATCTTTTTTGCTGTTTTTTTCTCCTTCTTACAAGTAAAGACCAAACATTGATATAAATGAAGTTCCAAAATAAATAAAAATATCTTAAAAAATTAGGAATCAAAATGCAACATTGGCAAAAAGTACATATAAATACATAAAAAAAAACTTTAAAATTACAAAAATACCATTACCAAAATACCAAAGAATGCCATTGAACCGAATCTACAGTATATCCACATTGTTCTATGAGATGGTGAATAATAAAATATACAATGATTCAAGGTTTTGTTTTGTTTTTTAATTTTAAATGAGTAAATTAATTAGCTTGCTGATTTTAAAAAATTGTCATCTTTTCTCATATATATATATATATATATATTAAACAAAAGACCAACGTCAATTGAAAAAGAATAGAAAGGATTAAGATGCAACAAAATTTAAAATATAGACTGAATAATTATTTCTTTGTAACAAATAGGACCAAGTAATTTATTTTTAAAAACTAAAAGGATTAACTTATAATTTACTCTCTTCTTCTTTCGAGACGTCAAAAGCACAGAATTTTTACTTGATTGATAATGGAAAAAGAAAAATGTTGAAACTCTTCCCGCCTACAAAACACGCTCTATTTAAGATTAGAAGAAGACCTTATAAGCGTGTCTTCTTCCCATCCTTAATCATGTCCTCACCTTCTTCCCCATATCATTCTTCTTCTTCTTCTTCTTCTTCCTCTAATGAATGTCATAATGATCTGGTGAGTATGGACGCAGCAACCATTCTCAACTCCAACAATCCTAAACAAGCCATTCAATATTTCAATTATGCTTTAAAACACTACCCGATAACTTCTCCAACCAGCAATCTTCCTCACCTCTATTCAGCCATCATCAATGTCTTAACATTTGCCGGAATGTACAAGCGTGCCAGGTGCTTGATCAAAGACCTCATCCAAACCCTACTTCTCCATCCGTCCTGCAAATCCGAAAACCATGTTCCTTTTTTAGTTTTCGATGCTCTTAATCATTTACAAAGCTCTGAAAAATTCAGTCCTGATGTGTTTGGAGTGCTCATTATTGCATTTTGTGAGATGGGGCTTGTTGATGAAGCCTTGTGGGTGTATCAACAGATTGTTAAAGTAATGCCCCCTTCAGTGCAAGCTTGTACTGCGCTATTAAATGGGTTGGTTAAGAAGGATAGGTTTGGTTCCATGTGGGAGTTATACAAGGACATGGTTTTGTGCAAGATATTGGTTCCTAATGTTGTCACTTATGCTGTATTGGTTGGTGCTTGTTGTCGCCAAGGTTATGTTTCAATAGCCAGGAGTTTGATTTTTGACGAGATGGTGAAGGAGAAGGGGATTCGACCAAACGTTGTTATCTACACTACTCTTATCCATGGTTTTTGCAGTGAGAGTAAATTGTCAGAAGCAGAAGCTCTGTTTCAAGAGATGCGGGAATCTGGGGTTTTGCCAGATTTGTATACTTATAATATTCTGATAGAAAGTTACTGCAAAATGGGAAACGTGAAGCAAGCACTTCACTTGTATCAGGGCATGCTTGGTGGTGGTCTGTACCCAGATGTTGTTACTTTTGGTATCTTAATAGATGCACTCTGCAAAGAGGGAGAATTATTAGCGGCAAGGAGTTTGTTCGTACACATGGCTATGCTTGGTGTGTGTCCCAATTTAATTGTGTATAATCGTCTCATTGATGACCACTCTAAGTCAGGGAATCTATCTGAAGCCATGCATTTGTTTTTGGAGATGGAAAAGTTAAAAATTTCACCTGATGTTTTTACATACAGTATACTGATGAAGGGTTTTTGTGGCGTGGGTAGAACAGAAGAAGCATATGTATTACTGAAAAGAATGAACAGGGAAGGGGTTATTGCCAACTCTGTAACATACAATTCCCTAATCAATGGATACTGTAAGGAAGGAAATATGGAAAAAGCTCTGGAGATGTTTTCTCAAATGACTGAAAAGGGTGTAGAGCCAGATATTATCACCTTTTCTACATTGATTGATGGTTATTGCAAGGCAGGGAACGTGCAATCTGCTACAAGTTTATTCTCGGAAATGTTAATCAAAAGTCTTGTTCCTGATGTGGTTGTATTCACAACTTTGATTGATGGGCACTGTAAAATTGGTAACCTGAAAGAGGCCCTTCAGCTGCACAAGGAGATGCTGAGGGCGGGGCTCAACCCCAGCGTTTTCACAGTCACTTGTTTAATTGATGGCTTTTGCAAAGATGGGAGGACTTCTGATGCTATCAAATTTTTTTTGGAGAATACTAGAGGTGGTCGCTCTGGAAAGCAAATCAATAAAATGAATGGCAGTTTTTGTACTCCCAATCATGTAATGTACACATCTTTAATTCAAGGCCTGTGCAGGGATGGGCAGATTTTTGAAGCTACCAAGTTTTTTTGGGATATGAGATGTGGTGGTATACAAGCAGATGCTTGGATTTACACTGTCATGTTAGAGGGGCACCTGACAGTGAAGCATCTGATCGGTGTGATGATGTTGCATGCTGATGTGATAAAGATTGGTATCATGCAAAATGAGAACATATGCCTGATCTTAGCAAGGGGTTATCGAGAAAATGGATTCCTGAAGTCAGCTTTCAACTGTTCCAAGGACTCCATTAGGTGTTCCCAATCACCAGCATCATAACAGGATCATTATAAAAGGTGAAAAAAATTCCAATTCTTTCACAAGTGTTAATTTCTTCATATAAATAAAAAAAAAAGGGAAAAAATGGGGGTTTAATCTGACTTTTTAATTTCTTTGATTTGTTGCCTTTTTTTAATAGTAATTACTTTCTGTTTTCCAAGCTGGTTATCACCAATATTTTCATCATCCTATTTTTTGCTTAAAAAAAAAAAAAAAATCATAAACAGAGAGAGAGAGAGAGAGAGAGAAGAGGAAGTGGGCTTGAACTAATTCAGGCGTGTACTGGGCCACAATGTGCTAAGAATTAGGCCTCACTGTCCATATTTTAAAAAAATCAGAAAAACAGGAGAAATTATAAATTAATCCCTCTCATTTCGAAAAATAAATTAATTAACTCAGTATTTTGTTTATTATTCATCTAACGTAGCACCACCTGTCCATATTTAAAAAAAAAATCAGGAAAAGAGTAGTAAATTATAAATTAATCCCTCTCCTTTCAAAAAATAAATTAATTAACACAGTGTTTTATTTATTATTCATTTAAGGTAACACCACATATCAACGATTGACATGTGATTTTATAAGTCTCAAACACAGTATTTCTTTTCCAATTAAAAAAAATTAAGAATGATTTTAATAATAAAATAATACTTAAAATTCGAAAAAATTAAATGGAAACACCAAATCGCCCCGACTGCCATTATTCCTCCACCCGTACCAGCTGTGATAAAGACGAGGTCTGAGCCCTTCAGTGCATTTGCCATGGCATCTTTTGATTCTTCTGCCACTTGTTCTCTTAACAGCGGCAGACCGTATAAGAGCCTGAGCACCAGTGGTTATGGCGTAGAAATCTATATCCTATTTTCCAGAACCAAAAATCGATATTTTTTATTTATTTAAGCACATGATTGTTAATGAAGAGAAGAGGGTTAAGAAAATCTCAAAGTCTGGTAAGTTAAAGAAATGATCAATTACCAAATTCGGAAAGAAAAAGTGGGTTTTACTTTGAATGATTTGAATAACAAAAAGGGAGAACCTGCAAACCGCTGCCTCTCATGCGATCAACGGCATTGTTGCCACCGCCACCAACTTTTATCTTAACAGACTCCACAGGGGCAAAGGAACCGCTTCCACTGCCATGTATCGATGATGACAGCCTCCTCCTTTGAGAGAGACGGCAATAAAGGGGAAGGGAACAATTTGGTCCTTTTATTAATTTTTTATTAATTTTAAGTATTATTTTTTCAATTGAAACAGAAATACAGAATTTTGAGATCCATAAAACCATACGTCAATCACTAAATGATAGTTTCTAATTCAATCAAGAAAAAAAAGTCTAAATAAAAAAAATCAAAAAATATAAAGAAAAATCATTTAATATTATTTTATTTAAAAACTATCTTCTTTTTTTTCATTAAATCTTCCATCGTTTTACATTTTATTTTTATTATTTCTTAAAATAACAAATCAACATAAATTGAAAACAAAAAACAAAAAGGATCAAGTTACTACACAATTTAAAAATATAAAAACTGAATAATTGTTTTATAAACAAATAGGACTAATTTATTTATTTATTCAAACTAGAGGGACTAGTTTATAATTTACTCTCGTTTTCCATTCATAGCTCACAACAACCAAAGCACAGGATTTTCACTTGATTGATAAAAATAAATAAATAAAATGTTGAAGCTCTTCCCGCCGACGAAACACGCTCTGTTTAAGATTAGAAAAAGATCTCATGATGGTGTCTTCTTCACATCCTCAATCATGTCCCCACCTTCTTCCCAATATTCTTCTTCTTCTTTCTCCTCTAATAAATGTCATGATGATCCGGTGAGTGGAGACGCATGTCAGAATGATCCGGTGAGTAGAGACGCAGCAACCATTCTCAACTCCAACAATCATAAACAAGCCCTTCAATTTTTCAATTATTCTTTAAAACACTACCCAATAACTTCTCCAACCAACAATCTTCCTGGCCTTTATTCAGCCATTGTCCATGTCTTAACACGTGCCGGAATGTACAAGCCTGCCAGGTGCTTGATCAAAGACCTCATCCAAACCCTCCTCCTACATCCATCCTGCAAATCCGAAAACCATGTTCCTTCTTTAGTTTTCGATGCTCTTAATCGTTTACAAAGCTCTGAAAAATTCAGTCCTGATGTGTTTGGAGTGCTCATTATTGCATTTTGTGAGATGGGTCTTGTTGATGAAGCCTTATGGGTTTATCAAAAGATTGTTAAAGTAATGCCCCCTTCAGAGCAAGCTTGTAATGCGCTATTAAATGGGTTGGTTAAGACGGGTAGGTTTGGTTCCATGTGGGAGTTATACAAGGACATGATTTCGTGCAAGGTATTGGTTCCTAGTGTTGTCACTTATGGTGTATTGGTTGGTGCTTGTTGTCGCCAAGGTGATGTTTCTAAAGCTAGGAGTTTGATTTTTGATGAGATGGTGAAGGAGAAGGGGATTGGACCAAACGATTTTATCTACAATACTCTTATCCGTAGTTTTTGCTGCGAGAGTAAATTGTTAGAAGCGGAAGCTCTGTTTCAAGAGATGCGGGAATCTGGGGTTTTGCCAGATTTGTATACTTATAACATTCTGATTGATGGTTACTGCAAAACGGCAAACGTCAAGCAAGCACTTCACTTGTATCAGGGCATACTGGGTGGTGATCTGCGCCCAAATGTTGTTACGTTTGGTATCTTAATAAATGCACTTTGCAAAGCGGGAGAATTATTGGCAGCAAGGAGTTTGTTCGTGCACATGGCTAAGTTTGGTGTGTCTCCCAATTTACATGTGTATAATTCTCTCATTTATGGCCACTATAATTCACGGAATCTATTTGAAGCTATTCTTTTGTTTTTGGAGATGCAAAAGTTCAAAATTTCACCTGATGTTTTTACATACAGTATACTTATAAAGGGTTTTTGTAGCGTGGGTAGAACAGAAGAAGCCGATGTGTTACTGAAAAGAATGAATAGGGAAGGGGTTATTGCAAACTCTGTAACATACAATTCCCTAATCAGTGGACACTGTAAGGAAGGAAAGATGGAAAAGGCTCTGGAGGTGCTTTCTCAGATGACTGAAAAGGGTGTAGAACGAGATATTATCACCTTTTCTACATTGATTGATGGTTATTGCAAGGCAGGGAACATGCAATCTGCTACAAGTTTATACTCGGAAATGTTAACCAAAAGTATTGTACCTGATGTGGTAGTGTTCACAGCTTTGATTAATGGGCACTGTAAAATTGGTAACATGAAAGAGGCCCTTCGGCTGCATAAGGAGATGCTGGAGGCCGGGCTCAACCCCAACATTTTCACAGTCAATTGTTTAATTAATGGCTTTTGCAAAGGTGGGACGACTTCTGATGCTATCAATTTTTTTTTGGAGAACACTAGGGGTGGGCTTACTGGAAATCAAGTCAATAAAATGAACGGCAGTTTTTGTACTCCCGATCATGTAACGTACACGTCTTTAATTCAAGGCTTGTGCATGGATGGTCAAATTTTTGAAGCTACCAAGTTTTTTTCGGATATGAGATTCGGTGGTATACAACCAGATGCTTTTACTTACACTGTCATGTTAGAGGGGCATCTGACGGTGAAGCATATGATGGATGTGATGATGTTGCATGCTGATATGATTAAGATGGGTATCATGCCAAATGAGAACATATGTCTGATCTTAGCAAGGGGTTATCAAGAAAATGGATACCTAAGGTCAGCTCTCAACTGTTCCAAGGACTCGATTAGGGGTTCCGAATCAGCAGCACTCTAACAGGATCATGTAATGGTGACAAAAAGAAGAAGCCCAATAGATCGAAGACTATGATTTCCTTAAAAGGAAGATTGGGTCTTTTCAGGGTGATGGTCAGTATCTATCAGAGCTTGAGCAATGCTCAACTGGTGTTGGAAACTCATTCGTTAGTCGTAGCTTATTTTTTATTTTTTTGCCACAATGCAGCTAAGTTTTATGCCATTGGAAGAAGAATTTTAATTAAAAAAAAAATTATTAGAAAAGAGTTTAGGTTTATTAGGGAGCTTTATTCTATTAAAGGAGGTGGAGGACAATTGTTTATTTTCTTGTACGAAGAGTGTGTGTGACTCACCAGATTAGGGATTCAATTTTCATCATTTAAAAGTTCCTCCGACCCCAGAATCGACCAAAGGTAAATGTGATTAGACGCTGATCTCGCTGAAGAAGTGGTGGACTTAATAAAAGAAAAAGGGTTTCCACAATCCCAAATTTTGGATTGGAATCATGTTAGCCTTGAGGTTAATCATCATCAACCACAAGCCACTCATGAGTTGAATTATTTCCTCCCTCGAGCACAAGTTTCTCAGTTGAATTTCCAGCTGTGTCAACCTCAAGGAACCAATGAGAAAGAATTGAGGAGTAACTGGAGCAGGAGAAATAATAGATATTTAAGAGGAGGCCTGGTATGTATAAAATATGTGTTAATAGCTTAATCTGTTCTTATATTTCTAATTTTATCTTTATATATCTGTTAAGTTTTTAATATATCCTATTGACGAGATTATTGGTGATGCTGCAGGAGCAAGCACGAGCACTAATGAATATGCTATGAATGTTGGTGATGCTGGAGCAAGCACAAATGGATACACTATGAATATTGGCAGTGGCATGCCAATATTCATGCAGGCTCGAAACATCCAAAGTAATATCATGCCTATATGTAGTTTCAAATTGCAATTGCGTATGATCCTGTGGTGGGATGATTTTGTGTCATGAGAAACAGTTATGCACTCCTGTCTGTAAAAATGCCTAGGATATCTGCCTAGCTAACTCTTCAGCCTGGTTCTCCAACTAGCTAGTTCCATTTATTTTGCTTGATAATGCCACTGCCACACTATAGAATATGCTTCTTTTCCTTCCATTTTAATCTTTATGCAATATGACTGTAACTATCCTTGTTCGGTTGATGATGTAGTCCTCCAGCTATAACCATGGAGAGAAATCCGCTCACTGCTTGAATACACAGGAGTCGAAACCTGAAACTCAAATCTTATCAATGGTAAATCATTTTCTTCTGAAAGCTTTTACGGAATTTTCGAGCAGGGAAAACAACATTGGGAAGAGGAAAAGAACTGGATTGATATAATTAGTAGGAAGTAATATATAGAATAAATTAATCTTGGACACGTTCATTTCCATTGTAGAATTTAGCAGTAATGGGTTTGTATTGGTAATCTAACGATTTTCAGTCCGGTGAGTTTTTTCCTATACATTAATATGATTTCCTGATCTCTCTGGTGAACGGGTGGCTTCTTGAGTTTTCAGATATCCATTAAACCTTCCACCTATAACACAAGTTAAGTGAAGCTAGGAAGGGTATTGTCCTTTCTTGGCTTTAGATGGAGCCCGATTCTCACCCACTTCTCTATATTTTTTGCGTGGCAATAGACATGGGCTAGTGATAGGCTCAAAAAGTCTGGCTTTTAGAATCAATCAAACACTTAATATGATGAGCCAGTACAGAGAGTAATAAATTTAGTTTGCATTTATGTAAAATATGATTTAAAAATATCATCCTATTTGTAAATATGTAAAATAAATAAATAAATAAATAAATATACCCTACAAAAAATATCTGAATTGACGACAAAATTTAGCGGTGTAATCATTTAAGACAAATCTGGATAATGAAGCAAAGGTAATGGATCAATTGAAAGTTGTTATGACTTATGAGAGATGAAGTTTTTTTTTTTTTTTTTGGCCCTTTGATAGTTTAATTATTTAATTAAATTTAATGGAAAATGCTCACAACATCATGCATTAGTTGTTATCATAATCAAGTTTTTCTATGTATTTATTTATTTTGTTAGATTTAGTTAGTGAAAATTGATGCTCTCTCCACCCTCACCTGCTCAATCAATTTCGTGGATAATATTAGGACAACTAAAGTACTCTGATAATGCCATTTCTAATTCATGAGTCGGTTAACAGAATTCATACATAGAAAAGATCAAAACCTATCTTAATGTTCTAATTCTAGCTCAAACGAACACCACCGCTATTACGTATTATTAATTGTGACAGTGCTACGAAATCGATGTTGAGTGTTACCTTCCTTCATCTATACAAGAGATAAGAATATGTTTTATGGATGTGGAAAGAAGTTGTTAAACATTCAAATCAAAATATCAAATTTTAGGACAAAAATTTCAAGTAGAGTAGGTTGTCAACATTATCACCAAAATGTGGTGATTACGACTGGATGAAATTTCAAGGGAAGGAAGCAATCTTAAAAGAAAACTTCAATTCTAAGAAAACTTAATGGTATCATGATAATGTCACTTTCCATTCCAACAAATTGAGGATGTGCAGGAGAGAGAGATTTCTTGATGAAAAAGAAAGCAATACTAATACAATATATATGGCATTGAAGTCAATGTTTACACATATTTGTGATTTGTCTTTTAAGAGACAGTCAACCTACCTGTGTAAGCTCTGTCACCAATACAATGAGAGGTAATTAAGTACAAAAAGATAATTACCTTTTAACAAGATTAATCTCTAAAAAATCCATTGAAATTCACATAGTACTCTCAAGTATTTCTATTTTAACCTTTATATCTAAATATGATGAAAACAAATTATGTACTATTCAAAATTAAGACAAACCAGACTTTTTATTGAATGTATGATCAATCATATGATAATACGTGATCAATAAGATTAAAAAAAAGACTAGTTTGTTTTAATTTTGAGTAATATAATACTTGTTTTGCACGTATCTTAATATAAAATTTAAAATAAATAATATTGCAAAGTATAAAAAATAATTTGAATTTTTTTATTGAGATTCTAAAGTTTTACTCTTATATTGTTATTATTTCGGACCCTAGCCAATGACAACTTGTCACGAAAGCACACATGGCAAGCTATCATTAGCTAACTAGAGCTTTAGCCAATGATAGCTTGTTACGTCACCAATTCAATCATCCAATTTGAATCCACCATGATATGTGGAATGACGACTTGTCATGTAAGCACACGTGCTAAGTCGTCATTAGAGCTTTAGTCAATAATAGCTTGTCACATCACTAATTCAATAACTCAATTTGGATACACTATGACACGTGATAAGATATTATTAGCTAAAGCTTGTCATGTGTTCTTACGTGATACATTAGGATTTGAAATAATAATAATATAAAAATAGAATTATTAAATTGAATAAAAAAAAACATAAATTGTACCCGTATAAAAACATGAAGTGAATTTTACATTAAAAAAAAAAAATCTTCTAGTGAATAGAGAAAACTATTTCATGCATACTTTATAATACAATAGAAAAACAATCAGAAGGGTGATGGATCCCTTGTATTAGCAGAAAATCATGATTAGTCAATCAATCAACATAACGATTTGTCTCTTAATAAAGCATGAATTACTCTAACTTGTCAAAATCTTTTCAATAATGTTCGGACAGGACTGACTAAACCAGCATTACCAAGATCAATACTTGTGGATTTTCTTCGTTAATGCTTCTTGCATCCTTGTCCATAAAATCAATCACCTATGCAATACCACATGGTTGGACATAAATATGGACTTTGTGCCTTATTGTCCCACTTTCCAGGTGTGGGGGGAGGGTGTGACTAAATATGGTTTTCAATATCACATGCATGTCAACAAATGCCATAAAAATAGTGGTTTCTTAGGTCATGTATTTGATTTATGTTCATAATAAATATTTATTTTTCAAAAAAATAAAATAAAATTTCCTTTCTTTACTTTTTATCATTCCAATTGTATTGGATCATGTCCCACAAATATCTGGGCTCTTGAGAAGACCTGACCTGACCTGACCGAACCTAACCTAACGTCCTAAGACCTTTTGCCTTGTCTACTGTACCATGTTTGTTTAAAAAAAAAAAAAATAATAATAATTTAAGAAATTAGGGTATGGATGTCCCCACAACATGTTAAAAGGGCAACTTGAAATTTTACTCATCATCCAGACCCTATCTGGTCATTTCCACGACCCAACAACCGAGAGAGAAAATTAAGGGGTTTGTTTGTTCGAGCTAGTATTAGTAGGATTAGTATTGTTAATTACCTAAATTTTTGCAATGAGTAAATTATAAATTAGTCCCTCTATTTTTAAACATAAATTAATTAGTTTAATAATTTAATTTAATAACCAGCATTGATATGTTTAATTTAATATTAATTTATTTCATAAGTTGTTATATTTTTTAATTAATTTTTCTATATTTTTATTAATTTTTTAAAATTAAAATAAATTGAAAAAAGCATGAAAAAGGATTAAGTTATAAAAAAATAAATAAAAATATAAAAAATTATAATTAGTTTTTAAAATAAAAAGGACTGATTAATTCATTTTCAAAACTAGAAGGACTAATTTATAATTTACTAATTTTTTAATTGGGAGTAGAATATTCTTGTTTAACATTAGTGGCAGTAATAAAAAAAACAGTATTTCCTTCGAAGAGGTTTTGGAGGCTTAAGCCGGACGAGACAACTCACCAGTGGTTGCGGCTCTCTCAAGTGACACTCTCACACGCACAAAAGAAAAGAAAAGAAGAGATTTTTCAGAGAGAGAGAGAGAGAGGCCCTTTTACTTTTTAGTGAGAGAGAACGGAGAGAGAGAGACACAAACTCATTAAGTAGTTATTAAGGGGATTCATTTTTAGAGACAGAGATAGAGAGAGAGAGGCATTGGTCAGTACTAGGAAGACTATTACAATTGTTTTGGTCTTTTGATTCACCCATGTTTTTGCTGTTATTGTTGTCTGCTCCTAATTTTCTTCAGATTTCAACAACAACAACAAAACTTTCTGCTGTCTGTTCAGGTATGAGTTAGAAGGAAAAATGTTTTCGTTTTAATCCCATTTAGCCCCCTTTCTTTCAGTTTTCTCAGAACACGTGAAAATAATGGTTCTTTTCTTAGATCTCTCCCATTTTCTTGGTTTTTGCTTAGTATAGCGATCTGGGTTTGGTTTGTTTTCTTGATTTGAGCTATAAAGTTGGTTCCTTTGTTAGATTTTGATATTTTCAGTGTGCAGAATGTTTTTTTGTCCTTTTTGTCCTTTGTTTTTATTGACTCGTAGATTTGCCGTTTGTTTTATATGTAGTGAAGTCTCCCTCTCGGTTAAGCCCTAACCCCTTGAAATCTCTACTTGTTTGATTAGATCTCTATAATTTGGTGGTTTTTGCTCAGAATGTCTGTATTGGAATGATTTATTTCTTAGATTTGGCCTATGTGTTCTAATTCCTTAGCCGTTTGGTGACTTCTTTGCTTGGGATGGAAGGTTAGGTATCTCGCTTTTGGGGTATAAGGAATTTTAGTTTACTGTCTGCTTGTAGTGGTTGAAAAAAATGCTGCAAACAGAAGAATAACAGGAGTTTGAACCTAAGCTGTCAAACATTATATATGTCTGAAGGTTGTATGGTTGACTTTCTATATTGTTTTTATTCCAATTCTCTGCTAAAGAAATAATAGATATAGAAAATTTACGATTGTACAATTTTCATTACTTTGAGGTTCCTGGAGGTAAATTCCTCGGGCCAACCTGGTTATCTTCTTCTTGCTTTAGATCTTCCATGATTTTAAGATGTGATAATGCTATTCGAGTGGTGATTTTGAAAGAATCTTTAGACCTTGACCTTAAGACATTTTTTCTTTTGGAGGGTGCTGGGATGGGGGAGTTTCGTTCTGATTAGTTGTCCCCCATTTGGTTTGTTTTCTAAGTTGTAGGAATATTGCAGCTAATGCTTAAGGCGGATCCTCAAGAGCTTGAAACTGGCAGTATGTTTGCCATTTACTGAGTTTACTGAAATTTTGGATAGCCTTCACTGGCTCTTGTGATACTTCATGGGGGATTTTCGTTGGTATTGTTTGGTGATTTGATTTGGGCAACTTTCATGGTGTTTTGGTCCTTTTGGATTTGTCATCTTTAGTATATTTACTTGACATCGGTGCTCTTTATCATGCTGCACTTGCTTTGTCAATTAAATCTTTATTTCATTGGTTATCAGTAGCCCTAAAGAATGCTTTAATAATTGTTTGTTTCCAAAGAATTCGTCTACATGCTAATTTGATTTTTCTTCTTAGGACGGCTCTGACGATTGCATCACCCTACATAGTAGCATTTGTTACACAGTATCTCTTGTGGTCTCCTAAAGTAGCTAGATGGGTTCTCGGTTCCCATCTCATCAGCTCAGCAATGGCCTTTATGTGTCAGGCCGGCCTGAACAGCCAAAGGAAAAGGCTCCAACAATGAGCTCAGTGGCCATGCCATATACTGGTGGTGATATCAAGAAGTCTGGAGAGTTGGGGAAAATGTTTGATATTCCTGTGGATGGCTCAAAGTCTAGGAAATCTGGACCTATAACTGGTGCTCCTTCAAGGACTGGATCATTTGGCGGTGCTGCTTCACATTCAGGACCAATCATGCCTAATGCAGCTGCTCGGGCTGCTTATACTACATCAGGTGCTATGTCTTCAGGTGGAACTGGTTCAGCTTCATTAAAAAAATCAAATTCTGGACCCCTAAATAAACACGGAGAGCCAGTAAAGAAGTCATCTGGCCCTCAGTCAGGTGGAGTAACCCCTTCTGGCCGCCAAAACTCCGGTCCCATTCCTCCTATTCTTCCTACTACTGGTCTGATTACATCTGGTCCTATATCTTCAGGCCCACTGAATTCATCTGGGGCACCTCGGAAGTTATCTGGTCCTTTAGAATCTATGGGGTCAATGAAACATCCAGGCTCTGTTGTTATCAATCAAGCTGTGACTGTTCTTAGCCAAGATGATGACTTTTCCTTCAGAAGGAACTTCCCAAAGCTAATATTGTGGTCATTGATTCTACTTTTTGTAATGGGTTTCATTGCTGGTGGTTTTATCCTTGGAGCAGTCCATAATGCCATTCTGTTAATCGTTGTTGTGGTTCTTTTTGGTGCTGTTGGTTCATTGTTCGTATGGAATACCTGTTTCGTGAGAAAAGCTATCATGGCTTACATTGCTCGTTACCCAGATGCGGAGCTACGAAATGCCAAAAATGGGCAATTTGTGAAGATCTCTGGGGTATATATATATATTTTTTTTCTAAAATTTTTTTCTGTATGTCAAGCTTGTCACTGTCTTGATGAATTTATTTTAACTTGCTTCTATTCATCTGCTCTTATATAACTAGATCTAATTTTCATGAATTCCCACCTATTCCTAAGTGTTTTCCCGTTAACCAAACCTGTTTACAAGTTGCAATACAGATTTCTGCATACAATCAATTTTCACTGATGTTTTCCAAATGTAATGAAGAGTCTGTATTTAGTTCAATGTATATGATTTGAAAAGGAAAGCTAATCATCCTCCAAAATAAATTCAGAACCAAAATTAGATAAATAAAAATGGCGATGGGTAGTAGCTGTAAGTGAAATATAACTCGCCAAATTCTATTTTAGCTTTATTTGAAGCTGAACTTCCAGATCTGTGTGTGTGAGAGCGTGCATACTCACATTGCATAATCACAAGCAGTTTAGCATTCACTACTCAGCCAACTTTTCATTGGTTCATAAGCTATGGATCTGTGTATCGAGATGCATGCTAGATCTTTGTACCTACGTATTATAAATTGTGAATGAATCCATATTGGCAGAAGGATATTGTTCTCGGAGGAGTGGACAAATGAGGGTTAATACTTAATAAAGATTGTTGGTTGTAAGGACATTATTTAATTGATAGGGATGCGATTTCTTTACAATGCATGCCTTCCAATACATTTGAAGGCACTGGTTATGTTGTCTTAGTCGTTGATTTCCACTTGTTTATGTTCAAGTGATTCATTTACACTGCTGTTGTGTTTTTGAAGGTGGTCACTTGTGGTAACGTGCCCCTGGAGTCATCCTTCCAAAGAGTTCCTAGGTGTGTATATACCTCGACAAGTTTGTATGAGTACAGAGGATGGAATTCAAAAGCAGCCAATCCAACTCATCGTCGTTTCAGCTGGGGACTCAGATCATTAGAAGTGAGTGATTGAAATATTGATTAGATAAATTTTGATAGACTGTACTGTTTGTAAGTATTTTGCATGTCTCTTAGGTTTCATAAAGAATTTTGTCAACCATTAGTATTTACTGGAATTTTTTATTTTTTTTGGTCATTTTAAATTTCATGAAGACTTGGGAAATAGATACTTTTGTATGAATTGGCGATTGCTACAAATTTTCTCTGCTTGAGGAACTGGTTACCCTGAATTACTACCTGTAGTTTTCAATTTACTGTGCAATGTCTTACTGTGTTATTTTGCCAATAATAGCTTAATCTGCTGTTCATGTTTAGTTGTTTTGTTTCATTTTGGTTCTTTTGCTGCTTGTTATAAATGTCAAGTTGATTCAAGGTGCCCATTCATGTCATTGTGAACAGACTGATGTGCTCAATGATTATAAATCATTTTATTGGGTTTTGAGTTTTTGTGTTTCTTACTGGAAGTTCTGTAAAATCTATTTAACAGAGGCGTGCAGTTGACTTCTACATTTCTGATTTTCAATCTGGATTGAGAGCATTGGTTAAAACTGGCTATGGTGCAAGGGTGACTCCTTATGTTGATGACTCCCTTGTTATTGATGTCAACCCGGGTACTGAAGAGTTGTCTCCAGAGTTTGTCAAATGGTTGGGAGAAAGGAATCTTTCTAGTGATGATCGTATAATGCGAATGAAAGAAGGGTAAATTCTTTACTTTGTTGATAATGTTGCTTTCGCCATAGCTCTTGCTCCATGCAAATTTATGTGCCAGTACAAAACTCTGTGTTTTTTGTTTTTCCTCTTTTCTTTTGTAACAAGGATCTTCTGGGACACACTTAGTCACATCTACGAATATGTTTTCTTCTCTGAATGTTTGTGGAATTAGGAAGGGAAGGGAGAGTTAATTGAGAGGATAAAGAAGATAATACTCTCACTTGTTTGCATTTATCAGGATGGGAGTGGGAATCAAATGATCTTCTGTTTTGTTAGAAGAGGGGAGGGGAGCTGATTATTATAAGTTATAAGGTAGATTATACCCGTGTGGAACACTTTTCTATAAAAATAATGGGGCTATAAAGTCCAAAAATTGTAGTTATTGTTTTACCTTCAATCAGAGATGGTAACTATTTCACGTGTGTAAAAGTAAATGTCAGAGCCAGAAGCGACTCAAGCCACAGTGAAGTTGGCAGACATTTATATTCTGTATCATTCAGGGCCTAATGTTCAGTGAAGAGAAGATTATTGATTATGGCATAAAATTCATATGGTCATAAAATAACACCAAGAAACAGTGAAATGTGAGGTTTTCTTTTTATATTTGCAACTTTGTTGGTTAACAACAGTCTGGTCTTTTATTCGGAGTGGTCAGTCTGGTATAGAGTCTTAATGTGTTAGGTGGTCAAATTGGATTAGCTTAACCTGTTTATGATAGGTCCATAAAATGGCCATCTGTCAACACTTGTTCCTTGGTAAGTTTGAGCAAGTTTATTTGATTTGGATTGGTAATTTCTTGTCTTCATAATATAAATATATAGGAACTCACAGCTCTAGCTGAAACATCACATATTCTAGCATTCGGTTTGAAACAGCGGTACATGCCTGTGCATTTTTTTCTGTTGTATATTAGTTGCTGTCAATAACCCCGTTCATGAGTTGCATGTAAACTAGGAATGATTGGAAATGTTTTATGCGTAGGTATATCAAAGAAGGAAGCACTGTTAGTGTAATGGGAGTTGTTCAAAGGAATGACAATGTACTTATGATTGTCCCTCCCCCTGAGCCTATCACGACCGGCTGCCAATGGACCAGATGTATTTTTCCGGCTAGCCTTGAGGGTGTTGTTTTGAGATGCGAAGACACTTCAAAGAATGATGTCATACCTGTGTAATAATAGCATGTGCTGTAGACTTACTTTGCTATTCCTTTTTTCTTCTTTTTTTCCCATATAAAAATCAATATGGATGGTGGTGGAAGTGATATGGTGGTGATATTGATGGTTATTGGTGATTGTGATAGCTGGTGGATTGGTGATTGTGATAGACAGGTGGTGTTTTCTTCTTCTTTTTCTTCAGTTTCACTTGGTGTATAGTTTAAGTGTTTCTGTGCCTTCTCTCTGTTTTTTTTTAACCTAGGGCTCGAAGGTTGTGATGGGGGTGGCTTTGATATATTGTAGAGGATTTTACATGTTTGAGCGGATTGAGATTATGTTAAATAGAAAGAAAAATGTTGTGAGATATCATTATATTGTCTCAAAGCAGAGATTAATTTGTTGTGAATCATATCAATTGAACTTGTTGATGACTTTTTACTTTTCTTTACCTTCCTTAAGTCAGAGCACAAGCAATTAAATATTCCACAGGAATGTGCTTTTGCTCATCTTTGTACTCTTTTCAAGAACTTATTGCCCAGCATGCATTACATGGAATTCCATTTCTCAGCCCATCTGGGTGAGCTCGGATGGCAGCAAAATGTGTACTACACTACTGCTAGCTTAAATATAAACTTTAGGGAAACTCAATTTAGTCCCAAGCATACAAGTTTTATTAATTAGGTCTCATAAGTTTCTCACATTTTTCAATTGAGTCCTTTCATCATGGACCAGGTTGAGAATTGCTTAAAACATTTTGGACCAATTCGGCAAAAACTATAGATTTGGGGTTCAATTGAGTATGAAACGGAGGTTTACCCTTTGAGCTTCTTTCTAATCTTGTTTTTTTGCCTGTGCTGTGGACCAACAGGGACTTCCACATGTTAAAAAGCACTTTTAGGGAGTGTAAACATGCCAGTGCTTGAAGGAGTCAAGGGCAGGCCTAATCCCTCCAGGTGGGGAAGGCGATTTCTGAGTTGTTAATAAACTGTTCTATGTATATGTCTTGATTGCTCTATAGATATATCCTTTCTCATGCCATGTTCATCTTCCTGGTCAATCAAATCAAGATCAGCAAGCAACACTTCTAGTGGAATGGAAGGGACATCTTCCTCGTCAGTAGTAATAGCAGCCATCTCTGCCGGCTGATATTCTCTCTCACTATAGACTATAGAGTGATATATTGAACCTCATGTCAGCGATATCTTTAACATCGCTCAAGAATTGTCCATACTCAGAATTCATCTTCTCTTGGTCAAATCTACCTTTGAAGTCATCAGCTTCCATGCTGAGGGACCTCAGCTTTCAAGAACGAGGCTTCCCACGTTTTCGCTTCATAGCTCTTCGTTATCAAAATTGCTTTTGGAAGGACTAAGCCCTTGTGCTTATCCAGTTCAGCATCATCACAATTAGCATGATCTCCAGGTTTCAACAGATGGCATAGATGCCAAATCTCCACATTAAATACAAAGTATTCTACAAGCTGCCTGCTAGCGAGTAGAGGCCTAAAGGACGACCTCCAGTATGGTCAGTGTCCAAGAAGCAATGTCTCAAAATGAAAGGATCAAGTAAAGCTGTGCTGTTTGTCACTTTTGTGCAGATCACAAGAGGACCAAGATTTCCAAAACTAAAAGCAACTTCTGCAGGCAGAAAGTCCATTTGTGAGAAACATGTTGCCGAAGTTGCATAGCACCAAGTAGTTTTAAATAACAGCCGTTACGTTATATAACGACTGTTGTGTAATGGTTTTGAAACATGTCATTGTCGTTATTTTAGTATTATAGTTAGTCGTGATCTACGATGACGACGGCGATCGTTTTTTCAACCATCCGTGATTTAAAACTACACCAACCTAGTGACTAGGGTTGGCTTGAATCCTTGTGCAAGATTCATACGTGTGTTCCTGTCGAGTGCACTACGCAGTGTGTTTGTTCAAGCATAGCACCATGAAGAACCTCTTTCTAAACTCTAAGCTTAACCTTGATTTGATCCTCTTGTAATGAGGCTCAGTCCATACAAAATCCAGCATCCACTAAACTGATTTCTTTTGGTTTAAGCTTATCCAGACAGAAAGCCACAAAAAGCCAATAGCACCTATGATTCTAACTGAGCCTTAATCCTTCAGTGATGTCAATTTCTGAGCACAAACACCTCACACACATATTGGCAGCATCAGGTTGCATTGGAATCCCACATTTACTACACAAAAAACACTTCCAATGGTTTGATGAACCATAAACATGTTTGCTGCATCGGCCATGCCGGTTGAAAACAACAAGGCCAACAACAGAAGTTAATCATTTTAACTCCCTAAAGCAAACGGTTGAAGATTATAGAAAAATTCCATATTAGAGTTTGAGTTTGCTGCCAACAAAATCGGTGAGTTAAGCCCATGAGGACTGAGTTTTTAATTGAAGAAACTCAAAAGTCAATTTACCTGCATCAAAATTGATGAAGTTTTAGTTAGAAATTCGAAGTAAAACACTCAGAAACAATCAATGGCAATTAAACTATCAAAAATTAACTAACATAATAGTGATATGTTGAGGGTAACAAGCGCGAGAGGGACCTAATTGAAAAAAAACCAAAAGATAGAGGGTGTAATTGTATTGTTGCCTTTTCTTAATTTTCTTTTCTTTTTATCTTTCTTGCACTTGCCCCAAAAACTAAACCAAATATAAAATGAAACGACATGCAGCTGTCATCTTCTGTCTCTCTCCCCTTCTCTCTTAAGGTCTCTCCACCTTTTTGAGAAAGATCACAACACAGTCTTTACAGCCATAATTTCCCACTTCACTTTCTTTGTTAAGCTTATTATTTCTCTAGAGGTTTTGCATATGCAAATATAAATATACAGAGGGAGATGGTAAGGGCATCAGGGAAGCAAAAATCAACAAAACTGGTGATAGTTTGTGTGGTTCTATTAGGGTTTGGCCTGATTGCTGATTATCTGTGGGCTTCTTCTCCACATTTTGCTTCTTCTTCTTATTTGTCCAACTGGGTTCCTGCTGATAATTCTCACTCCAATGTAATTATTCCAAAACAAGAACCGCATCCTGCTGACACTAAACCCCCAAAAATAAAGGTACAATCTTTTTTGCTTTATTTACGTTTTTAGCACTGCCCATTGAGAATTTTGCAGTTTTGGAGCTTATTTTTGTGTTTGTCAGAGTAATGTAGGAAAAAGTTGAATGCTTTGCTGTTTATTGCTGTTGTTATGTACAGGTGGAAGTTGATAAATCTACAAGCTTTTTTGTTCAATTTAGATTTATTTTGTAACCCATTTAAGTAATGTCCATTTACTTTGTGTTTATAGTGAAATTTTGGATGTTTATGAAAGAATTACGAACAGTTGTTTGTTTGTTTATATATGTGTAGGCAGATAGTGTTCATGATCGATCCTTATCAGCAACGTTTGCTGATTTACCTGCACCGGAGCTGAAATGGGAGAAAATGGCTAATGCACCTGTTCCTCGTCTAGATGGGGCTGCATTACAGATTAAGGATCTTCTATACGTTTTTGCTGGATATGGAACGATTGATCTAGTGAGAAACCTTTTCTAGCTCTTCTACTATTTTTGTTCTCTATGGTTTGACCTTATTTGCTAATTTTTTGAGGTGCCAATCTCTTGGGATTAACAGGTGCATTCACATGTTGATATTTACAATTTTACGGATAATACATGGGGAGGGAGATTTGATATGCCTAAAGAAATGGCTCATTCACACTTGGGAATGGTCACAGATGGGAGATACATTTATGTTGTTACTGGGCAATATGGTCCACAATGCAGAGGGCCTACAGCTCGTAATTTTGTGCTAGATACCAAGACAAAGAAATGGGAGGACTTGCCACCTTTACCATTTCCTAGGTATGTGCCTGTGTCAAAATAGTTTAAAATGAACTTTAAATAGGATGCAAGAGCATTGGCTGATCTTGCAATAGCAGAATTTGATTGTTTGTCGATTTTTGCTTTGAGAAACTGTTTACCTTATGCTGTTTTTATAGTCATCTCCCTTATCTCTTTGGTTCTTATTCTGAATTGAAATGCTATGTGTCAGTGATGGCATTGTGCTGGTGGCTTTAAATGTTTGAACTTTGAAGCCAAAATTATTTCATGCTTTGTATTTTTTTATTCTGCACTTTGATAAAGTGTTTTGAAGTTTAATGTAATTACACTTAGATATGCACCGGCAACTCAACTTTGGAGAGGTAGACTCCATGTGATGGGTGGCAGCAAGGAAAATCGGCACACTCCAGCATTAGAGCATTGGAGTCTTGCTGTAAAGGATGGGAAAGCATTGGAAAAGGAATGGAGGACTGAAATACCCATTCCTCGTGGAGGACCTCATCGGTTTGTGGCCAAACCTAGTCTTATTATTTCATCATTAGATTATCTTGTTTGGTTTGAAATGAACTCTCAATAGGCTATTACAGTTTCACAAATAAAACATTTCATCATTGATAGTGTTGTTGTCAAACCTGGTCATAATTTCAAACTTTCAAATGAAATGACCATGGAGGAAATAGTTCACAATTGAAGCTTCAGTGTGTTCTTAATTTTTGCCTTTATGCAGGGCCTGTGTCGTGATTAATGATCGACTTCTCATTATTGGTGGTCAGGAAGGTGATTTTATGGCCAAGCCTGGATCACCTATTTTCAAATGCTCTCGTAGGAATGAGGTATACTGATTAGTATCCTTTTTATCAATAACCCTATTTGACAGCTTTTATAGACTGCATCAACATTTTCTTTCCAAGCTTTAAGTAGTCCCCTGTAACTTTTTTTAGTTTTCTTGGGTTACTAATGTTTGATAAGAATAAAATAAGAGAGCCAAACATCTTTAGTCTTTTAATTTTATATGAAATGATATGAAACAGAAAATAAAAACATGATACTGTATATCCTTGATTTGATAATTACCCTGTATTATAAAGCTTTAAAAGTTTGTTTCAACTAGGCTTGATCTCCTTTATTTGAATAACTAACCTCAAGACCTAATATTTAGATTTTTCGATAATATTTAGGTATATTTATCACAAAAAATGTGCCACATTTATGTTGTAACTTGGAGAAATTTGTCTTCACTTCCTCTTCTCCCTTTCCCTCTGCTTTTATTTAATAGTTTTGGCTCATTATGATTCTTTGTTGCTTCAGATAGTATATGATGAAGTCCACATGCTGGATGATGAGATGAAGTGGAAACCGTTACCTCCTATGCCAAAGCCTGATTCTCACATTGAATTTGCTTGGGCGATTGTTAATAATTCAATTGTTATTGCTGGAGGCACCACAGAAAAGCACCCTGTAACTAAAAGAATGGTCCTGGTTGGTGAAGTTTTCCAGTTCAACTTAGATACACTGGTATGAAATTTATTTTTCTTATGTGCTTCCAAACCATTTTGAAGTCAAGGCATGGTTCTTGTTGTTGTATCATGTATGTGCTCCCAGACATAATTTACATAACCCTACGTATTTCTACACATCACAGTGCCTGCAATTTACACACAGGCCCAGGCATTATCTGCGATGGGTTTTATACACTAACCTACATATCTCTATATATCATGTATAAAATGCAAAGACGCACACATGCACTTCATGTCTGGTTGCTGCCATCAGAAGGTTATCGGCTTACTGCTGTCTAGTGAATGGTTTTTTAAACATTGAATTGAAATCCTTGGAAGATTGGTGACCTATTAAGACTCTAGCACACATTCTCTGTTTCTTAAATCTTAAGCTTTATCCCCTTTTTCCTGGTGGAAGCCTTTGTACAGTAATAGCCCAATAATTAGTTGAAATTTTTGTGAGCTGACAGTCAAGAAACTTTAGATATAATTTATAGTTAAAATTTATAGATCGGTTTGGTAATCATAGCATAGTATTATGTTTGGAATTGAATTTGTTGGGACAGCTAAGATTTTCTGGATACCTCAAAAGTATTGCCAGAGTAGTGGTTGTGATTTTTCTGTTATCCTTATGACCTCAGAAGGATGTGAGTGATTTCCTCCCCCATGTTTCATGATTCTGGCCACTGTTACGTGAACCTGACTGGCCTATCAAGTTTTGTTGACCAAGAATAGGAATGGATTAGTATTGGTTCTGGTGAACACCAAAACCTAGAAGTGATAAGAACCTGATCAATTTCACCATCATTTGTGTGGCAGTTTCGCACCGTGCCATGTGCTTATGTCTCCCAAAAATCCATTAGGAGTTTGTCAAACTTTATGCTAATGCCTGTTCCAGATCCTGGCAAGCTTGAGTCATGTCAGTGCTGCCACAACAATAAACCATAGTGGATATCTAGTTTCACTTATTATTTATTTTTATTTTTTTGGTTGCATTAAAACTGTGCTCTTTTTTCTTCTTTCTCCACTGAAGGTCAATTTCTGTTACAATGGATGGTGTTATATAATTTTGATAATTCATATATGTCTGCAGATGTGGTCTGTAATTGGAAAACTTCCGTATCGTGTCAAAACTACACTGGTTGGATTCTGGAATGGATGGTTGTACTTTACATCAGGACAGCGAGATAGAGGACCAGATGATCCAGCACCAAAAAAAGTCATTGCTGATATGTGGAGAACCAAACTGAAATTGAACTCATGACCAATATCTGTTTCTTCTTTGGTAGGATAGCCATTCTTATCTAACCAATTGTTGTCTCATGATCAGGTCATATTTATCTGTAGAATTCTTTTACACCATTTTTTTGTGTTTAGTCAACATTTTTTTGCTCTCTACTGTAAGTAAGCGAATGAGGGAAGTAGCAATTCTTCCCAATGTGTTGTATCACCTTGAAGGTATACTTTACCGTAACATGGAAAGTGCACATTAGATTATATATTCTGGAAAAATAACAAAAATGCGTGCCCTTTACAATTCTGTTGTGTTGTGGTTCTCCCTACAAATTGCCATGAACTTGCCAATCCCAGTATCCCAGCTTTGGCTTGAAAAGTTCCGTGAATCCAAACAAGCATTTGATATATTTGCACCTTGGTCTTTTCAACTGTCTTAAATCTTAGTCTTTGATGATGTGAGATTGAAGCTAGGTGGTCTGGTGACCAACCAAAAGCATTGATGATTAAGATAATACGAACCATCAGGGTTAGCAAGTGATGAAGACTTGGTATAATACTCTTATTGGTACTGGATTAAGTCCTTTTCTTGGATAGCTTGCAAGTTTATAACTCTCATTTGCCAACAACTATGGGGTTCTTTCTACAAAAAGTTAGATTGTCTCCCATCTGACCTGAAACAATTAGTCCTAAGTTGTGAAGGACTAATAGCAGCAGCCTAATTAGCTATCAAAATCTTTGTTCAGATCCTGAAGGCAGTGGCTTTATTTAAATCGCTTTCTTGGTCCCCCTTAAGATTTTTCTATAATATAGACATTGCTTAGCATTGTTCATATTTCTTCATGAAACATGTACAAAAGCAAATAGTTGAGTTACACGAGAGGCAACCATGTACGGTGTCAAGCATAATGGGAGAGCATTCCGAAAATACTCTTATTGTTGCTCAGATTCCTGTTTCCAGCTCAAATTTGACCAGAAATAACTCTCCATCGAACCTCAGCCCAGATAATTCGGCAGGCTGAAGCAAGCCATCCACCATTCCACCAAACACGTACAAGTGACGCCCTGAATGATCTGCAGAGGCTCGATGGAATGATCTGTGGTTGGGTTTATAACCCTTTGCCTTGAGCCTTCTCCACATATTTGCCTGCAATCCCCTTGAGTTTAATGGCGTTGGCTGTGCTTTAATTGATGGGATCTTGCTAACATCCAATACCCAAAAATCGCCCTTCCTGTGTCGCTGCGAATCTTCGCCTCCATAGATTAGCAGCCGACCTCCCAAAATCAGTGTGGCTGAGTGGCCAACTCGTGGGAGGGAGGCTCCTCCTGGTATGTCCTGCAAATTATAGAGAATCTGTACCCACTTGAGTTGATCCTCAGACACTTGCAAGAGCCAGACATCATGCAGCACATCATATCCCAAACCTCTTCCTCCAAATAGAACAGTTCCCATTCCTTGGATACATGTCAAAGTCTGTCCTGAACGAGCTGGAGGTGATGGATGAGTCACCAGCTCCCTCCATGTTCCAGAACATGAATTTTCTGAAAGTTCAAGAATCCAAGTGTCCGCCAATCGAAGCCCGTACAATCCAATCCCTCCATGGACGACCATTGTCCTTTCATCAATGCAGCAAGCAGCATGAGCCCCACGGGGTGGTGGTGCTATGGATCTCACATCAAGCAGCCTCCATGACAATGTTACACCAAGGTTCTCACTGAGCACTAGTTGCCCCACCCATGTATCATTTTGACGCATCCCACGATCGTTAATTCCTCCAAACAGAACCAGATGATCACCAATGACAACGCATGCGTGCCCAAATCTCCCGCTCGGAACTCCTGAATTAACCTTCTGCCATTTCAGCGTTCTTTGAAAATCATTACCTATGTATGCCACCCATGTATCGTCAAGATCTCGCCCTGCAAAGAAGACCAACACAGCAAGAACGTTTCTAACGGCTATACACCTGAACAATTTGACATAAACAGGTAAACAGATTAAATGCAGAATAGCTTCAGAACAATCAAGAGACTGCCAGCCCTTCTTATCCGTGGTAATTGTTCAATTATTTTCCACTTCCACTAAAATATTTCCAATGGGGCTTCGCCGAAAATGATTCAATCATCTTTCCACCATATAATTATAGAGCAAACGGCTAATAAATCCTGCATGATATCAACAAAGCGGCATTGAAGGTAATTTTTTTTTTTTTTTGGTCCTTTCTTTTTCGTTTCACAGTGCAGGAGGCGAAAAGGGATGCTAGATGGATTAGCCTCTGTAATCTACACCTTTACTAGTTCAAAGATGATAGTAATCGTCCTATATCAGGACTCTTCTCATGGAAATAAAGTGATTCTACTGAAAGTTTATACTTCTGATTAGTTCTAATAACTTTTACTAGGATGGGGGCTATAATGCTGCATAGTCAAATGTAATTTAAAGAAACAAATGCTACTATTTGATAACGTAGAGGAATAGATTTAACTGTTGACAATCAGAAACTTAAGACGCATGATTTAACTGTCGCCAATCTCATACCTACTTCAACTCAACGCAACTTGTGTTCAATTTAGAACCTACTAATATAATGAAGCCATGATCAAGAGGCAAGAAAATTCTCAAGCAATGAAACCCTAATCCATGGTTAGTTGAATCAGGAACAGTAAACAACTGATAGGCAAAACTAATGATCTGACAAAAACCAGTATAAACGTCCCTTTTGGCATCCTTAACCAGCAAAATCAAACAGTGAAGCATCACAGACACATATGGGCACATTTAAGATACAGAAAAGATTCAAACAAAAAAGACGAAGAAACTACGATTCAAAACAAAGAACATGGAATTTATGAATCATAACAACTAATCAAACAAAAGAAAAAGACTGACCTCCTTCACTGCCACCACCAAACAAGACCAGGCAATCAGACACAAAGTTGAGAGAGTGAGAAGCCCTAGGGGTTGGGAGCATCAATTCACCATCTGGGTCAGACAGTTTATGGCAAGAAACTGAGTCAAGCTGAGACACCTGCTTGTATATCCTCATCCATGGCAACTGCTGATTGTTGCTGGTCTTGATGGAAGACTTGAGGGCATCCACTGATGTGGACCCCCACTCCCTCCTGCATATAGACTCCCATAGTGTATCACAACTCGTTAAAGACCTGAACCTTTTGCAAGTCATGGCAAAGGAGATAAGTGAATCTACAGGAAGCAGAAGCAAGATTGTGAAGAGATGGTCCTGAGCTAGCTTAACTATTGGTGACAACGCTGATGATGATCCAATGTTGCTGCTGCTATTACTCTTACTCCTACTGCTACTGCTAGTACTACTACTACTTGTCTCTGCCATGGAAAAAGTAGCCATACTTGTTGCTTTGCAAGATAGTTCTAAGTTATGACTTTCCAAGATGTAAGGCTATATGGCTATGTGGGATTGTGTTGGGCAGAGGGTAGGGAGAAACAAAACATACTTCTGAAAAATGGTCTGATTTTGTTTTGTTGCGCATGTCATGTGAAGAAAGCAATGGTGAAAATGTAAATATGGAAGATAGGTAAATTATAGGAGTTGAAAAGAGAGGGAAAGAGATAGATTGCAGATAGAAGGATAGATGAGGGGAGCCCATTTCTTTTGTCTCCCATATGAAATGAGCTAGCTTCATTCTCCATTGTTCCTTGCCATGTCATTTGAAGACAAGCAAGCCAAATGGCAAATTGAGACCTTTATCTCTTTGTTTCATCTTTTATAGTTTTTTTTTTTTTTTTTTTGGCTAAATCCCCTATGATTCTTCAATATATCCTTATATTATTAATTATTAATTAAGTTAATTTTAATCTTAAATATGCATTAAGTTTCAATCCAATTTTTTGTTAAGATTTTCAGACCAAAACATCAGAATTATTCTCATAATTTATATATAATTAATTTTTATTTTCAAATTATTTTTACAAAACAATCAAATTAAAGGTTTTTATATGTAAATCGTGAAACTAATTTTAATAGTTTAAACCGAAAATTTTACCGCAAAGATGGATTAAACACTATATATATATATATATATATAAAGGAATAAAATTAATTCAATTAAAAATATAAAAATAAATGGAAAAATTACTGAAGTTCAAAGGTAAAAGACATTTGCATGATGTTGTAGGGTCTTAAGTGCTGAAGATCCATTTCTCAGCATCAATATACACCAGAATTTTTTGGCCCTTTTTCAGTCAACCCTTCCATCTTTTTTGTTGTGCATTGAAGTCCAAAACTAAATCGCAAGAGAAGTTATCAACTGAAATACAGTACTCGAAGAGAAAATGGAGTGATTTCCAATTCTCAGTTGATTTAGAATTGCATTTTACCTTTTCTTAGGAAAAACCTTAAATTAGACCCTAAGGTATTCCTCGATTCTCAATTGAGTCTCAAAACTTTTCGATAGGTCCTCTATCCAAGTCCACTAATTTTTCTGTCAAATTGTATTCAATATAACACCGTTTTATTGCATAGAATATGCACGTTACACAGAAATCATCAGCATATATTGATTGAAGAATCCCCCTGAAAAATATGTAAAACAATGGAGATCCAATTAGTTGTTTGTAGGGCAAGAAAAAAGGGCCTATTACCATTTCGTATTACAAAGATAAGGGGATGTTGTGGTTTTTTTTTTAGATGAAACTGTTTTTAAGTTTAAATTCTTTTCAAATTCATATCTCTTGTAAGTGTAAAAACTTTATTATTACTTGGAGATGATCATTTGATTTTTTGATTCAGTTTTTTTTTTTTTTTTGGTTAATCGAATTGATTAAAATAAAACTCGAAACCGAACGAAATTGAGGTTCAGTTTTTCAATTAAAAAATCAAAATTTTTGGTTTTTGATTAAAAATATTTTATTATTATTATTTTTTTTTTTTGCATCTTTTTTTCTAAATTTTGAATTTTTTTTTTTGGACCAAGCTGAAAGCCACTTTTTTATAAATTTTTTCTTCAATTTTCAAGAAATACTAATAACTTAAATTGAAGTTTTAACAAAAATAATTATAGAAAAATGCTATGAGCCCGAGTGTCCGTGTGTTAAAAAAAAATATTAAGTCGATTTTTAGTGGAAACAGAATTTAAAAAAAAAAAAAAAGCAAATCGAAATAATTTTGATTTTCAATTTTTTTTTTGTACAAAACCAAAATCAAATCAAAATTGTTAATTCGCTTTCGTTCAATTTTTCAGTTTTAGTTGATTAGTGCTCATCCCTGTTATCACTGGACCAAAAGTATACAGTATAAGGCTTAGGGACTCTATCATTAAGTGGAAAAATAGATTAGACTACTAGAATTTGAGTGCCGTCTGATCTTAGTGGAATTGTCATTATCAGGACGGAGACTTGAAAACGGTCCAATCCAACCATTAATCTACCACGTGTCATGATTGAAACTGTTGGACCCACATTTATTACCACTAGAACACCAAATGAAACACTTGTAATAACTTCTATTGGTAGGCAAAACCCACGAATGAAACATCTTTCTTTTTATCCTGTTTGTGAAGCATTGAAAAGACCCTTTTTGTCCATACATAGAAGGAGAAGTCTTCCTTCATGCTTCTGTAAATTTCTTTAGAAGGCCAAAAACCAAATTTCACCCCCAAATCTTTGAATTAAGTGGTAAGATAGCTTGACACATCCATATCCCATTAAGATATTCTAAATTATGATATATATATATATATATCCGGATATATGTGAATAAGACAATATTTCAAAATTTGATGGCATGTACTATAACATGTTTGAAACTTGGTGGAGATAAGACTAAACATAGTTGCAAGCAATTATCATGAGATTCCGTCTTGAATTTCATTATCACATTATTGACAATTACACCTTTGAGCTTGATCACAAAACGTTGAAGGCATTTCACATCAAGTTTTCAAACAGAAAATGTAGGTCCAACTCCAAGCTTACTTTTCAAAGCTGATAAGGATGACCGACGGTAATGGACATTCGGCAAAGCTGATATGATGGCTGAATTTGTCATGCATGAGTTTGAAGACCAATGACTAACAATAGAAATCAAGCATTTGCAAGAAATTGTGCTTGACACCAAAATCTTCTGCGTTATCAAGATACCTGTGTATAAATACTAGTTCGGCTACAAGAAGTCCTATGTGTTTTTAGGTTACATGAAGGTTAAAGGGGAAAACGGGGAAAAGAGAACTAATGAGGTTATTTAGATGTGAAGAAGGATACAAACTCAGCTGTCGTGCGGTTACCTCGCTTCATGATCAATCAAAAAAGAAAGGTTGCTCGATAAGCAGCCGATTTTTTATTTCTGCAAACTGTGCACTTGGCCTTTATTTATTAGTCTCCAAAGAGCAGCCTTGGCTTCCTCTAATGTTTCAACAGCATGCCCATCTTCAAATGATATCCTCTGTATGTTGAACTACAAAGAATAGAGCATGGTATATATAATTACCAGCGTAAACACATCACCAAATAGACTTGGAAATGTTGTTGGATGAAAGGATTACCTGTGCCCCCTGACGGACCCGAATATCAGTTCCTTTACTGTCTATTGATATGAGGGCAGCATCATCTACCTCCGTTTCAGAAGATAAGAGCTCTCTAAGCGGTTTAGAGAAAATTGCATTGAGTTCCTGTAGCAAATGCAAATCTCAATACGATGAAGCCCAAAGTACATGGGCAGATCTTGTCATCATAGAGAAAAATGCACGAGGATAAGCACTTCATGTGATTGTGTCGTGTGACTTTTTTTAAAAGAATAATTATTATCATGACAGGGGGCACTTGAGATCCATTAACATGGAAAGTTAAAAGGCCACCTGGTTATCAATAGTTACAAACACCCACCAAAACAAAAGGCTACAATCAAGAACTGCCAAAATAACTTTTTGGCACATTCAAACTTGACTGATTTCTTTTGCACCTCTCAAATACGATGTTCAACATTTGCCTATGTATACCTACAAGCATGATTTTTCTGTTTCACCATTCCCTTACTTTGGACAAGATAACAGCTGCATCTGTAATAAATAGATCAGACTAAAACTAAAAGCTTATACATAAGACTGAATATTCTCAGCTGAAACATGAAAGTTGACGATACAGTCAGTCTGCCTCCTTAGCATAAAACAGTAAATCAAACTAACCGGTACTAATAATTTTATCATCCTTGATTGGATAACACCCAAAAGAAAGAAGACTCAAGTGAACTAATAAGACCACAGAGAGAATAAATGAAAAGCTTAAAACATGATAACAGAATCAGAGACAACTTCCATTCATATGTGTACATCATCTCTATTAAAATTACCAAGGATTTTCAAGATCACCTTGAGATTTTGCTCTCCTCCATCAACTGCAATCTTATCAGGCTGAAGGGCTTCATATTCCTTGACATCAACCCAAGCAACAGTGCCAAAGCCTCCAATGAAATATATATCACTGGCAAAAGATTGAAATCTTTAGACATCTGACCTTTTATCTTTAGCAATAAAGATGAGTTCAGAAGCTCGGGAACTCCAAACTAATTATGTGTAGTTACCAATAACAAATTTACTGGCATGTTTCTAAGATGTATATGATATATTAGAATGCCAAGACATTCATAAGTTTTGTGAAGTTAAATCCTTTGTTGAGCTTTAAGTGTTTGCTCATTCAAAAAATGTCTTGAACAAAGAGCACAGAAATGTCAACTTCTTTATAACCACTGTCCTCGAAAGCCACAAAATCAATGAGCACGCAAAGCACCATGATGCTTTGCATCCCACATCAAATCCATCTAACAAGGGCTACAGAAAATTTCCCCAAGCAAGCCAAAAAAAAAAAAACAAAAAGAGAGAGAGAGAGAGAGAGAAGAAGAAGAAATTAAAGCTCCTCTGAGCAAAACCGACTCAGAGAAGACATATGCTAATTGTATCTCCAGTTTTACATGGCATGTTCCTCAACCCCTTTAAGCTCAAAATGCAGTAGAAGACTTTGGAACTAATTTTATAGTTAAAATTTCGCACAGCTAATCTAAGAAGCTAAAAGCTTAAGGAAGAGATAAAAAAACCACGATATGATGGATACAAACCTTATTTTTTGCATCCTGAAATAATAAAAATTCCCCCATTGTTGGGAAGGCCCTTGTTGATGTTTTGCAATGTACTGCTTATGAGCCCACTCCTGGCAAACACAAACAGATATTATACTCAACAAACAGAACAAAAGGATCCTCTTAAGCAGACACGCCAATAACAAAAAATGAAGAGCAGACACATATTTCCTATAAAAATTCAGTGCTGATTCTTTAGAGAAATTTGTGTGTCTCAACAAAATAACAACCCATTGGCTGGTAAATTCCAAGAAAGAATAATCCCCATTATTCAACAGGAGAAAAAACCAATGTAGGACTACCATAAGAATGCAACAAACTCTACAGAAAGTAACATAAATTGTCAAACAGATCCTTATAGACACTACTAAAACTGAAAACAGGTCAAGCTGCAAGCACCCTTGCATTGTGCATCTAGAAAGAAAGGAAATAAAGAAATCTACCCTTCAAGGGCATATAGCAAAACCATAGTTTACCAAGAGCAGATAGCAAGAGAGAGAGAGAGGGTGGGGGGCGCTACCTGTTGGTGTTCTGGGAGTGGGAAAACATCACCAAAGATTGTTACCCTTGCATTAGATAAGCCACTCCACCCAGGGATCTATAAAAGCTAAGGGTCAGTAAAGTTCATAATTGGAGAACAAAAACCCAAGAATTTCTAGAGTGAAATAGCAAGTATTACCTGCACAACGAGTGTGCATCTAGGATCCGCTAGCAAATTCCTTGTGTGGATGGCCAATGGTGAAAATGAAAAAATAGGATCTACAGATTGAGAAAACCAAATGATTAAATGAGTCAAATCATTTGCAGACACGTGTACAAACTGTGAAGACCATTCTTAAATGTTCAAATGATAGTCCAGAATCGAGCGTTTTGGGTCAAATTCTAGCCCAATTTGAGAAAAAAACACTTTATTAGAATTCTTAAAATGTGTTAGTTCTTTTTAGCCAAAGTAACTATATCATTTGGAGGTAATCAGGAAGAAATATTTATATGTATCAATCATATACGAAGTTATTGCATTAAATCATATAACCTTATACCGTGTTATCTTAAGAAACAAAAAACTATACGTATCAATCAAGTATGAAAATTTGAGGACTTACGCCCCATTGGATCAGGTGCAAAATCTACCAAGGAACCAAATGGATACCCTTCTCGTCGATGGTGCATTTGAGACATTACAGTGCACAAATGAGCAAATCTAGCCTGAATTACAAAGAAAGATAGTTTCAGAACCATTATATCAAACACATAAAGTTAGACACATTCCAGGCAATGACTAGGTTCTGAAAAAAACAAAAGACGAAAAAAGAATGGCCATTACCTGCTCCATCAAATTGCGGACAGCCAAGGCTGGTTGAGGTAAGCCATGAGCTGATGTAGCACTCTGCACTCCACCAGAAATTGGTGTTCTAAAAGCCCAGCTCTGTTTCCCCCACCTGTTCCACTTCCGTGTGGTGCAATCAGAGGCGTCTCCGCCTTCAATATTTTCTCTGCATCCTTTTCAGTACTTTCACTTTGCTTTATGTTATCCTTCATAACACGAAATAAGCCATCACTACTAAGCCGAAGTAGCCATTTGATTAATCCAGTTATTGTCTACTTCAGAGAAAAGAAAAGGTTCCAAAACATCATTTAGGCATGCAAATGCAACTCTGATCAAAGACAGCAAAAACCCTATATTCTCTCATTGTTATCTACATTAACTGGAGAAACCGACCATAGGTTGCATCCCCCAACTCCCCTAACAGCCTTTTACAACCCACTATGATCAACGAATAAGTATAATAATAATTAAAAAAAAAAAAAACAAGTACTCCATCAAACGACAAAACAAAACTTTATATGACAGGATTGCAGATTCCTAGTTAGTAGAAAAAAATTGAGAAATTTTCTATTAGCTCTTCAACTCGGTTTCCAAAACTTACTTACCACCAAATATCACCTCAACCTATCACAAACCTCAAGGAAAAGAGAAAAGCCTTGTCTGTTCCACAACATCCTCGAAAAATTCAACCCTTTCGTAAAGCTAATATCTTTTCAACCTCAGCACTAAAAATCCTAACTTTCCAATCCATTTTGTGGATGGATATTATCAAATTCTTTTCATAAGCTTTACTTAACCTTGCAAATAAAAACAAAGCCAAAATACACAAAATGGTCATATAAACAAATAATAAAGCATTTATAAAACATAATTACCTGAGCCAAAGAGAGAGTGTCATCAGAAAAAGAGCCAAACCAATTACTTGACGGGCCCTGATCATCACTATCAGCATCACCACCTGAAACATCACGTGCTAAAGCTTGAAGACGAAGAGAAGGAAAGCTAGGAGTTTCGGCAAATTTGAGAGACCCAATTGGCCTAGTGTTGTGTAATTTGATTGAAGAAGGCGAACAAGAAGAAAGGAATTTATTGACAAAAGGGTACGTCTCCGGAAAGACTGAGTTGTTCATTAACATTGTTCTTGAAGAAGATTCCATGGAAGAAAAGGAAGGGTTTTGGGTTTTGCAGCAAGACGAGTAACGAAGAGGAGATTTGTCGACAGGAGATTTCTTTTAGGTTATATATACATACAAGGGAGAGGAGATTTGATTTGTTTTAGGTTATATACACGTGTGTGTGAGAGAGAGATTTTTAATTAATTCAAGAAGCATATATTTTTTATAAAAAAAAATTTATTTGTAAATTTATATTTTATATTGCCTTTTCTATTTTTTTTTTCCATGTATGTTTTGGATTATTATTATCCAAAAGTCAAACTTAGATATTTAGTTTCCAAATTATTATTAAGCAACTAAAAAATTGAATTTGCATAAACCTTTTAAGTTATGGGATATTATTAGTAGCAAACAACAAAGGAAAAATATCTTTATTGCATTAGGATTGTTATCCCTATATATATAAATATCAATAATTAGAAAATTTTGCTTCGAATATCCAACTTCTATAAAACATTAACTGTTTTAGATTTTATCTTTTTTCACTAAATAAGTAAATATAATATAATAAAACTAATTGAAAATATTTTTTTCCTAAATTATAAATTTAAAATGAATATTAATTCTGGAATATTATCAATAAGTAAACAAAAAGGAAAAAAAATCCTTGTTGCTTTATAATTATTATCGTTGTTATAGATATATACATAGCATAGCAATAGCAGTAAAATTTGCTTTGAACATCAAACTTCTATAACAATATTATTTGCTTAAAATTTGATCTTCACTAAATATGATGATTTTTTCTCCGGGAAAACACTTAATATATGATGATTTTGATCTTAGGTTTTTGTTAAAATGGATAATTGTTTTGTCTGGACAAAAGTCATAACTTTTTACAAAAATTGAATAGAAATTACTTAAAACTTGTCTGTCACTACAAAAAATTAAGCCTTTAGAGATAAAAAAATTCCATTGCTAAACCTATATATTTTGTCGTTATATTTTTTTGAGTGACGAAATGACGACAAAATCAGGCTGTAGGTAAAATGTTTGTAGCTAATAATTTTAGCGATAAAAGTTACCATTCATCGTAAAATTAGCAAAGTTGTCGCTATAGTAAAATAATTTTGTCTTCAATGTGATATCAACAATCTGTTTGTAATTATAAAATCTGTCTTAACATGAACCTTTCACTCAGACAAGGGATTGTTATCAATCCACCCAAACAAGCATCATCCATACCATTTTAAAATAATAAAATCTTTGCATCAACTACCAAAAACATGGACGTTTTTCCAACTTCTTCCTAAGATTTTGATGATAGTCACTACAGCTTTGTTCAGTAGAGTTTTTCTAATCTGATATCATTTTTTTCAAATGTTTCCATTCATAAGAAAGGTGGGAACCTTCGTCATCCAAGATACTTTTGAAAATGATAGAACGCAAATAGGAGATATCATCTTTCCTATACAAAGATGGGAAGTGATCTACTACACTACTATCAAATTTGTCATCGATGAGATTAACCCGAACTATTTCCATTTTCTACCCACCAAAAAACTATTCATGAAAGCTCAAATGTATTTTATCTGGACTTTAGCATCCATGCCATCTCTCATTTTCATGAAATTCAATAACAGCTATAATAACCGCTCGAATGATTTGACAATTATATTGATTATGACGTCTCAAATTCCATCCCTAAACTACATCAACCCGATTAATTTTCTTGACCAAATCTAAATTCCAATGCTCGTCGTTGACCAACCACCTAGTATATTTAGGATTTTCTCAAAGCCAATTTGTGAGTGTATATGCTTCTTTGATTGTTGGAACCTAAAAATAATTCTCATCAAACGTAGCAGAAGTCTCACCAATAGGCCCTTTAGGCTCAGATGTTTCAGGTGGTCTAGGTTTAGATTTTGTGGGTATCAGTTCAAATGCGGGTTCAGATTCTATCTTGTAGTCTTTGGATAAAAGAGATAATGTGGATGATCCTTTGGGTACTGCAGATGTGGAGAAACCATTTTCTAGATACCTAAATAACGTGCGCCCAGACAAGTATACACCAATTGTTAAGATCTAATGATGGATTTCTTAAAAAAAAAACCCTAGAATTTAGAAAAAATGAGAGAAAAGAAAGAACTAAAGAAAAAGAGAATATTTGTCTTTTGAATTTAGATAGAAAGATTAATCTTCATACATGCCTTATCTATTAATTTCATCTATTTATGCAATAATAACTAATACAAGAGGCCAATTATCCATCAACTTAACAACTTACCCTTGCCAGTTAATCTTGTCACTTAATATTTGTTTGTTTCCCTAATGAATTCAATAGCAACAAAATCAAATAATCAACACTCAATGATTACTGTATGTAACCATAAGATATTTCCATTCAATTTTACAAAAATTACTATTTCTATTTTAACAAAGACAAAAAAGATACTTAGATATGTAATTTCTTTAATGTTTGAACAAAAAATTATCCACAATAACAAAACCCAACACAACAATAATTCTATTAGGAATCTAGGATTATGCATCAGAGAGATATAATGGTTATTTTTGCCAACACCTAACTGAAATTGAACAAGCTCTTGAGTATCTTTCTTGACTATTTGGTTGCATCAAAATTTAGTGTTGACAATTATACTCAAAGAAGCCTCAATCTTATATTACACGAGAGGTCATTCAAATGGAGAAAAATGTCACTTGCCATCCAAAATAGGTTTTTCTTTCAATTTTTGGCTCTTGCTCTTGGACTTAGGCTTGGGCTCTAGTGTCAACTTCGTGGAATCTCCAATGGCTGGAGACTCTGCATTGGCCTCGGGTTTAGGTTCAAACTTATCCGTACGAGTGAAACACTTGTATGTATCTCCTTTTATCTTGGAATTTTGTATGTGCAAGTTTTAATGCAAGTTCGGAGTCAGTCTTAGAATCTTTGGATAAAAGAGATGATGTGAAGGAGTCTTTGGGTGCTGTAGACCTGAATGGCATGCACCCAAACAAGTATCAAGCAATTTTCATTCAATTTTACAAACAATTAAGATTTTGTTTTGCCAAAGACAAAAAAGTATGATTTGAACAAAACAATCGTCCATTTTAATAGAAAACAACACAACAATAAATCAATTAGAAATCTTTGTCAACACCTAGCTGATGTGTTAGTGATAGCTGAATTGAACAAAGTCTTGGATATCTTTCCTAACCATTTGTTACTATTTGTTGGGATCAAGATTAAGTATTGCCAAAATTATAATTCTACTCAAAAGAAACCTCAATCTTTGTGTAAAATATTATCTGCCCTTCAATTTTTTTTTCTTGCTCTTGCTATTATACTAGGATAGAGACTCTGAATCGGCCTCGGGTTTGCTAATGCAAGCTTTAAGAGGAATACAAGAAGGCTTAGGTTTGGACTTAACCTCGTTAGTGCTAGTGGAGCCCTTGTCTAGTTCTCTTTTAGGATACATGACAAAAAATGTGGAGCAAATGAAAGTGTCGAGATGGCAAGGATAATACTAACATAGGAAACTTTCTGGATTACTCCCATCGTCGCGTCGAAAGAGTTGGAGAATCGAGAGAAGATGAAGTATCGTACTGATTTTCGATAGCGTCAGGGATACGCACTTGATCGCTGCTATTAAGCTCTTTGGTGGTTCTGTTTGTAGGGCGGAAAAAGAGGGAGGTGAGATTGGTACTCCCTAATTTAGCCTACTATATTTTTTTTATTTTTTATTTTTTATTTTTTGGAAAATTTATTATTATATTTTTAAAAATTGTTTGATTATTTTCTTACTTTCTTAAAACTATTTTAGCCATAGTCAAATAATCATGACTCTTAATATTTATACATCTCACTCACAGGGTCAAGCTTAGAGTAGATAAGACCTTAATTTTTTATGATTTTTTCATTTTATTTATCTTGTACATATTCCTCTAAATTAAAAAAAAAACAAAAAAGCATGCGACCCTAAAATTTTTAATGTGTTGTGATAAAAATTTTTTCACTATGAATAATAAATTAATAATGTCACAAAGAAAAATAACTAGCAATTTCAATTTTGCACCTCAATTTTTTATTTTGAATTTTCTGTACTTCAATTTTCTCTTTTTTCGATACTCGCTTACTCTAGTCAGCGAAAATAATAAAACTCATAAGAAAAATGTAATATTTTGAAAAATGAGATAAATCAAATAAAATGTAAATTTTTGAAACCCTAGCCTAGCAAAAATATAGACACACCATTGTTAATTAATTTATTTGAAAATGTCGACTCCATATATTGAAATTTAGATTTTACATTGTCTCAAAAAGTGAGGCCCATGGACTGTGAAATGCTTACCAACAAAATGACCCGACCCGACTAGGATTTATCCCGCCTAACCATGACGACTCATGAAGAGGTACAACATGGCAATAATAGGAATAAAATATAAATTAGCTTTTTAGTTTTGCAAAAGGGATTAATAATCTTTCATGAGTAAAAAAAATAATTAACTAGTCACTCGTCGAAGCAAAATAGGGATAAGCACCTGCCTAAACTTGACTCGCTAAGAGGTACAACTTGACTAGGATTTATCCAGCCTAAACTTGCCTAGAGGTACAACATAGCAATAATAGGAGTAAAATATAAAAATTAGCTTTTCAGTTTTGCAAAAGGGACTTGTAATCTTTCATGTTTCAAAAAAATAACTAATTAGTCACTCGTCGAAGCAAACTAGGGATAAGATCCTGCCAGCTGGAGAAAGCAACTGCAAGAAAACTCTGCCTTCACAAATTCACACCTCAACTTCTGGCATCTCAGAGTGGATGAGCGTTGGTGCTGTTGTGCTGCCTGAAATGGAAAACTATGCAATTAGAGAGATTGATTTTGGGAGAAAATGTTTGACATGTAAAGTAAGAAATATTAGAAAATATAGTCTCTGCAGATAGCTTAATGATACCAAGAATATCTCTTACATTTTGGCAACAACATACAGCCCCTCATTAGTGTTCATATCGTCCATTCCGTTAGCAATCATTTCAAAGCAGATGATCTGGGCCTCCTGCAACCTCCCTCCCTTTCTAAGGCCAGTAGATAGCTCATCATTGCAGATGAGACATTAAGAAGGAAACCATTCTCAAGCTTTTCTCTACCATACATATAGCTCATGCCACCAACAAGATCCTTTGTTTCTGACAACTTCAAGTAGACAAATAGTTACACACTCTTTCATCACTGCTTTTTCATGAAGTGGGTCTCCGAAGACAAAGAGATTTGTGACTATCAGTCTGCTTGACAAATCTCAGGATCGCTGCTTTTTCATTTCTTCAGCAAAATTTAGTTTTTACTACTGCAGTACTAAAAGCTATAGATCTTGATATGTCTCAAGATGATAATACATTGACTTTTTTTGGTGTTGTGTCATTTTGATTGGCTTATTAGAAAATGCATGGATGAAACGGGATGGATTCATTGATAGAATAAGTGGTTATTAAAATCAGAATCTTCTACCTAATGCAGATGGTATACCTAATGCAAATGGTACATGCTGATGAGTCAGTTTGTCGAACTTGGGATTACTTGAAGCAACATGGCTCGAAAGGATTTATAAACATTCGGCCAAGGCCCACTGCAATTGCCTGGACAATTATTGCTTGTTATGCAGCATTTGAAGCTGCAATTCTTTTACCTGGAAAAAGGGCTGAGGGTCCAATTTCTCCTGATGGAAACCGACGTGTTTACAAGGTACTATTCACTTGATTTTGTCTTTATAAAACTTCCAAGTCTTTATAAAACTGCCATGATATGCTATTTCTTGTGTTGTTTGATTATATCTGCCGAAGATGGGAAACAAAAGCTATTAGGAAGCATAGGCATGATTTATGCTATTAGGAAGCAAAGTTCACAAGAAAATGTCCAAGCTAATCGATTTCTTCCAACTTTTGGCTTGTACAGCTACCAAACATTGGTAAAACACGAACCTATGCCTCCAATCCAGCTCAATATGATTAGCAGCTACTCATCATTTAATCTGTAGCTAAGAAGATTTGCAGTAAACACTCACAGAAAGCTTTTCTGATGCATCTTCTTTTGGGATCAGAACATTCTGTCTTCGGTACTTGAGACTGTTTCCGCAACTGTACCCTTGCTTGCTTCCTCTCCATCCATTGCATCAATACAAACCTAATATCATTAAAAATTAACACTGCTCATGGAGTAAAAATTACACAAAAACAAGCTGATTCTTTTAAAATAATAATAATAAAAAAATCACTCACAGATCGGCTTCCAAAGTTGTGCATAACAGTTGTAAAATCCAACTAAATATTGAAATACTAACATAACAAGGTGGTTACCATAGAAATGTTGAAATACTAACATATTGAGAAAAACATGTATAGAAACCTACCATATATCTACCTGCATTTAGTTCCTTCAATTTTAAGGGAGGAGAAGTTCAGTCCAAACAAGGTTCAAGTTTAAAAGCAATTTAAATGTGATTATAACATTAATGTTTTTGCCTATTGGAGCTTCCACGAAACCAAGAGTAGATCATGATTCAAGCTCACAAGAAAAAACGCCCCAAAGTCCAACGGTTCAAATGCAAGTTTGGAGCCTGCTTTAGATTCATTGGGTATTGCAGATGTGGAGGAAACACCCTCTGAATTCAGCTTTGGTACTAAGACAGACTCCAAACCTGCATTTAAATCGAAGAGACTCCAAATCCACTATTGAACCTAGACCACCTGAACCTTCTGAACCCGATCCACCCTTCATCCTTGCCTGCAAAAAGCCTTTTTATGAGAATTTTAAATTCAGCATGGTTTTGTCCAGGCAATAATTTTAAAAGCATTTTCAATAAACATTTGCGACAAAACTTGGAATTGCTGATTACAAAAGATCTAAATCCAATAAACCCCACGTTGCTCTTAGTTAAAGTTACCATTTAGAACTAGAGATTCAAAATAATACTTCCATTTCCCATATTTTCTCAGTGACCAAACAGCTCTTGATACAAAAAAAACAAGGAAAGAAAACAAACTATTGAAGGCCAGAGAGAACGAGAGATGTTACCATTGTTAACGGCGGAGTTAAAGAGCTCTCTGTTTAGCCTGCAGCTGCTGCCGTTCCAAACAAACCCTTACAAAAACGAGCAGGCGGTGCTAAATGAGCTCGATTTTCTCGATTTTATAGCAAGCGCTTTCGGCTTAGGGTTAGGGTTTTTATAGGTTTTGTTTGGTTTGCATTTAAGACAATTCGGATCCAGTTTGTGAGCCAGAGCGGAGAGGCGGCCATATATTCTGGACCGGAAATTGCTAATCCAGGCTTTGGGTACTGGTAAAAGCCCACGTTTAGTCCGTTTAGAGGCTTGTTGGGCCGGAGACAAAGAGTGCTTGCATATAGAGGTGTTCATTATTCGGTGAAAACCAAATAACTGAACCGAACTGCACCGAAATATAACCGGTTTTCGATTTCGGTTTTGGTTTTTTTTTAATTTTTTTTAATTCGATTAAAACCGAATAATCGAAATTATTAAATTTTTTTAAAAAAATTCATCATTGAACGACGTCGTTCATTTCGAGTCCTCACCTCATCCTCACATAAACCTAAGGCTGATTGGAGTTAAATCAATTAGCTCATAACCAATTCTTGTTGTATTGATTACATTAGCCAACTGGTCCAACGCCAAATGACCATAACCAATTCTTGTTTATAATTACTCAAGGAGGTACATAATTTCTTTCTTGATTCAATTTATAGTTTAAAAGAAAAGATGTGAGATAGTGTTTTTTTTTTTCTATTTGTGAAAGAAAACTAGTTAATTTATGGACCCCGATGATAATTAGTATGTCTCTTTTTAGTTAACACTTATAATTTAAAGTTGAGTGTTTAAAGTTTTAATATTCTTCATTGTTCAAAAACAACATTGCCATTTAATTAGCAAAGGTTAGCTTATGGCTGTAATGTTTTAACAAATTATCCAAAATTATTAGTTCTAATCACGTCAAGTTAATTAAAAGTGTCTTTCATAAAGACAAATAGATCAATTATATTTGAGCTTCAAAGCATGCTCGTTTCTTTATAGAAGGAATTGTTAAAATGTTTTAATTGTAACACATATTTAGCGGTATTATCTACTCATACCGATAGACAATAACATATATTATTAGACTTTATATGATAATGATGACATTTCGTATATATATATATATATATATCAATTGATATTATATTAGTAATGACTATTAAGGAGTAGTAAAATAATAGTAAATAGACGGAGTTCAATGAGATTGAAAAACGTATACATATAGGAACATGGTCTAAAATGGCAATGCAAATACTAAATTTATTTTTTCGAAAGTGCATGATCCTTTTAAAAATCAAAAGTATAGATAATTACGAGTGAAAACCGAATCACCGAATAAAAAAATTGATATATTTCAAAATCGAATAATAATTCGATTCGGTTTCGATTATTTTTTTATACAATTCGGTTAGCCGAAAACCGATCAAAAAAGCTCGAAATCGAACCGAATTACCGAACGAACACCCCTACTTGCATATATGATATACTAGTTAGCAACCCGCGCTTCGCCGCGAGTTTGGTATAATCATCGAATTCAGCGAGATGGTGCATAATGAGTTAAGTTCAATCGTTTTTTCAGTGTTAATGTTGGCTATATTATTGTGGTTGTGTTTTTTTTTTTAAAAAAAAAAAATTGCAATAAAAAGGTTAGTATTTTGTGGTTTGGTGCATGTTTATTTTGAGTTATTGCTTTCATAGCGCAGCTTACCGTGGATTATGTGGTTAATCTATGGGTACATCGGTTTTATTTATGAAAATGGGGAAAAAAAAGAAAAGAAAGAAAACTAAGCATATCAAGCAAGATTTTGGCTATTTTCTTTTTCCTAAGTGTTGTTATTTTGTTGATCAAAACTATAATTTAGACAATTTGCTAAACATGTGTGAACTAAAAGAGTAAAAGTTCATTTATTTAAGATGAGTGGACGATAACATATAAAATTATTTCGGTTTGAAGGTTCGTGTTACATTACACATTACGAGTCCATCAAAATATATTAAATCAAAGTAAAACAAAATCTTCTCAATTTTTTTTATGTTTTTAATCAAAATTTTGTATTTGACCAGTTATTTTTTGTGTTTTTCATAAATTTTCTTCTATTTTTTTCTTTATTCAGATTCTTAATTAAAAACTTGTAGTAATCTAAAAAAAAAAATTAAAATCCATGAATTCTTAACTAAAAACTTATTTTATCAATTATTTATTTCTAAAAATCTCAAACAAATTATGCAAAAAAAAAAATCTTTAGATTAAGTTTATGTATAAATTTAATTTCAATGTTAAATGATATTTCATTGTTATCATTTAATATACTACGCTTTTTTGTCAAAACCAAAGTTAATTAATCAAAATTATTTAGAAAGCCAAATAATTTGATAATAATAATAATAATAATGATAATATATGTCGAAAAAAATATTATAGATTTTTTTAATCAAAAATCGTATTTGTAATATGAATATTTGATAAAACTTAATGTTCAAAATTATAGCCATATAAAATATAATTTTCACACTTAACATAAATATAAATATTTATAATTAATATTGTGTAAATAGTAAAAAATGATTTCTTTAGTTTATACACTTGACTTATAATATTGTGTAAATAGTATATTGAGTCATTAACATAGTTTTTTAGAAAAAAGGATTAACTAATTTATTTTTTAAAATTGAAAGGACTAATTTATAATTTACTCCATTAAAGACTGCATCTGCAGGCCTTTGCATATGTTGCACGGAAGAGTGAAGACACACCCAATATAAAAAATCGAGAGTAAACTATATATTAGCCCCTTAGTTTTGATAAATGAACTAATTCATTAATTTTGTTTCAAAAGTTAATTATTAATTTAATCAGTATTGATCATATTTAATATAAAATATTTTATTTTTTATCACTTTTTTTATTATATAAATTTATTTATTTTTCATTTTCTATAATTAGTTTTTGAAATAAAAAGACTAACTAATTTATTATTCTAAAACAAAAGGACTGATTTATAATTTAATTAACTAAAGCCTATAAATGCAAGTTTTGATTTTTATCCTCAATCAAATCTGAATCTTCACGCGGCTTCACATGGCCGGGTGGGGCGGCTTAAAGGCATTCTAGAGTCTAGGTTTTTGCATCTGCCTCTATGGCTGAACTTACGTTTTTTTTTTTTTTAAAAAAAAATGCATAAAAAATACGCATGGATTCCGAAAAGAAAAAAAAGATTCTGTAGATAAAAAAAATAATACGGATTCCAAGAAACAATTATACGTGATAACTCAATTTTATAGCTACCACATCTCCAAAAAAAAAATCAAGAAGTTTTTTTATTTAATATTGTTTATTTCTTTTATAAACCTATATTATTATTTGTCGGCGTAAATAATTAATATTTTAATTATTGCGATTAATTCAGACTTCTTGATATATTAAATTAATACATAACATGAAAAATTATATTTTTAAAAACTAAGTTACACACATTTTCTACTTCCTGTGAGAAGACTTGAGCTTTTACGGCAATTTAATGTAATCAAAGTGAATATGTGATGCATATTGATGTTACATTCATGCTTTGAGCTTTTTGAAGAACTAAAAATAAAACCCCCCAATGACTGTTGATAATTCATAATAATTTTAGCAAAACACTTGCCCAGCATTCCTTGACACGTCTTCAGCCACAAACGAAGCTGCTACACTGAGGAGAGGTATATTAAAAACCTTCGATAGGTACTAGAAATTGACATGGAAACTCATGCTGATGCTAACTCCGACAACCCTTTCTGAACAGATTAAGAGCTAATTCAGTTGTTGCTGCCTTCTCATTCATAAATCTAGATTCAACAGAAAATACCTACACAATCTAATGACATAGGCTTCAGTTGTACCTGGAAAATAAGTTCCAAAATTTGAAAGGAAGTGATAAAATTAACTCATTTATAATTGTAAGCAACAGTCATTACCCATCAAACAACTGTTCTTTAAGAGGAATTAGAGGAAGAGCCCCACTATAATTGCCTCTCCAATCAGCTTGACCACTAATAAATTCAACAAATGAGAACAGTTCATAAGAATCAACTATAGATTATTATTATCCTTTAAAACGACCTATCAATGCAGTTAGGGATGTTCATCCAGTTTTTCACTGAGCAAGTCCTTGTTCAGTGCATGCAGTTCCACCATTTGCCCCACGTTTGAAGGAAAGAAACTTGTAAATATTCCATTTTGTCATCAAAAGACTTGATGATCAGCTGATGTTTGGTGAGTATATGATTAATTAGGCTAAATGTGTTGAACCAACTTTGAATTTTAGTTTATTTAAAAATTAGTTTTTGAATTTTTAATTTCGGATTTGAACTGTTCTGAATTTTATATTTTTTTAAAAAATTAATTCTTCTTTATATATATATAAAACATAACAGTCATTTAAATAATATAAATAATTATATTATAGAAATCGTTAAGTACAATTTATCTCAAGCTCTCTAATAAATTTAAGATTGTTATGAGTTAGTTTTAGGATTTTTTACATTTTAATGTTTAAAAAATAAATTGTACATACTTATGGTACTGCTAACCTATTGTGATTTTGTTTCATTTACACGCCAAATTAGTCAAACAATATTTTTGCTTAGGATCCTACTTTTCCTCTAAATCACTTCATTTGCTTCATCTTGATGTAATCATTGCTCAAATTTATGCTTGTGCTTCCATTTTTTTCCTCTTTGGCCTTGTTTTTCTGTGTTGCTGATGAGTATAATGCTGCTGGGTATTTGTAATCTTGATGTAATCACTAAATTTGGAGTTGATTTGGCCATTTCGTCCATTGGGTTTTAGAACGCTGGTTTGTGAAGCAAGAAGTTCAAAATCTGAAAGTTGGTTGAGATATTTAGGCACTTCAACATGAGCTGGGATGCAAGAAATTGGAGCTGAAGGAATACTTAGCCACTGTTCTGTTTTTCTCGCTTCTGAACAAATCTGACTGACTTCTAAAGCTCTCTCTGTTTTAGGAGAAAACAAAGAAAGTTAGAAGCCATGTTAAGAAAACTGAGGTTTTTGAGCAAGTCATCTCAATGAAATTTATGGGAAGTTGGTCTTTTTCAATAGTGTCCTGCTCAGTGTTTGCTCCTGTCTTGTCATTCCTTGTTGGTTGAAACCACAGAAGGTGATGAGGCTGGGCAATCCCCTCAACCAGACAAGGAAGATAATAAACCTTGTAACACAAAAAGGAAGTCAGGTCAAAAGTTCAATGTAACTAGTTTGCTAGACATGTATTTAGAAACTCTTTTATGAAGCCAACCTTTTTCTCTATCGGTTCCATGCAACTTTGGACCCTAGTACTGTTAAGCCAGCTCAAGCTGAAATTCGTTTTCTTCATTATTTACCCTGCCCAATTGAATTTTGCTACTTGGTTGGAAGATTAGCAAACTTCGGAGAAGAATGGCAAAGGGTGATTGTAGACCAGTGAAAAGAGCCCTCTTGGAGATTTGAGTGTTAACAGGAATAGGTTTGTATTGAAATGTTCCAATGCTGCTTGAATTTCACTTTATTGGTGATTTTAGCTTTTCTCTGAAGTTTTAACTGTTCTTGGATTGCTATCAGTTACCCAGGAGTATTTAGGCTTGCAAAGTTGTCCAGGGCAGCTCTCATGTATAGAAGCATTTGCTCCCAGACACTTATGAAAATGACAAAGAATTCCTCATTGGTAGCAAATGATTATCTGTTAAGGCAAATCTTCTTTAAAAAAAAAAAAAAGAACATTTATGCCTGTACTCTATCAAGAACGGACTAACAAGGTTAGCTACTCCTTGAATGATACTCCTAGAATGCTTGTTTTTGAAAGCTTTGAGCTCTTAGTTGGATTAGGATTATATCTCAAGCCTCAAGTTCCACAAATATCCAAGTTGTTCTTATTCTTCTCTTGTCGTTTCCTTTTCCTTTCCTTATTAATGTATAACAGTTTTATTGACATTGGCAAGTGCATAAGGAGAAGAAGTTGAAGAACCAAATGAATAAGTAAACGTAGAAGAGAAATGACAATATTGTAAGATATTATTCTCCTCCTCCCTTTTTATGAGTCATATTTGTAATTCTTTTCATATAATGGGTGCATGATATTTATATATATGTAATTGATGCAAATGTGAACAAGAGCTGAAGAATAATAGGAACCTTATGGAGGAAGCCATTGGCCTAGGAAAACGAAGAAGCCATTGCTCAACTTTCCGTACTGATTCGAGAGTATCTTCTCATCCAATAAGAAATGTGGGATGCCAAGGTTTTAGATCTAAAGAAGAAGAGTATAGAAGTATAGATGATTTGATTGGCTTTGATAACTTGAAAACCATGTTTGAGGCAGAAGATATCAGAAGGAGAAGGAAAGGAACACTAAAGATGCATCAGAAAAGCTTTTTGTGAGTGTTTACTGTGAATCCTCTTAACTTCAGATTAAATTATGAGTAGTCGCTAATCATATTGAGCTAGATTGGAGGCATAGGTTTGTGTTTTACCAATACCAATGTTCGTTAGCTATAGAAGCCAGAAGTTGCAAGAAATTGATTAGCTTGTGCATTTTCTTGTGAACTTTTGAATTATCTTGATTGCATAAACTCAAGTCTGTGATGAATCCTTGCAACGATTTTTGACTTGTTACATTAAGAGCTGTTACCTGAAGTTGGATCGGTTTGCTTTTCTTGTTGGCTTCGGGTTGATGCTGGAAAAGAAACGGAACAAGGAGCCACGATGGTGGAAACGACTGAAGCATTAACCGCTACTGACGGGTTCAATAATATATGGTGAAGTGATATGTCTTAATTTGCCCTTGTCAGAAGGTGATGGGGTGATTTCAAATATGAATTCTTGCACAAGTGTGGCAGAAATGTTTTTGTAGGGGAAGGAGATGGAGTTGAAGAGGATAGAGATAGAAACAGCAATTAATTATGAATTTAAGGTTGCATAAAAGATTAACCAAGTTAGTTTGGTTCTTATTTCATCCTTGGACTGGGTTGGATTCGGGTTGAATTTAACGTAATCTAGTCTGGTTATGTCTTTGTTTTTGGGATTGTTGGGGTTTTTTATTCTTTGAAAGTGTTTGTAAAATATTTGTGTATAAATAAACCTATAAACGTAATAACTCATGTTTGTAAAATTCACATATGTAAATCAATTAGACATGTGTTTCAAACGGTTATTATTTAACTAGTTTATAGTATTTTTTTAATTTATAAATGAATACATTTGAATAGCTAAACATGTTTGATTTTCAAACAATTTTATATAGATTTTAATAATTGTTATTAAATTATTTTTTAATTATATATTATTAAAAAAATTTGATAAATTATCAAAGCATGATTCTTTCAATATTTCTTATTACTGGTTTCGTAAAAAATCAAATCTTATTACTGGTTTATTGAAAATGAACCTTTCGAGCAGAGTCTCAGAGCAGAGATTTATGCTCATGCAAGGAATGCCTTACCTAAACTGCTCCAGGTTCCAAATGCAAAAGGTACATATCTGACTCATTCAATAATCGAAGGGTTTAGTTTAAACCTCAGCTACAATTCGGTTTATCTAGTTACGTTAACCAAATTACACATTTTATGTTCAATGAACATGGAAGTAGTTTTTGGAGTTCCTGCCTTGATCATTTTTTCTAATGTCTTACTCCCTGAATCTGTTCAGGTTTGGATAAAAAAGATACAGAAGAAATAGAATGAGATTATGTGGTCCTGGCCCCTGATCTTCTCAAGATAATTGAGAGTTCAATCCTTACCAAATTGCATCGCATTTTATTCTGTGATCAATAAGTTTTGTGAAATGAAGATGATGGATACAGCGAAGAAATAGGCGAAGAAGATGTTGGATTAGAGAATAGCCCTGAGCATGGAGATATACTATACCCTTATTGATGGCTAAGGAAGGCTGTGTGTTTTTTCTAGGTGCTTCCAGATTCTTGAAGAAATGGAGGAAAACGGGTTAAAGCCGAATGTGATAAGCTACGGCTCTCTTAAAAATTGTTTGTGCAATGATGGAATGGTCCTTGGGGATATGGTAGGCAGAAGGGTCACTGTCCTGATGTGTTTGCATACATCTCAATCTGAGGGCTCTCAAGTGCGGGAAGCTCACAAAAATGTCCTGAAGAGACGCCTTTTATAATTACTAGTATGGGTTATTTTGTTGGTAGACATTTTGGATCCATGGGCCTCACTTTTTGAGATGATGTAAAATCTAAAATTCAGAGTCAACATTTTCAAATAAATTAATTAGCAATGGTGTGTCTATATTTTTGCTAGGCTAGGGTTTCAAAATTTTACATTTCGTTTGATTTATCTCATTTTTCAAAATATTACATTTTTCTTATGATTTTTATTATTTTCGCTGACTTGAGGAACCGAGTATAAAAAAAACTATGGACATAGAGAAAATTGAAGTACAATAAATTCAAAATTGAGGACACAAAATTGAAATTTCTAGCTATTTTTCGTTATGACATTATTAATTTATTATTCATAGTGAAGTTAGAAATACTTGTTAAGGGACAAAAAGTTCTTCATAAAAAGGTTAAAATTTTTAGGGTCGCATGCTTTTTTTTATTTGGAGCAATATGTACAAGATAGAAATTGAAGGATTAAAATGAAAAAATCATAAAAAAAATAATTAAGGTCTTATCTACTCTAAACTTGGCCTCATGAGCGAGATGTGTAAATATCAAGAATCATGATTATTTGACTATGGATAAAATAATTATTTTAAGAAAGTAAGAAAGCAAATCAAACACTTTTAAGAATATAATGATAAATTTGATTAAAAAAATAAAAATAAAGAATCATATTCCTGTTTTTTCAGCCTACAAATTGAACCGCCAAAAAGCCGAATAGTGGCTATCAAGTGTGTATCCTTTATGGTACCGAAAATCAATCTGACACATCATTTTTTCTTAATTCTCCAACTCCTTTGGCAACAGGACAATCCAAAAAGTTTTCTCTGTTAGTATTGTCATCGCCATCTCCACACTTTCATTTGCTCCGCATTTTTCGTCATGGATTTAAAGAGAACTCGACAAGGGCTTTACTAGCACTAACGAGGTTAAGTCCAAACCCGAGCCATCTTGTATTCCTGACAAAGCTTACTTTAGCAAACCCGAGGCCGATTCAGATTCTCCGTTCAGTTACAATAGCAAGAGCAAGAAGAAAAGAAGAAAAAATCGAAAGGGATACATAGTAGGTAATATTTTATGCAAAGATTGAGGTTTCTTTTGAGTAGAATTACAATTTTGGCAATACTAAATCTAGATGCCAACAAATAGTTAGAAAAGATACCTAAGAGTTTGTTCAATTCAACAATCAGTAACATATCAGCTAGGTGTTGATTTATTATTTGTTGCTACTCGATATTGGATTAGACTTCCGAAAAATTTATGCTTTTTTTTATTTATAGAGTTATTTACGAGTTTGAAGTCGTCACTTAATATAGAAGAAACTATGAATCTAAAATGGATACTAGTTCAAAGATTTCATGAGAAGGAGTTGGTTATGCTTTGGGAAGATATTGATAATCCAAAGACGCCATTTCCTAAGAAAGGTACCATGTACGGTTTAATCCTAAATTCATCTCCCGAAGTATTTTATTTGTGTTAAGTTATTTCTTATTCAAACTCCAATTTTTTAAGTCAAATTAAGTTTTTTTATTTTTGAACGTGGTATCGTATTGAAACGATTGTTGGATCCCTTATTTGGGAGACACGTCGATTCAAACATCGGATCCACTTTGAGTCTCGACGCAAGCTGGTGTGTTAGAGAATATCCCGATTATTAATAATAATTTCTTTTAGCTAACAACGAGTCCCTATCGGATAGGATCTTTTGCTAAAGGTTTTATGATTTTTTTTTTCTAGTTGGTGGAAAAAATTGTCATAAGTATCTAAAAAATATAAGAGACTTGACAATTACCGACCTATTAATGACTTATTCTAATTACTGAAATAAAAATAAAAATTAAATTAATTTCAAAAATTTCAAACATTAAAATCGAAACTAAACATAAAATAATAAACATGCATAAAAAATAAATTCAAAGTTAAAATTACATTAATTATAAAAATCAAACATTGAAACCTAAATTAAATATAAAATGACAAACATACATAAAATAAATACAAGGAAAAAAACAAAGATATTTTTATTATTATTATTTTTTGTTATTATTATTATTATTTTGGGAAGGATCTGGACTAATTCCAGCCCTCCTTTTTTTTTCTTTTTTTTTAATTTCTTTTGGACTGGTTTCAGACTGGACTGAAACCAGTACAATATGTTACAAATGGGTTGGGCCAACGCAAAAAACGAAGTTCCAACCCCTTTGATCTTCATCATCCATCCTTCTTTCATACTAAATGGATTAATTTCCTTTGAAATCGACCACTTTAAACCCATTAAGCCATCTTTCCCAAAAAACTTCCAAATTTCACTATCAACTCAGACACGCAGAAACCCTAGGTTTCTTTCTAAGTCAATTCAGCCTTCAATTGAGGCTTAAACCCTCAATTAAAACCTTAATCTTCTTCGATTGATTCTCCTTCAAATCCCTCAATGCTCAATTTCAATTCAAATACTAAACCCCCAATATTTATAACCCTAACTATTTAAAACCTGAAATCACCAAATTTCCAATTCGATTCCCAAATTCAAACCCAAAATTGTCTGGGTTTGAGTTCAATTCAAACCGTTCTATTCAATTAAACAGTAAATAGGTGTGTGTGAGTGTGGGAGAATTCGGGAATGGCAGTGATGTTCATCACTGCCATCAACTTTTACAGATATACATTACATTGAAGCAAATAAAGAATGGATTACCTCAAGAAGAATTCGGATTGATGATGAAGAAAAAGCCTCAATGGATTACTGCTGATCCAGAGAAATTCGGTAAAATCCTCTTCCCTTTTCTGTTTATTTTCTTTGCTTTCTGATTTTTTTTTATTGCCTTCAATTTCAGTAGCTAGTCCCAATTTATCTGTGATTGCTTATGTGTTTTTCTTTGATTTTCTCTTTCAGTTTTTTTTTTTGAACTCCATTCCGATTTTTGAACTGAATCTCCCTTCCAGTATTTGTTGTTGCAATTTGTTGTTTCAGTGAGGGTGTGCAGTTTGGCTGTACAGTTGCAGCAGGATTGTGGCAAATGTAAATGGGTTGCAGCAGTAAGGGGTTGCTAAACTTGGATAGCAAACTGGGTTGGTGAATTGGCCAAGATAAAGATGGATGGAGGGATTTGTCCCTCCATCCCTGTTTTCTTTTTGTTGTATATATATATATTTTTTGTATTTTATTATTATTTTTTTTGTTGATTATCAATTTTTTTTTTACTAAAGAATAAAAATAAAATAAGAAACTAAAGAAACTGAAAATAACCATTAAAATTTTAAAATGGGAAAAAATTGTGGTATGACAATTGTGTTGTTTTCTGTTAAAGTGAATGATTGTTTTGTTTAAATCATACTTTTTTGTCTTTGGCGAAACAAAATCTTAACTTTTTGTAAAATTGAATGAAAATTGCTTGACACTTGTTTGGGTGCATGTCATTCAGGTCTACAGCATCCAAAGAGTCCTCCAAATCATCTCCTCTATCAAAAGAAAAGATTTTAATACGAACTCCAAACCTATATTAAAATCTTTACGTATAGAATCCAAGATAGAAGAAGATAGAGACAACTTTTCCACTGGCACAGGCAAGGTTGAGTCCAAACCTAAGCCGTCTTGTATTCCTGACAAAGCTTGCATTAGCAAACCCGAGGCCGATTCGGATTCTCCGTCCAATTACAATAGCAAGAGCAAGAAAAAACATGCCAGGTAATATTTTTTTACAAAGATTGAGGTTTCTTTTGAGTATAATTATAATTTGCCAACTTTGGCAATAGTAAATCTAGATGCCGACAAATAGTCAGTAAAGATACCCAAGAGTTTGTTCAATTCAGCTATCGGTAACACATCAGCTAGGCGTTGGCAAAGATTTCTAATTGATTTATTGTTGTGCTGTTTTATGTTAAAGTGGATGATTGTTTTGTTCAAATCATACTTCTGTCTTTGGCAAAACAAAATCTTAACTTTTGTAAAATTGAATGAAAATTTCTTGATACTTGTTTGGGCGCATGTCATTCATGTCTACAGCACCCAAAGAGTCCTCCAAATCATCTCCTCTATCCAAATATTTTAAGATAGACCCCGAACCTGCATTAAAACCTATACATACAGAATCCAAGACAGGTGATACAGACAAGTGTTCCACTTGCACATGCAAGTTTAACTCCAAAACCGAGGCCAATGTAGAGCCTCCAGCCATTGGAGATTCCACGAAGCTGACAGTAGAGCCCGAGCTGAAGTCCAATAGCACGAGCCAAAAACTGAAAGAAAAACAAATTTTGGACTACAGGTGATATTTATATGAACCATTTTATTTATACAAATCATTTTTCTGCACTTTAATGACTTCCTGTGTAGTGTAAGATTGAGGCTTCTTGTAGTAGAACTGGCAACACTGAATTTTGATGCCAACAATTAGTCAAGAAAGATATATAAGAGTTTGGTCAATTTCAGTTAGGTGTTGGCAAAGATAACCATTATCTTTATCTCTGATGCATAATCCTAGATTCGTAATAGAATTATTATTGTGTTAGGTTTTTTTACCGTGGATAAATTTTTTATTCAGATATTAAAGAAATTACATATCTATGTACTTTTTTTTTGTCTTTGTTAAAACAGAAATCGTAACTTTTTGTAAAACTGAATGGAAATATCTTATTGTTACGTATAGTAGTCATTGATTGTTGATTGCTTGATTCTGTTGCTATTGAATTCTTTAGGGAAACAAACAAATATAAGTGGCAAGGGAAAGCTGTTAAGTAGATGGGTAATTGTCCACGTGTATTAGTTAGGTAGTGCTGCATAAATAGATGAAGTTACCAGATAAGGCATGTATGAAGATTGATCTTTCTATTGAAATTCAATAGACAAATAATCTCTCTTTAGTTCTTTCTTTTCTCTCGTCTTCTCTAAATTCTAGGGATTTTGTTAAGTAATCCATTGTTAGATCTTAACAATTGGTATATACTTGTTTGGGCGCACGTCATTCAGGTATCCAGAGGATGGTTCCTCCACATCTGCAGTATCCAAAGGATCATCCACATCATCTCCTTTATCCAAAGATTCTAAGATAGACTCCGAACCTGCATTTGAACTAGTACCCACAGAATCCAAACCTGCATCACCTGGAACTTGTGAACGCAATTCACCCTTCATGCCTGCCGACGAAGAGCCTTTTGGTGAGACTTCTACTAGGTCTTCAATTCTGGATGGTTTTTTTCCAAGCAATAGATATTACAATATTGTTCCTTCTTCCCAACAAGATGGGAATTATTTTCAGGTTTCAACAATCAAAGAAGGGTATACACTCGCAGATTGGCTTCGAGAAAATCCTATAAATACTAGGTGGTCAATCAATGGCGAGCGTTGGAACTTAGATTCGGTCAAGAAACTTAATTGGGTTGATTTAGTTCAACGATGGAATTCGAGACGTCCTAGTCAACGTACTTGTCAAATCATTCAAGGGTTGATTGTAGCTGTTATTGAATTTCATGAAAATGGGAAATGGCACGGATGCTTAGATTTTCCAGAGAAAATAATCTTGAGCCATGGGATACAGTTTTCCGGTGGGCGGAAAATTGAAACAGTTCAGGTCAATCTCGTCGATGACAAATTTGATAATAGTGTAGTGGATCGCTTGCAATGTATGGAAGAGATATTAACTCTTTGCTTTTTATCATTTTCAAATGTATCCTGGATGATAAAGGTTCCCACCTTTCTTATGAATGGAAACATTTGAAAAAAATGATATTAAATTATAGAAACTCTATGAAATGGAGCTGTAGTGACTATCGCCAAAATCTTGGGATGAAGTTGAAAAAGCATCCATGTTTTTGGTCATTGATGGAAAGATTTTATTATTTTGAAGAGGTACGGATGAGGCTTTTTTGGGGGGACTATAATTACAGCAATGATGGTGATCTTGCGATTCCTTGTGACAGATCAATAATTGTAAGTGTTTTGCGTAGTTTGAAATTTCAAGGATGGGCAAAATGTATACCTGATTCAACTCCCTTGAAACGAATATATGAGGATGGAAGATTCAAAGATGATGCATATGATTTGTTAAGGTTCTTGAGGGTGGTAAAATCTCATTTGTGTGAAAAGAAATCAAATGAAGCAGCTTTGAAGTATATTAATGTTGATGAAAGTGAAGATTATTGCAGTATTGAGTTTGTTGAAACTATGGTGTCAGAGTGTTTTCCGGGCTTTCTGGTGAAATTATACTTTGGGCTACATGATAAATCGTTTTCGTTGTACAAGGAATGTAAGTATCGCTCCTTTTAGGACTGTAGCAGCTATTGACTTTGTGTTATCCATTCAGTTTGTTAGTATTCCAACATTTCTATGATAACCACTTTCTTATGTTACTGTCCAGCTTAAGGCATTTCAACACGAGCTGGGATGCAAGAATTAAGATATTGGTGCTGAAGGTATACTAGCTGCTGTTCTGTTTTTCTTGCTTCTGAATATGTTTGACTGGCTTCTAAAATCCATTCTGTTTTAGGAGAAACTGAAGAAAGTTAGAAGCTACATTAAGAAAACTGAGGTATTAAGCAAACCATCTCAATGAAATTTCTGGGAAGTTGGTCTCTTTTAAGAGTGTTCTGCTCAGTATTTACTCCTGTCTTGTCATTTCTTGTAGGTTGAAACCATGGAAGGTGATGAGGCTGAGCAATTCTTCCAACCAACAAGGAGGACAATGCTGAGAATATTTCTTTGATTGAAATGATAGACCCACCTATGTGTTACTTTATTGGCTTTTAAGAGCAGTGCCTTGAAAGAGTTTCTAGATCAACCTTTTATACTTTTAAGTTCTTTTGTACTGTATCTTTTTCGCATCAGAATTCATCCTTAATGCAGTTCACAGAGCTGTTCTTTAAACTATTCAACAATTTTTTATTTTTTATTTTTGTGTGAAATTTTGCCTTTTGACGTTGAAAGCTTGAAGTCCAGCTGCAGATGGCATTCCTTTCTATGTTCTTGGACATATACTATTCATATAGTTGTTGACGAGTCTAAGAGTGTGTTTCATCATATCTGCAAACTGATTTTGATAGCAGTCATGAATATGTTTTTTAAGCAGTATCCTGGGTGTTTTTTCCTGCATGAACCGGCTGAAGCTCATCAAACTACGATCTGCTAGATGTTACTTCCAACAAGTTTATGCATCTCAAAAACCAGAAGTCTCCATCAAAGAATCGGGATGACATATTAAATGTTGGGCGAAAGGTTGCTTATGGTTTAGAACTTGTGAATGATGTATGGAGATTTTTAAGGTTCATAAACTGAGATGTTTATGCCATAACAAGAACTAATAATTTAAACTCGTTAGTGTTTTGGGAAATCCAACTAAATATTCAAGATTTCATAACCAAATAATGCAGCAACAATTAGAGAGACAGAGAGAGAGAGAGAGATGGCCCATACAGGCGTCTCCTCTTGAGCTAAATTCCGTTTCTTCTTCTTAGACTTTAGTATTCCTTTCCTTCTCCTTGTGATATCTTCTGCCCCCCAACATGGCTTTCAAGTTATCAAAGCCAGTCAAATCATCTATAATTCTATACTCGTCACCTTTAGATCTAAATCCTTCGCATCCCACATTTCTTATTGGATGACAAGATTCTCCCAAATCAGTATGGAAAGTTTAATAATAGCTTCTTCGTTGTCCCTAGGCCAATGGCTTCCTCCATAAGGTTCCCATTATTCTTCAGCTGTTGTTCATATTTGCATCAGTTACATACATATGGATCATGCACCCATTATTATAAAGAATTACAATTATGATTCATACAAAGGGAAGAAAAATAATATCTTACAATATTGTCATTTCCCTTCTAGGTTTACTTGTTCATTTGGTTCTTCGACTTAAAGGAAAAAGAAATGACGAGAAGAATAAGAACACAACTTGGATGTCTGTGAAACTTTAGGCTTATACAATCCTAATCCAACGAAGACCTCAAAGCTTTCAAAAATGAATTCTGTTTTTTAATTTAAATAAGATTTGACTTGCTGGACAGATAATCCTTTGCTACCAATGCGGAATTCTTTCTCATTTTCAGAAGTGTCTGGGAGTAAATGCTTCCATACATGAGAGCTTTGCCAGCCCAAATAATCCTAGGTAACAGATGGCAATCCAAGAAAAGTTAATACTTTAGAGAAAAGCTAGCTCCCATAAAATGAATTCTCAAGCTGCGATGGAACACTTCAATACAAAACTATTCTAGTCAACACTCTCTTTAGCTTGAACTGGCTTAACAGCACTACAGTCCAAAGTTGCAAGGAACCGTTAAGAGAAAAAGGTTGGCTTCGAAAAAGAGTTTCTAAATACATGTCTAGCAAACTAGTTGCATTGAACTTTTGACTTGGCTTCCTTTTGTGTTACAAGGCTTATTGTCCTCCTTGTCTGGTTGAGAGAATTGGCCAGCCTCATCACCAACCTACAAGAAATGACAAGACGGGAGCAAACACTGTGCAGAACACTGGAAAAGGCTAACTTCCCTGAAATTTCATTGAGATGACTTGCTCAAATAACTCAGTTTTCTTAACGTCGTTTCCAACTTTCTTTGCTTTCTCCTGAAACAGAGAGGGTTTTAGAAGTCAGTCAAATTTATGAAGAGAGAAAAACAGAAAAGTGACAGCATACCTTCAGCTCCAATTTCTTGCATGCCAGCTCGTGTTGGAGTGCCTTAAGCTGGACAGTAACATAACAAAATGGTTAACATAGAAATGTTGAAATACTAACATATTGAGAAAAACAACATATATAGAAACCTACCATATATCTACCTGCATTTAGCTCAGAGGAGCTGTTCAGTCCAAACAAGGTTCAAGTTTTAAAGCAATCTAAATGTGATTATAAAATTGATTCATGCATGACGTTAATGTTTTTCCCTATTGGAGCTTCCACGAAACCAGTAGTAGATGATGATTCAAGCTCACTAGAAAAAAACGCCTCAAAGTCGAAGTCCAGCGGTTCAAATGCAGGATCGGAGCCTGTCTTAGACTCGTTGGGTATCGCAGATGTGGAGGAAACACCCTCTGAATTCAGCTTTGGTACTGAGACAGACTCCGAACCTGCATTTGAATCGAAGAGACTCAAAATCCACTTGTAAACCTAGACCACCTGAACCTTCTGAACCCGATCCACCCTTCATCCTTGCCTGCAGGTTTTGTCCAGGAAAAAATTTTAAAAGCATTTTCAATAGACATTTGCAACAAAACTTGGAATTGCTGAAGCAGCAGCTGAGGATTGTGGCTGTAACAGGCAGGGTTTTCATGATGGCAAGAGATTTTCTGCAACAGGAATCACTCTAAGTACCAGAAACAGTTTTAAAAGGTTGGAAAAAAGAGCAATTCTGCCGAAGGAAAAGCAAAGCAAGCAGAGAAAGCAAAATCCTGTAGTTAGGAGTTTTATTGAACAGACATACCTTTCGAAACTTAATTAAGTATAAAGCACCTCAAAAATCACAAATATCTAGCAGCATTATACTACTCATCGGCAACAACACCGAAGAAAGATCAAAAAGTGGAAGCAAAAGTACGAAAAGACACACGTTTGAGCGATAATCACATCACGAGGACGAAAATGAAGCTATTTATAGACAACTTAGATCCTAAGCACCTTGGCTTGGAATTGGAAAGAAAGATTAGGCATGCACAAGCACAATCACGATCACATATTGCAACAACTTTTGCCGCTGCACCAATAATTTCTATTAGGTAGAGATGCTGTCCTTTTTACAATAAAAACAAATCTAACGGGCTTATACAGCTGGCTTAATATTGTAAATTTTTATCCATATCAGTCTTCACAGCTTTAAGATTATCTGCTTAATAAAACCCTACACACTTATACTACAACCAGAGAGAGGAGAGAGGGGATACTGAAGGATTTAAAAATTTGAAAAAGTATGTCAATGAAGCAAGACCCCACCGACAAGCGAATAAAGACACTAACTTTAGAGCAGAAGTTGAAGTAATTTTACCATTTAAGACCTCAAACATCCAGTACCATTATACTCATCAGAAACAACACCCAAAATAAAAAAAAGTGAAAGTAAATAAAGCGATTCATAGACGATATAGAGCCCTAAGCACCTCGGAATTGAAAAGAAAGATCAGGGTCTGTTTGCTTCATAAAACCCTAAGAACTTGTACTAGAACCAGAGAGAGAGGAGACTGAAAGAGTTGGAAATATGAAAAGGCTTAATTACAGTAAATGGAGCATATATATATATATATAAAGAAGAAATCATTTCATTTGAAGAATGCAAAACAGTGCTGCAATGGAGTAAATTTACTCTATCGTTTTCTACAAAAATGGCAAAAAGAAGAAGAAGAAGAAGAAGAAGAAGGGTTAATAGTAATAAAATTAAAAATTACTCAAGAAGTTATTAAAGGATTAAAAAAAAATTCTTATGTGTGGGCTTTTTTTCTTTGTGAGCTGGGAATCTCAATCTTTTGTGAGCTGGGAGTCTCAATCTTCCTATGAACCAATAATCAGTCATTTCTGCTGGAATATATTCTTGGCCATCATCACGGAGCACCAAAAACTTTTTCTCTACCAGATCATGTGGGACCTCACAACTAGAAGATATTTATAGAGATACATCTGTCCCCGTGTGCTGTTCTCATCAAGCCACAGCAAAATATTTTTTAACTTCCAGAAAACGAAAAAGACGTAAATGATTAAATTCATGATATTTTTCCAAACACTTCCATACCCATTCTGAGCACTTAAAATTTTTTTTCCACAAAATCTATCTTTATTGTCTCTCTGCATCTCGACCACTCTTGGAATTGGGTTATCGGAATCTTTATGTCCATTCATCGGGACAGAGGTAGTGGGGCGGCTAAAGACAGAGAGTGACGGGTGGTAGGGACAAGGATAGAGACAGAGAGAGTGGAGACTGCTGGAAAGAGATATTTTGTTTACGTGAATACAAGCCTATGATGTACAACAAATAAACATGAATGTTAATTGATTTATTTAAAAATATTGACTCCATATTTTGAATTGTATCCGACTATTTGTTGGCATCAAGTTTTTGTGTTGTTAAAACATTTATGGGTTAAAGATGCAGAATATTTTTTTATTCGTGTTTCTATATTAAATTTTTCAATGATCGCATCCATTTGTTTTTAATTTGAGTCTGTATTTTGTTCTTTTGATTACTTTTTGAGCAACAGAGACAAAAGGTTAACGTTATAATTTGCTAAACTTGGTGAACAAAATTCCTCCCCCTGTTTCTTTGAAATCTGCTGCTCTCTTTACCTTTGTTTTTGTCTCTTGTATTGTTGCAGCAAGTGTTGAACACAATATTTTTGCAGACACTTTCGTACTCCTGGATTGTCATTCAGTTGCGATTCTGATAGCTTCAATGTTTTTTCGCATATTTGATATACTCCTTCTCAATTGCCTCTAGAGATCTCATTTCTTTAAATAAATTATTTGACACTTTACGCAATGTAGCTTCTGCATCTCCTTCATCTTCGGATCCGTGCGGACAGAGAAAGAGCGTGTGGAGAAGAGAGAGAGAGAGAGAGAGAGAGGAGCAACTGAATAGCGAGAGTGTGTCTGGACGGCGAAAGAGTACGATTGAGTGGAAATTTTTTCTCTGAGTTACCCAGCCCTACAAAAAAAAAAAATTGTATTTAAATAATTAAAAAATTCTTTAAAAACATTATATAACTTCTTTTATTTAAAAAAATTTAAAATATAAAAAATAAATAATAAAGAATGGATATCATATGTGCAGATATATAGTTAAATTCTAATAAAACTGATTATATATATATATCAAATTCAAAGTATACATAATGAATAGAAAATATACAAAAAAACACACCTAAACTATATGAAAAATATCGAATTCAATAGAATAAACAAAACTATAACAAAATTGATTCGGATAAATTCTAAATAAATATATATATATAAATAAAATTTGTAAATTTTTTTAAAAAAAATTGAGCTAAAATACCTAAAACATACTTTTATCTCCCCTCCTCCTCCTCCTCCTCCTCTCTCTCTCTCTCTCTCTCTCTCTCTCTCTCTCTCTCTATATATATATATATATATATATATATAATCATAATTTATAAATTATAATAATATATTTTTAAAATATAAAACACTAACTTTATAAAATTTTATTTCAAAATTTATATATTAAAAAAATATCAACGAATAAAATTAAAAGCTGTTTAAATGAACAAGTACTTGTGATAGTTTACTATTCATACTAATTATAATAAAATATTTTAAAAAATATAAAAAAAATTTATTGCATAAATTATAATAATATATTTAAAACCGACGTTTAAAATTTTATTAAAAAATAAAATTATATCAAAAAATTAATTTGATTAGAATTTTAACAATAAACAAATAATTGAAGAAATAAAATTTAAACAATAAGAGTAAAAGTTTAAAAAAAAAACTAAGAAAATAAGAAAAAAGTAACAGTGAAAAAATTTTAAAAAAAATGAAAAAAAAAACTAAGATTAAGAAATATAATACGAGGGTAAAGTAAATCATTAGCTCGTTTGGAAAAAAAATAACGATCGATTTTTAAAAATTTTAACACTCCAAATAATTAAAGAAATAAATTTTAAACAATAAGATTAAAACTTAAAAAAAAAAACTAAAAAAAATAAGAAAAAAGTAATAGTGATTTTTTTTTAAAAAAAGGGATAAAACTAAGATTAAGTAGTATAGTGTAAGGGTAAAGTAAATCATCGGCTTCTTTGAAAAAAAAATGATGATCGATTTTTAAAAAATTTAACACTCACTCAAATAAAAAAATGACATAAATTAATGAGGAAAAAATCAAAGAAAAAAAAACATATAATGCATCAACTAGGGATTAAAATTTTTATTTTAATTTTTTATGGATCGAATTAAATAATTCAAAAAAATTAAAAAAAAAAACAAGGAAAAAAACTAAGGGTGAAAATTAAAAAAATAATAATAATTTAATAATTTTTAAAAAACTAAGAAAATAAGTAAATGTGGAAATTAAAACAAGAAGGGGAAAAAAATACTTATTCAAATGAATAGTAAAAAAAGAGGGATAAAATGAGAAGTTCACTATTCATTTACTTGTTCAAATGAACAAGTGAACTCCCCACTGTTTTAGATTTTTTTAAAAAAAAAAACTAAGAAAATAAGCAAGAGTAGAAATTAAAAAAGAAGGGGAAAAAAAGTTCGGATGAACAGTAAAATGAGGAGTTCACTGTTCAAATGAACAGTGAACTCCCACCTATTTTAGATATATAAAGAATTTTTTTTTTTTAGTATTGATAAAAAAAAACTATATTTGGTATTCTTAACTAAAATTTTCATATATGTTGATGAAAATTCAATCGTTTTCACAAATAATTTCAATTTTTTTTTAATTGGAAAGCATTTTTTTATTTTTTAATAAATTAAGAAAATTCTATTAAATCCTCAATTTAATCTATTAAATACTATAATAATTCATATAATAAAATAAAGTCAATTAAACTCCAAATTAAATTCATAAATTATCAACCCAAAACAATTAATCATAATTTAGTCAAATGAAATCACTTAAGTCATACTTTTTCCAAGATGGTTTCAAAACTCTAAATTCACGAATCTTAGCTTAAATAACAAATTTATCATAATCCAACCTCATAATAATGAATAACCATCTAAAAATTCATCAAATAGACAAAAATTATATATATATATATATATATATATATATATATATGTGTATAATATTACCTTTCTTTGTGGTACCAATTTCAAGCTAAAGAACACCAACTATTCAAGCTCCAATCTGACTTAGTTTCAATTTATATCATCAAAAGTAACATGATCTAATTTTTTTTTTTTTCATGGGTTAGGAATAGGTGAGAAACGGTGGAGATGAAATTGAAGGTTAAGGCTTGAGAAAGGAAGGAGAAGAGAAGAGAAAATTGGAGAAATGGTGCTTGTTTTGTTTTCTTCTCTTTAACCCACCAACGTGTTTTTTTTTTTTCAAACTCATTTTTACATTTCCGTTCACCATATACATTACTATAATCCACCTCACTTAATAAATTTTAAATACTCTAATTACCTCAATTTTCCTTAGCCTTCAAAGCATATGTATCCAAAACACAATACTTAAAAAAAAACACA